GGGGTGAAGCGTTCAGCGTAACATGTGTGGTTTTGATCAGTGTGGCTGACCACGCTAATTACAGGTGTTGAGATGCTGCGGTAAACTGTCGAGTTGAGGAAGATGAATTTGAATTGATTTTTGGCCGGTCTTACGTGACGGCAATTAATTTGTTAATTGTGTTGTTTATTACGGATTAAATTGTGAGCCAGTGTCAGTGTGTGTTTGAGTTTGTTTATGACCTTTCCTTGCTCGTGAAATACCACCTACACAGAACAGTCGTCGTTTTGGCCTCGTGGGCCGCTGGATAAGCAATCCACTTTGAGAGATCTTAGTGTCTTGTTTTAATACTCAAGTTTTTTTACGGCTGCCATGTTCAGATCACAGCCGTTGGTTGCCACCGGTAAACGGTAATACGCGGCATCCATTATCACAGCCGGCAAACACAGGCAGTGCACATACAAACACATACCCGCACACAGTAAAATTGCGGTTTTGGCATTGTTATGCCGGCGATACGAAAAGGGTAAGGTCGCGGCCCACACACGATTCAACGTGATGAGGAGATGCGCGTTGATCATAACCCCGCAGATGACGAGCGCGTTGTACAGAAAGACGGTACACGCTGCGTTGCTTAGTCGCCATTCCAAAGGATTGAAATTAATGATCTCCAGAGAATTGTTGATGATGACGTAGCAAAGATCTGTTGATAGGAGGCATCCGAGATAAATATTAAACGGGCAATGGAGACGATCGTCTGTTATGTATAAGAACAGGATTGTGCAGTTTAAGATAACAGCGCAGGGAAGAACTATCGCATGCATTATAGTGGCAAATGGCCATGTCTCCTGATTTGTGAATGCTGTGACATTGGATGACAAATTAAAAAGTTGTAAGCTGCTAATGTTGGCTGGCAACGTTGTGTTGAAACCGGTGGTAACGTTCATATTGCAGCTGTATTCCGTAGTAGTATGCGTAGAGTATTTGCATATATTCCGTGCGCAAGTATCTGCAGGCATACGTTGACATATGCCTATGATAAAACTTATTTGCAGTAACGTTTTTCTGTACCTTGATTTCTGGAACACGACGAATGCAAGTATACCCTAGCGGTCAAAGTGAAAACTCAAGCTGGCAGTCGCTAGCTGCTTTATATATTTGCTGTACGGTGGGAAGGGACAGATCCTTGATGGACCGGAGCTGCATTGCAGGCAGCCTCATGCTCCTACACGCAAATTGAACACATTGGGTATTCAAAATTAATTGTTGGCAGTGAAGATTGGGCATAATTGGATTCCGGGAAGCGGTGCTTGCAGTATTCCAGGCAGTAGTTTGGCATTGCGGGGGACATGCGTTCATTTTCTTTGATTTCGGGGTGTACCAATTGTCTGTAACCTTATTGCCGGATGTTAAAGGTCGCGATGCTCACGTCGAAACCGGTCGAATCAAATGCGCCGGCAAATCTAGCCGTCGACTATTCATCTTTTCATCTCATAAGATGGTTGGTGGATATAATTGCTCCTTATACCAGTAAATCATCTAACGATCCGCTCAACCGATATGAACAAGCCCTTTTAATCCTTATAATTAATACATAATATTATGTATTTAGCTGTAATACATGTAGTATTGTTATTTTACAAAAAAGACCTCTGGCTACCTTCTCCGAACTTCTTGTACAATTTGAAAACTAAAACTCTTTTTAAATAAAAGTATCAAATAAAAAACGAACGGATACGCTAACTACAGTACCTTTTCTGTATTTTTCAGTTGTACGATTCGAGCGGTACAGATGCTTATTAGAATCGGCTGACTGTAGGTACCTATCTGCACGCCATCTACTTGGCGCACGACCGAATACGATTTTCAGCTGCATTGTAGAAGAGAGTTTTTTGCTTCCTTAACTGAGCTTTGTCCTGCTCATTATTCGCCGAACGATGGGCGTACCAGTTTTGTTTCTGCCGTTTATTTTATACAAAGAGATCCAAACGTTCTCAAACCGCTTGTTACATTTGTGCTAAACCTTTTGAAAACATATCAAGCATGCAAGTGAATAAGAATTTGAAAAAATTTAAAACCATAAGTGTACGTAGTAAACCGTGGTGTTGGGATGCCTCTGAGTGTAACCTTATAGTGAAAAGCGATATTAATGTAGCATTTTATTCAAGTTAACCGAATTAAGCTACTTTGCACTTTTTGATCTACCGCACAAAATCCGTGAAAAAGCTGTTCGCAGATCGGGTAGCGCAATTATAAAAAGGATCGGGTCCACAAGTGGCTGGAATAAGAAAAGAGCTTCCGTTATCTGATAAACTTTTAGTACCTTTAATAAGTATCATGTCATAAGTACAAACTTAGTACTAGAAAACATTTATTATAAAAACACTTCCTCAATGCTATCCTGATCGAGAATTGTACCCATTACACAAATCGCATTCTCCCGTTGTATCTGAATAGGGAGTCGCTGTCTAAAAAACCGTTTCGCACGTTTCTGGCCTGTGGCGGTGGCGATACCGCTTCCAACCTTCTCCACAAGCCTTTTTGTTCCATCTCCCCACGGTCCGTAAATTTCGAATGCTGCCGCCATGAAGTTATACCGTGGCTCCAGCCAGCTTTGGTTCGTCAGTTTTGCTCTTTCGGCGTGTTCAGCTGCGGCCCCGGCATTCATTGAGGTGCGATCAATATACGTGTGTGTGTGTGTGTGTGTATACGATCAATATACGTTAGCAAGTGTGTCCACGCGTCACTTGACAGCCAGCGGCTTTCCCATGGTACGAGTGATCACATCCGGCCTTTTGCGATCCTTCGCTGAGACCTTTCGGCTCCATTCTGGCTGGGAAACCGGCTGTCTTTAGTCCTCGGGTGAGCTCCCCACTGATACCGTCGTCGTGGCAGCCGTCCGGCAGATTGTTTGCAGCGGAGTCCGTGCCGGCCTAATTCGCCACCCGATCCGCCGCACACGCACACGTGCGGGGATACGATTGGTACACCCAAACGCAACGCAACGCTGATGCGGAGAGCATTATTTTCCAGCAGATTACCGAGGCTTGCTGCGGGCAGTGCATGGATCCATACGCCAGATTCCGGGACTGAAACAGCCTTCAGGTGAGCGACCTCATCCTTTGTAATACGCAATGAGGTCAGCCTAGAAAATGCGTACAGCGTCGTAGACGTGTCCCAGGCCTTCTGAACGTGTCGCAGTGCCACCGCCGGGAGATCGTCTGTGTTGGCGATAACCTTCCAGGCACGAGTGGCGACGGTTACATCCGTTGGCTTAGGCGTCGGACACAGCTTGGAGATCAGTGGGTGCAGCGAGGAGGCCGATGCCAGATAGGCAGAGGGAGCTAGCTTCTCGGTGCGTCTGATCCCCAAACCGCCTAGACGAACGGGAAGGCATGCCTGGAGCCACGTGGGATAGTCCATCCGTACGTTAGTGATGGATCCTATTGCGTCACGGAACATGTGATAAACTTGATTATCCGGAATCATGCCCATATAAGAGGTTACTGCATAGTAAAAATATATAGGACACAAGCAAATCGTTGGTCCCGTCAGTATGATAAACGCGTATTTATTCTCCATTTTTCCAGATTTCGACCGTATTCTGGTTTGGTTTATTTCCATGTTTGTTGACGCATCATTACTGGTAACCGTGACGGTGTACACTGAGCTTGTTGCCACAGCCTGAATTACACGCTGCACCGGCATTGCGCTTTCTGGCGCTTCCGTTGTGTTGACCTTTGGAGTAACAACGGCATGGAATGACCGGCTTTTCCACCTCGCATACCACAAATAGGGACAAGACAGAATCACGACGGCCATTGGTAAAAGATACACCACAAACTGCATCATCATGCACCAATTTTTCAGGGCTGTGGTGTTGACATCACAGCCGGTGGTTGTTGCTGGTAAACGATAAAACACGGCATCCAATACCACAGCCGGTAAACATAGGTAGTGCACGTACATCCACATTCCCACACACAGAACTATGGCGGTTTTTTTAGTGTTGCGATTGCGGTACAAATAGGGAAGGTCACGGCCCACACGCGATTCAGGGTGATGAGGAGGTGAGCGTTAATCAAGACTCGACTGATGACGTAAATATTGTACAAGAAGACAGTGCATGCGGTGTTGCTGAGACGTCATACCGAGAAAATGTAGTAAATGATCTCCATGGGATTGTTGATCACGACGTAGCAGAGATCCGCTGACAGAAGGCATCCGAGGTAAATATTAAATGGGCAATGAAGGCGACTGTCGGTGATGAATAAAAGTAGGACGGTGCAATTAAGGACGAGAGAGCAGGGGAGAACTATTATTTTGTTGACGCTGTAAGATGACTTTTCGAGAATCTGCTGATGCGTTAACGACGAGACTATTGATGCATTAAAGACATTCTTATGGTCTTGCAAGCAGACTGAAAGCATTGAAGATCCGATGTTAATTTTAGCAGTGTAAACTGGACTTTAATTGGATCCATGGAACGGGTAATCCAGCATTTCAGGCAATGATTCGAATATGCCGGGACATGAGTTTCTTCGTCATGAATATCTGTTCGATGCCGAATATTAATGATCAAAGTACCTTTACGTGCATGGAAACCGTTAGATTGATCGTGAATGTAACGGTAAATCGCACTTATGACTGTGTCACCGTCGACTATAGAATAATACTGTATACTGTATCTGTACGTGTAACTTCAAAATACTTTTAGCGAATATGATTATTTATTATTATTCTGGTAATAATCATTTACATCCAATTAACAATCTGCTGTTCAGATCGGCTGAACGGCATTTTTTGGTTTAAAATTGAACATGATTACTACGTGCGGAATCACGTAATGGAAGATTCAGTGACTTCCTTGGTTGACCTTTCCCAGGCTTAACTATGGTTTGCAGAGTGTTCGCTTGAACGTTGTACTGGTTTATTTTAATCACAAAAATTAGTGAATTTGTCAAACCGCATAGTGATCATAAAAAGTTCTATTCCATGAAATCAATATGTCCACATTTAATTTTTAGGACTCAACGGTACCCTGGAATGCAGTTCGCAGACTCTGAAAACAACTGCTGCCATTCGTCCGTGGACAGGACGGTAGCACGTCAAGCCACTCAAATATGACGAAATCCTTGGCGTCCAAACAATACCGCTGTACACCTTGATTGACAGCGGCGTTGATGGTGGCCTTTTCGGCTGCCGTAATATCTTGTGGCTTTTTTCTGGTATTGACGTACAGATAGGGGAAACTGCACAAGCCCGTAGGCTGGCGTCCGAAGCAGGAGTGGAAAAAAGCGTACGTGTCGTAGTCCGTTGACCACGCTATTGTGTCGTCGATGGCTACAGAGACAAATACTAGTTAAAATAGCCAAAACAGCAAATGTCCTGCTGAGTTGTTGTAATTGTAAACTGACCAACGGGTGCGTCCGTATTGGTGAGATTGAAGAACAGGCCAATCTGTCGTCCGTCAACGGTGATATAGGCTATATCGTGTAGATATCGACACGTGGTGTCATCCAGCGGATAGAATGTCTGCTCTTGAATGAAGATACTGGCCGGGAGATCGGTAGTCGGGAAGTGACCTTGACCGAGACTGGTGTAATAGTTTATGGTGTTGACGGACACGGAATCCTGGGTGATGTTAGGAAACCAAGCAGAATACGCGTACCACACGCCAACAAGCTGATGTCAAAAATAACATCATTTACGGAATTTTTAATTATAGGTAATCGGATGTACGGCTGGCAATCGCCGGTTCAGTGAATTTGCATAAAAAGCGCCAGTGATGTAATACAAATTAACTGAGTTGTTCGCGAAATTAGTGATAGAATTACTGAAAGTAGAGGTGCATAAAACGTCAGTTAACTTTATTACGCACAATTTTTACAAAATACCGGTAATTAGAAATTTTCTGTTTGCAGATTCGTTATCAGAAGGCAAATAACACACCTTTTCGGGATCAATTTTCTGTCCACGAATAATATTAGGGACTCCGCATTGCTGGGGCTGTTGAACGGAATACGAGTTGCTATCCTGATAATCTAAGTTGTTCGCGTAATTGTAGCTGTTGCTGTCGGAATATGCCGCTACCAGCTGAATGAGTTCTGTAACCAATGGTAAAATTTATCGAAAACTATAAACGCACATAATATTATATAACTGCCACACATACGTACTAATAATATGAATAAAATATCCAACGTTTTGAAAAATAAATTTCGGGTTTCGCATTGTGCTTCGCAATTTTCAAGCTAAAGGTTTTGGTATACTCAAAGATATCGTAAATTTAACTATATCGATACAATGGTCTAATTAGATGGTGAGCAATTTTTCAATAAAACAGCCGTAAAAGTCAACTCGATCATTATCATAAAATTTTTCAACATGAGCGCGTTCTTTTCGTTATGATGTTCGTTGTCGCCTGGTATTTCAGGTTTCTAGTTGCGGTCTGTGATAGATATATCAACTAATACTTCGAGCTTATAATTTACGCGCTTAGCGGATAATGCATGTATGCAATTAATGAAAGTTTGCGTTAGTAAGGCTGGTCAGCACAGCTGAAATTTTGACAATCGCTTTGATGGATTTGTGCGTGACTTTACTGTATACGAGGCATACAGTGCGCGTGCTTGCAAAGAAGATAAATATCGGTTTCATGATACGTTGCAGAACGATCGAACGGCCAACAATCGATTTATGAAATTTATATGTGTAGGAAGTAGACAAATGAATTAAACGGCTGAATTATGCCTGCTAATTGAAGTATTAGTAGGTATGCATGATCTGTAAATAACTTGATGACTAGAAAAGGAATTTAAACGTTAAATTAAACCACATGGCTGATCAAAACAATTCTGTTCTCCAACCACAAAATCACGGATTTAGTGTACCTGTAAAAATTTGTTGTGGAAAACTGCACGAAGGTCATTCTTATTTAAATGGATGTCATAAAGTGTTGAGTGCTGCACTAATGGTAAAGCCGCCAAGGGAACGCATCTGTAAGCACTTTCGCCATCCATTCATGTTTTCCTTTTAAGCAGTACAATATCGTGCTCGATTTTTCTGTGAGTCTACGCAATAAAATGGAACGTGGAATTGGACACTGGACACTCAACGTTTACAAATGCTGTTGTTGTTTATATACCTTGACACGGCTGTCCATGGTTCGATAGTTATACCGGCCTTGTTAAGACGTTTTATGTTGTCCAGTAACCTCATTTATGTCCTGTCCATGCTATTCAAATCGGCGAAATCCAGTACTAAACGTTTACTGCTGTATGTAGGTAGTACTTGTGCGTATTGTTAGTTTTCATACACCGTCAGTGATTATGATCATAAATCAAGTCAATAATTATAAAGGTGTTGTGAAATGGAATCGTCGGCAAATTACCACTTTATGTACGTTCGCCGGCTAAACGGCATCTACGGCTCGTATAATGCACCTAACTGGTATTCGTAAGTACTACTTGGATTCAGCCAAAAGAATTACTTAAACAAAGCTGTACGTTACGGTTCCACCATTTCATGGTACCACAATTAACTAATGAATTTGCAGTTAATCTGTATCTTCTAAATTGGCTTGGAAGGCTGGCAGTATAGTCTGGAAACAATCGTCTTGCATATTGCGGGGACATGGAGGCAAGGCATCGACCCACGGGAAGGGCAAAAAATCCGAAATATCCAAACAGTACGATCGTGTATGAAAGTTAACTGCATCGGCAATTTTGCGCTTTTCTTTTGAGTTCAACTCTTGTGGCTTTTTCCGTGTGTTGACGTAGAGATATGGATAATCACACACGCCCGTGTCCCAGTTAGCTATGAAACAGGAATGGAAGAAAACCATGCTGTCGTAATCGGTTGTCCAGAAAATAGAGTTATCGATGCCTGCAACAACATACGGTTCTGAAATCTAAAAACCACGAAGTTGAAAGCTGTTAGACGCAATGTATTGTAAATTTACCTTCCTTCAGAATATAAGTACTGCTGATAACTTCTTCAATAACCTGCCGCGCAAAAATTTTGTATTTTTCAAATTCTGTTATAATAGATACGAAAATTTGTACAATGTACAGGTATTGCAGTTCATTATTATGTCTTTGTATTTAAGGTTTACTCTCCTTATGGAACTGTACAAAGAAACGCAATATTATAACTCCCTAGCATTAACACGATTTCGTACATGTTGCCAAAAGATTTCCTTGTGCAGCATGTGTACCGTACCAGTTCTTATAAACATACATAACACGGAAATATTTATGCTCTGTATCCTTTTTTTATCAACTGTAATTCACTACTTACTGACAGGCTGGTCAGTATTGGTGCGATTGAAGTATATTCCGATCTGCCGTCCATCAACCGTAAAATAACACGCTTCGTTCAGATATTGACAAGAAGTGTCATTATCTTGTTTATAGAACACCTGCTCCTGTGTGGCAATATATGCCGGGATGTCGGTCGTAGGAAAATGACCTCTTCCCAGACTAGTGTAATAATTAATCGTGTTAATAGGAATGGATTCCGGGATGATATTTGGAAAGTACACCAGGTAAGAATACCATGTACCCATGAACTGGAACAGCACCATTGGTAAATCAACCATATGTGGCTCGAAAAGTACACCAGCACTCTTGCAACTGCGTAATTTTTTCACACAATACCCCGCAGTCTCACGGAAACCAAAATACTGACTTCTTTGAAATAATTTAATTTACGGTACCTTTTCTGGATCTATGTACTGGCCTCGGATTACATTGGGGATGCCGCAACCACCACGATTCGGGCTAGCCAAAGTTATATAATCGCTTCCGGTTGAAATGTAGGCCATTGCCCAGGAAATGCAGTGCGCGACTGCAATTGATTGGTAAGTTTAGTAATCATGCAGGCATAAGACGGAACAACTACCCGCACCTACTGACGTGTTACAGTATATCACTACCTGTCTCATTAATTAAGCGCAATTTGTGCTAGTTTAACGACTAATGTGTTTTTTTACCATTCGCCTATAAATTTTACAGCTGACACGAATTTCGGTAAATGAAGTGCACAAGACGCTAAATCACGGTATCGAAATGAAAGGATTAAAGCAATGATTAACTATATAAACAATACAGACTGTATATTAATCAGACAGTATAATACTTTACAGAACATTCAATATAGAACCAGTGTAGTATGTAATCAGAGGTTTACTTACCGGCAAAATATGACGTTGTAATGCTGGACATTTCTAAAAGTCATCGGAAATACTAATATGACTGATGCATACTTTCGTGGTGATATACAAAGCTGCAAAAACGTATTCTAATGTTTACACGATTCCCGCTGGCTTTTACTTGCAATGTAGTACGATCGTCACCCTTAATTGTCTGGTTTATCGAATGTTCTGGCAAGAGTACCAGCCAAAACCTTTAAACAAATGTGGTCAACACCGAAAACATTTACGACATCATAGCAATCACTCTCATTCATCATGTGAGGTACAACAATGCTAGTGTCACTGGCGTCGAATTTAGAGCTCTTCTGGCGCGTTGTCGCAATTTCAGATTCATGTCTGACCTTGTCGTCATAGTCACAATTCTCAAATACGAGCATCTACGGTAAACAGTTAGGCAATTAAGTTCATGAAGCAATTCTCGAATATTGGCGACGTTCGCACATGCAAAGATGGATTGTAGTCAATATCATATGACTGAGAGCGAATCGACAGCAGCAGACTGTTCATTTTCTTACTTTTTTACAGTTTCGTTTGGTCGGTAACCTAACTTGTATTTAACATCGTAAGCTTACATTATCAATTATTTTGATTCCTGATTTTTGCGGGTACAGGACAATACTGCTTTGGCTTAGATCAAAAGTAAAACCATCCATCCTGAACAATCAGTTACGTCTTTAGCGCTGTCAAGAGGTTTTAGTTTTACTCGTACCAAAGCGCCCAAAACTGCCGTTGCATCAATCATCTATTAAGCGCTGCCTCCCCTTAGCAGGAGTAGTACCACAGACCCATTACATGCCATCGCCACTGTTCATCACGTACGAATAGACCCAAAAATTCTGTGCCTCTTTGCCCGGGCTGTTTTCCCCTGCATGATACTAGCCTGGTACCAACGCATCGTGGTGGTTCGCGGACACGATGGTAACATCTCCTGCTGGCTTTCTGAAGAGTCCAGCCATACACTCACGTACTAAAGTGCTGCATCACTTTTCCGGTTTCGAACTTTATGCAGTCGTAACAACTTCCTTCTGGTCGCATAGCTCTTCTAACGGCATAGCTCTTCGCTGACTGCCAGTGCCCACTGCCCAGTCCCATGCAGTTTTGGTCGATTAGGCGATACACGTACTCTGTTCCGGTGATGATCCATAAGGCTACAAGCCGCCAATTCAATAATAGCTCCCGCTCTCCCGAAGGCACTTCCCTACTTGAATATAATTAAGACAGTGGTAATCTGAATTCTACATCTGTCATGCGCAGTAGGTGTTGCACAACGAGGATCTAAACTTATAGCCTCACTGCAATGTGAGAGATAATTATGCTCGCCTCTTTACGAAAACCGGAGAACCGGCACTGGCAAATGTACATAGGAGGAAAGCGTGCGATCGCAATGGAGGAACCGTTACTGTTATGCAGCAGTCAGCATTGATCATCCATTTACTTAATTTATTCACTGTATTATGAACTGTTTAATTATTTACTACAATCTTTGCAGTTAACTTTGTTGTAACAAAAGAATACGAGTACCACACAACCAGACTTCGCAAATTGCACGCGATATTTACTATTTTGCATGTGCCGTACTGCCATCATGAATGATGGAAATGGCCTTGCAAAGGTCATCCTTTGTTGTTAACGTATAAATACATGGAACTTGCAATAAATTAGGTTTTAGATAAAGCACCAGAGCATATTTCGGCACCGAAAGCTAATCCAAATGTGCTACATGGTCTTCCAAGTTTGTAAACGAAATATTACACTACGTGAAAGTCTCCGCAGTATTATAAAACGCATTTCCTACGTTTTGAAAGCATGGCGAGCCACTAATTCGGGGACAATCGGCTTTACTGTCAATCCAAATTTGAATAAGGAAAGCGCTGATGTCCAGACAAAAAGGCTTGAGTGCGTTGTTTATTGCATCGGTCATTTTCTGCTTTTCGGCTCCCGTTACGTCTTGTGCCTTCTTGCGCGTGTTGATGTAAATGTCCGGTAGCACACAAAATCCCGTTGTAGTATTGGTTAGATAGCACACATAGAACAGGGAAAATACGTCATAGTCAGTTGCCAGAACAATGGCGTTGTCAACACCTGTCGAGAACCAGCCAATGAGGAACAGAGTTACAACAAGTAAGTATGTAAACGCTAAGCGGTTTTGCCAAGTGCAGTTTGTAGAACCACGATAGAACTGGTACTACAAACGGCACAGCCAGCCATAGCATTTGCATTTATTTTGCTTTAAATGGTTTGATAGGTTGGCATTTTAACGGTCTATTTTAATGTTTGATTACGGTAACTGACTATCTGGCAATCCGGTGTTACAGTCATATCACTACTATGCGCTTTATGGGATGATCCTCTTCAGTCTTTCTCACCAACTGTCTCTGTCAGCACAACGGGATCCACCGGATTGAAGTAAACCCCAATCTGTCGTCCATCATTGGTCATGTACGATATTTCGTGGTTGTACTGACAAGTGGAATCGGTAGCGTTCCAGTAGAAAGACTGTTCCTGGTACATAATGCTAGCCGGTATTGTGGTTGTTGGAAATAAACCGTTCCCCAAACTCTCGAAGTACTGGATATTATTAACGGCGGCACCGACACTGCCGTTGGGGTCGATTCCAATATACCAGTTCCCGTACCCATACCATATTCCCGTCATCTGAATTTAAATGTTTTCAACGCCGGTATATGTAAATGCCATGGCTGAACGGTAATTACCAACTAAGTTAAACAGGTAAAGGTTCCCATACAAAGGCTCTAGATCCCTGCAAGTAGAATCAGCGATACAAAATAGCCAATTTATTGGACGCACCTTATCTACATCGATATTTTGCCCGCGAACGGCATTGGGTATTCCACAGAAACCATTTGACGGGTTTCCGGTAGTACTTGGTGATAGCGTGGCACTAGCCGTGTTGGAGTAATTGTCCAGACCGACATAAGGTGGGTAAGTAGCTGAGCTCTGTGCGGATACCGTTCGTAGGAAGCCTAAAGTAAGACAAAAGTAGTGTTACTGTAAAAGTTTCCATTATGTCACAGAACTCAATACACAGCTATACTTGGGATAGTCGCGAGCTAATTCATAGCATACATTAAAAGAGCCACCAAACTGATCACGAATAGAAGCACGGTATAACTAGTTTGAGTTAAGTCACTTGACCGACACTAGTCTCATGATCTCATCCAACGCCGGTATGCGATTTCATAGTCTAGCAGCGTATTTAGTAAGTACTTTAAATCGTTTACAAGTAATCGGTGGCGGAATTTGGAAACAAAAAGTCACTAAAATATAGATTGTCTGATTATCTGTAGGTGATGCTATACTGAAGCACTCTAAGTCCAACCTACCGATTACGATAAAAAAATTCCGTGTATCTTTGAAGTGGAAAAAACTCATGATTCATCAGAGAATTAAGATGATTGATTGTGGATAGTGGAGCAGTCCCAAAGACATAAATGCTGGTCCACAAGCAAAACAACTTGAGATGAATAAGATTTTACTGTACAATTGTATCGTGATCAGATGCATGTGTTGCTTTGATTTGACACGTAAAAATTGTTAGCAGCCTTTGCCTGAGCATGAATTACCGTCAATAACTGAAGTTTGGTAATTTCCGCAAAGTGGCTTATCGTAACCGTTCTCTCATTGTCCACATTAATTAATACGTAAATTGTCAATTCATGTTAGGTATATTTAAGTTCTTTGACATTGAATCAGCCTTACAAAATCCGTGTTTTCGACACCGCTATTTGTATTAGACAGGTGCACCACTGCTCGTAATTAAGCTGTAGCAAATGTCGGATTTTGTATCTACAATTAAACCATCAAACAGAACGAACGATGATTGCACTGTGTTCTGCAGACACAATAGTTAACTGTAGTGTATTTAAACGTTTTACATAAGATACGGCTCCGGGATGCATTGCATTTAGTCCGGTCATATCTACTGTATTATGCACACGATATTAAAGCGATACTCGAGCTTGGAAAAGCGTGTAACTGACACTAACGTAACTTTGTAATTAAAACTTAAGTTTAACTGTTACAAGGTCAGTTTTGTACGAACCCAGACAATATCGCGTTACAAACTGCATAACAGCATTTAGCAGCAGCAATTACAAAAAGTAGCAATTTGATAAACTTTGCAACAGATGTGTCAAGAATAAACGATGAATCTGCGTGAACGATTTCGATTTTAATTAAACACCTGAAAGAAATTAAAATCTGTAATGATAAAAAACATTTGGCTAAATCATAATATAAATTCGAGCGGAGCATACATCGAGTTTGCAGCTAGAAATGCAGCTGACTAATTTGTATACCTTCTAATAACAATGGCATATACCGAATTTTCTTCGACTTTTTTTATGGATTTTAGCAAGCTGAAATTAACCTGGTTTCGTTATTTCCAAATAAAATCTTATCAGATAAGTATTTTTATAAGTATTGTTTTATGATAAGTAATTTTTCAAGATCAGCAATACTTTGGGCAAAAATGCTTTTTTATTCGAGAGCATTCTTCCTGACCTCACAACACGTTTCTAGATTATCCGCAATATGCTTCTCTGCATCTGGAATTATTTGGTAGGCAGAAAAATTAGGTTGCTTTGTATTCTCATTGTGGAAGATGCGTTGTATTCTCCCTATAAAATACGAAACCAACAGCTGTACTTCTTATATGCACGTCCTTGGGGAATACCTTCAGCTACACAACGGATTATAACTGCATTGTAAGTGGACAGTGTTTTCCCACATGTACAAAGCACGTCTAATTAAGGTGCCAGTGTTTTCTCACAAACGCCGCAACTACCCGGAAACCATCCCGAATAATGGCACGCACTGGTGGATGACACAAAGGCGTAAGGCCCCGAACGTGTAATTCGCCGATGCGCTCACATGGACGCTATAATTACAGCTACTACAAGCGCAGTATTCGGCAAAAGCCAAACTGCTGGATTTCTGCCTTGGCTTGTTCGACATTCGCCGGAAATCATTTGTATCACTTACTAAAAGGCTACCTTACTGCGTTTGTGACCTTTTTATGAAACTAACTTTGCAATGTATTTTCCAAATGAAACCTGGTCATCTAATCAAACAACCGTCTGGTCCACCATGTCGCTTGTCGGGCTGACGAAACTGGTTGTGGAAGTGCTTCTCAACGCTTTTCTGTTGATAGTACTACTTACCGCACGAACATTGCATACACCGTTCACGATTTATCTCGTTAACCTGGTCATCGCGACGCTGCTGTTTATCATACTCTTCGAGCCGATTAGTATTATGTACTCACTGGACGCATTCCGTTCGCGATTGGGCGAAAAGGTGTGTGGATTATTTAAATATGCCACCTACAATCTGCCGGATGTCATCGTGCAGACTCACATTGTCATCACCCTTAACCGCGTGTGGGCCATCCTCAAACCGCACCATTACCAGCGGCGACACAGTCGTAAACTGGCCATCGGCTTCTGCCTGTGGACTTGGGTATATCCCCACGTCATCGTTGTACCAGGGTTAATACTAGATGCGACGGTGTACAATATTCCCGTGACGCAGATCAGCTTTTGCATGTTGAATATGAAAGCCTTGCGTGGCTGGCTGATGGCACGAGCCAGCGCTATGATGTTACTACCCATACTGTTTTTGATCTGCGCCAACGTGTGCTTGATGTTCTGGCGGGCGCGCTGGTTTAAGCGGGAAGTCAGCATTGTTGTGCAGGACTGCACTGATGTAACGGAAAAACCCGTTTCTACGGCGGCAACAACGCCGACGACCGTCAAGAGGGAGAACAGTCGTGGCTTACTGCTGCTAATCGGACTGACGGTTAGCATGGCAGTGTGCTGGATTCCCGGAGCAACGTGTATGATGTACATGACCTTTGCTAGTGGATTAAAGTCACAAAATGGTCCGGATTTAATGACGTGGGCGAAAGTCAGCGGCTACATGTTCTCCATGCAGACCATTGTAGATCCGGTCGTCATAATCCTGACCTTTAGAGACTTCAAGAAGGTTGCCAAAAGTTATTTCACGAATCTGGTTAATATTTCTCATAAAAAATCGCTTCATCCCTGAAGAAATGGGCAGTATATTTAAAAAAACTGAAATAGTATGTTTTTATGCAACAGTATCTTGAGAGGAAGCCGTGATATTGTCAATGTATCGATCTGGAATAGCAGGCGTCATCAATGCTGTTATTATGGTCGCACAACGTCAGTAACGCTGACGTTGGCATTTTTCCAGTATTGAAATTGTGCTAGCTTTCGTCACCGCTTTGTTTCTTGTAAAGTCTATCATGGAATTAATTAAAAAAGATTAAAACGAATGAAACCAGCTATATATATATTTTTTGAACAGATATATGTTTTTTTGGTGTTTTGTTTAGGCATAAGAAATTAAAAATCATTTAAAGACTCGTTCCCATTCTGTCTCAGTTATGTGCAACTGCAAACCGTATTTCTTACTCAGAATATCAATTTCTCACGACCACGGCACTTAAACCGTGAGTAAGCGCTTTATTATTTAATCATACGACTAGAACGCGACGCTGCAGCTTCACATCGCATAATGTAGAAAAACAGTCAAAAACCCTCAACATTTCATCGCGTGCCTGGAAAAGGAACACCCGTGTGAATATACCAGTTCGTACACAAAACGTCTGCATCGTATGAGTATAATCACATTTCAAACCGGCCACAAGCCACCAGCACTGTGACGGAACTGTGTTACCACAGGAGCGCCCGGAGGTTTACCAATGTCGACTAGGAACCATGTGTACAACGGCCTAATTTCACTGGCCAGCACACTGTAATTCAAACTGGACAAGCCATCCGTTTTGTATCTGGACACGGCATTAAACAACAAATCAAAGCGATCTTTGTTTTTCGGATTTCCCTTGTCCGCGCCATGTTTGATCATTTTGTAACGGCCAAGCTCTACCGGTGACTGGTTTACCCTGTAAAATTTCCTTAGTACGCGCCCGCCAGTGTCGTCATCTTCCCCTCCTAAAATTAAGCGCCTATAGTTTATGGCTCGATGAGGAAATTTTCAAGGCCAAGCCCCGTCAGAAACTAACAAATTATAATAAGCCGGCAGTTCGCTTTTTCTCAATAACCCCTCATTTTTATATGTATCATTAAAACATTTAATCAGCCATGTTTCGCGCTCCCGTGTGATAAATTACGTGATGTTTGCGGCTCGCATGACGTGATTAACTTTAACCAACCCGTCAACCTTAAACGTATAATATTATACAGTGTAAAGGGGAGCGGTTGTTGAGAAAAATTGAAATACGTACGCGTTACGTATATCGTTTATAATTCTCCAGCACGCACCCCATCCCCAGTACACATTAGGAAAACCGTTGATGGTGGCAAACTGCTGCTTTGTGAAAGATACCGCGGCACCGAAGTATCCCGGATAGGGCATTCTGTATTGATTCCGATCTATCGCTGAAGCCAAAATTGTCGGAATGGTGGGACACCAATAAGGATTTCGGTCGTCTTCCGGTAGCAAATCTACATCGTGAAATATAAAACAGTCGTACGCAGGATAATCCCGCGCAACTTCGACGTATCCAACATTCATTAACGTGCCTGTAAAAACGATAGAAAATGCGTTTAATAAGTAACTGTACAGCTCGTTCGAACTTTCTTTACGCGTACGTACTTGCGACCCAGTTTACTTCTATCACTGTAAATCAGGGGAATTTAGCTTTGTATATTGGTGAACGTACCCCGGTTAAATGAGTAAGTGCCAGATTGTTCCACAAGAAAGACACGATAGTCCAGCTGCTGCTTTTGTAAAAAGGGATGGATGTTATTCAGGAAAATATCTGAAATCCCAGAAAATAGGAATAATTTTACAAAAGCATGTTTCTTTATCATGAATGTATAATACCGAGATGTTCTTTGCGGTCCCTGTACGGAATAATCACGGCCACGCGACGTCGCGAACGGCACTCGACCGGTTGATACGCTCCACCCGGCTGAACGCGGGGATTGGCTGTGACAATCTGCTGTTCGGTCACCGTATCAGTCGATGCGTGAATAGGACCAACCAGAAGTGGTGACATGTCTGGACACCATGGAAGTGTTGAAGATAAGGTATCATTCTGCGACACTGATGAGTTCAGCGGAGATTCGGAATGATTCCCAAACACATTTAAATCTGTAGTCAAATACTTATCGGCAGACCGCGTATCGAGGAATGCGGAAGCGGATTTGAACAGCTCAAACTGAAATTGTGGAACGAAATTTCCAGTGCCGTTGACAATAAACGATACAGACATGAGGAACAGGCTTAGGCAGAAGATTATCAAGGAACATTTTAACCAGAAGCGTCTACAAAACGGTTGTGCGATTAAACTAGCCATCAAACAGTCCACAGTTGGAGACGTCGCACCTGATCATCCGTCAAAAATTTGTAAATTAATACTGATAGCTCCATCGGCATCCTCATAGCTTTCCGGCAGAACCTGGCTAAATCACGCAACAAAACAATGCTAAAGGAGGATCCCGTAATTCTTATCCATAATAACTGGACGTTTTCTACTGCATGTATGCGCGGCACAGACGATCATTATGCGTGATAAAGATTACTCATTGTGTTGTAACCATCAAAAACCATTGCAGATGAGCGGTAGATGCATCTTAGCAGTTACAGTACATGCTGGCAGGTATGGTCGTTTACCTAATTATTCTTTCACTGTGTTCCGTTAACATCTCTACCGATGATGGAAGCATTTTTCACGTGCTATATTATTGGACGTTATGAATTTGACCGTATCTAGATCACCATGCTGAACCGGCATGGCAATTAATAACAAGTACTTACTAGAAGGCCAACGGCGGACCACGCGTGTGATGAATGTTGTCTGCCGACAGCCGAGTCATTCCGCACAACAATAGCTGACCACAACAAATCTGTAATGTGATCCACTCGCGCACTTCAACGGTACATGTACAAGTATATGGATATCTGTGTACATACTGCAAAATTAATTGTATTGTTTCACTTTGTATTACTATGAATGCACCTGTTACCTATGCACTACATTATTTTTTCGATCGATATCGATGTACGAATATTAATAATGATTATATTTTGCACTCTATATTGGCAACAACTAAAAATTCAAAGTGAATGGCCCAGCGGTCATATTGTGGCCCAATCCTGCACCGAAAAGGTCGATGAAATTGCGGACTAGCAATGTACGATATGGATCACTAAATTTAATATGTATACTTGGCAATGGGCATTGGTGTTATCATTGGTACGCACATTAATATCGTTACCTGTACCTGTACAGTACATATATAATTATATAATCAGCGCGGTACTACGCAAGTCATAAATGGTTGCATCTTTTCACTTTTGTTGCAAGTCGATATGAGATATTATTATGACCTATAATATACGGGGTTTTAGGGGGTGCATATAAGGGTACCCTTTATTTTGACCTGCTCACTTTTGTGAAGATTCGGTGACAGCGGATCGTCATGTCTACATCGACAACGCCAAATTACTCGAGTACTGTACCGTTCTACCAATACTGAAAACTCCTAACAAACAACAAAATCACAGCAAAACTGCTAGAAAGAAAGAACATCGGAACTGTACAAGATCATAATAGTGTGACGAGTTAATCACAGCTCAACTGCGGAACATTGTAAGGAGCTAAGAACTGTTTCAAGGAGGCTGACCGATGTCCACCAGAATCCAAGTATACAACGGCCTCAGTTCGTAATTCAGCAATAAATACGACAAACTCGATAAACCGTCAGTAGTAAAGCGCTTTCTCGCTTGACCGAGTATTTTAAAACGCTCCGGATTCTTTGGATTCCCGGGGTCATCGGCATGTTTGATCATCGTGTAGTGGCCAATATCCAAGGCTGCTCTCCCTTGTTTACCAAACTTGAATCGCACGCGTTGCCCGAGATCATCATCTTCACCGCCTTAGAAAAAAGAAAACTCCATTAATTTCGCGTAGCTACTGCGGTCTCCAAGTGGGAGGTAAAACGTTTGTAAAAAATGCTTAGAAACGTCGTAAGGACGCTTGTAAAGAAATAGAAGTGCAGGAATTGCATACAATTAGGAAAATCAAATTTAATTTGCAAAAGACCTTTTAAAATTTTTCACGAAGAAATATTTCGTTTCCGCAAGCCTATTAATTTTGCCACTCATAAAATTTCTGCAACACTTACCCCAGCCCCAATAGACATTCGGATAGCCGTTTATATCACGGAACTGGCTGCTGGAGAAGGAGACAACGCCGCCGAAATAATCGTTGTATAATGGTTTGTATTTGAACTTATCCATGACGCTCGACAATAGCGTCGGGACTTCAGGACAAGAGTATGAATTTCGGTCGTTTTCCGGTAACAGATCCACATCGTGGAACACAAAGCAGTCAAAATCACGAAGCTTGCTGGCCTCCGCGAATCCCACGTTAAATAGCATACCTTTTAACCAAACAAATTACAAACAGTTAATATTACTGAACTCTACTGAAATCACCATGGTACAATTTTTATCACAGCATTAGTCCTGCGATCGAACGGCACAACGTTCTACGAACACTACGGTAGTCTGAAATTTGAACTACTGCAGTTAAATTCGCAAGTTAGTGGTACGGACTAAATAATCACTTCCCTCAATTATTCAGTTTTACGATCGTAATATTATACATTTCAATTTCGGAGGTCAAGCAAACGATGCAAGCCAGTTTCACTCTGTAGACAATGCAGGAAAGTTACGCTCCATAAAATAAGGCAATAAAAATAATAAACAGTAAAAAGGCAGAATGCATTATAACAGACGAACCTCTGTTAAATGTTGCGTTTCCGGTTTGCTCCACAATGAAAATCGTGTAATCCCGTTGCTGTCGTTGGAGAAACGGGTGAAGATTGTTAAGCAAAATTTCTGCAGAAAAAGAAGAAAAAGCTGCTAAACAGCGAAAAAGCTGTTTACCTTCTTAACCAAACAAATTAAACAATTAATATCACTGAACTATAATGAACGCACCATGGTACAGTAAAAAGAAATTCATCTGGTACTCTAGACTATGGTTCAGGAATACTGGTACCCTCCTGATTCGAGACGATAGCAGCGCCGGACAATTAATACATAATATATCTGTAGAATGTATTACCGTATGAAGATTTTGTATACCGGTATATCTACCGGTATATGCAAAAACTGAAATACGTATGTCCAGCTGTGAACCAGAGCATAATGTAACGTTTAACAAGTTCTTTGTGCTCGCACATAGTCTGCATTATTCCATGACGTGAATTTTTCACGTCATAATAATTACTAATAGTAAACTCCATTGTGATTCCATCAGTGCAAGAAATCACCAGTAGATTTGCAGTTTGCACTGCGATAACATGACTTCCAGATTAACACGGGTGCAGTTAATTTTTACGCTATCGCATTGTTTCCGTTTCCGGTTTCCGGCATGTCAACGTACCATATATAATATACATTTTCTTTCGTTGCCGCACCATCTTTTGACGACCTTGTCATCTTTCGTTATTATTACGTTTTCATTTTATAAAAGCCAACAGACATCATAAAAATAGCTACAGATTTTCAAAAAATATTGATGCTACGGTAGGTTTTGGGTTCCCCGTATATACCAGCCATTTAAAATCATTAAATATCGACTTGACCCATAAAATACCGTCTGCTGAAAAGTTGAAAGTATTATTGGTACAGAATAAACTGTTTTATGATGGTGATAAAATTGCGGCGCACCGCATCGAAATATTTAAAAGAATATCGCCTCCTTTTCCATAAAAATACGTACAAAACACATTGATAAGTGTCGCAGCCTGCTTCCTGTTAAAGTATCAGCGTTGATATTTATAACTGTTTAAATATCTCAGTATTACGGTTTTTTTTCATAATGAGCATAAAAATACAACCAATAACATACACAAAGACGGGTTTTCTTACGCAGATGCTCCTTGCGGTCCCTGTACACAACCAGCACCGCCAGTTTCAGGCGACCGCGCGGAGTACACTCGGTCGGATGATAATGGCCTCCTAGCTGCACATGCGGATTGGCCGCCATGATATCCGCATCCGAGCGAACCTCCTGCGAAATCTTACTGCGTCCGATCAGTCGGGGCGATTCCTTCTCGCACCAGGGAATCAGCGCGGACGCATTGAGGGATGTGTCATTTTTATTGTAGAAATACAGCAGCTTGATCGGCTGTTCGCCGTACGTATCGTAGTGGCCCGTTTCGTTGCAAAACACATTACTACTGTCCACTCCGCCTCCGGGAATCGCCAGCGGGGGACAATTAGGCGCGGGACGGCTGGAGGACATGAACAGTGAGATGGAGAAGAGCACGGTCAGGGATACAGTGCAGTAAAAAGAAGATCAACACCACTTTGTACGCATTGATACCAGGACAACGGGATGATAATGCTCCCTTCTGAACAGACATCGTGGATTAGTGATAATTATTGGAAAGATAAGTACGTAGTGCTACATGGAACCCGATTCACTCGCGAAATGGGAATACTCGGATTCCAAGGTGCAGCTTTGCGCGCATAACGCGCAGTGGATTCGCTATCCGTTATAGTTCGCACACCTGTTGCCGCAATCAAACGTTCTGCACCGCTACGTTTATTAACCATAAATACTATAATATTACACTGTGCGGCGTGTGCAGTGCAATCCAGCAGGCTAAGTCAATAGTAATTTTTATCGGTTGGAATTTTGAGGCGTTTGATAAGGAGTGTGTAACATTCAAATCAAAAATGATGCAACAGGACTTAACAACCCACGCGCTTTGCCCACTGTATGGTACGTACGTGTATTCACCACTGCCACAGTGCACTGCACAAGTGCTGGTACCCCAGCGTAGTATAAAACTCAATATTTTTGTATGATAATGAGTCTAATGACCAATGCCCTGCCGAGTGTCGGGTGCATCTGCACAAACGTCGTACGTGCCCAAAACCGTAGCAGTGAGCAATGTGCCCTTCTGTACTGCTTGGTGAAACTGCACCGTTTTTGCATTATTTTCATTTTGTACATTTTTCAGCTGCGTCGACTGCTCTTTGAGTTTGCTTCTTGGAATTTGCTTCATAAAAAACACCTGCCTTTATAGTGTAAAGTGCTCAAAGTGAGGACTTTTATCAAGGCCGAAGGCGTGCTCAGAATTCCATCAAGCCATTATTTTTAATGGACGTCTACAATCTGTACTCTCGGACAGTGTGTACTACAATATACGAGTATACGTACGTAGTCGGTTAGTATGTACACATTGTACAGTACTTGTGCTGCGTTATAGCGACATACTATGTATAATAAAAAAAATTAATTATAATGATATGCACCTGTAATAATTATCGTTGTGTTTAATAGTTATGTGTACGCACTGTAAGGAATGGGCGCCTTAATATCACGTGCACATTTTACGGTAATAGACTGTTACGGCTTGATCTCCATGCGCATAGCACGCCATTCATATTGACCGTCTGGTTCTCCTTCTCACGTTTCCGTGAAATGATATCATGCGGTTTATGGGTATCAACGAAAATATGCGGGTTTTGTACCTACTACGAGTAGAAGTAGCTGCAAAGTGCGAACCGGCTGCTACAATATATATAAGTCGAGCCGGCGTGCATTCGAAATCGCACAACACCGTAAAACGTAAAACAACCGTAAAAACTTCTGGGTTTACGGATTAACTTTTTACGTATAAAGTATTGATTTCGCGAATAGGCTGTGAATAGTACGAGTTGAAACTTTTGCAATTTGCATTGCAGTCACACTTCCGGAAGCCTTCGTTTGAAAAGGGACTACAGCATTATAGGGGATCAAATTACAAGGAAATGCCAGCAGTCACCATTTTTGCGGTTGCCTTGCTTATGTTGGCAGTCTTATTCTTATGGAATGAACGACGGAAGCGGAAAAATTTGCCGCCTGGTCCACCCACAAGTAAGTTGGCCAACTGCCTTCGCTGGACGAGTGTATCACTTTGGTGCCTGGAAGCCGGAAGGTCTTGATAGTACTTAATCATTTAAGAATATTTGTGTTCCTTTCTATATTATTGCTCAGTAATTTTTATTAGGTCTCCAGTGGAGGCTCTCCACTTATCTTTTTTATGGAGGATAAGTGCAGTCTTGCCAGAGTGCAGCGCTGAATTTTCAAAATAAGCACGTCCTGCAGCGTATGTAACGCTTGTAGCTATTGTATTTTCATCCATAATCTTCGATAATTATTTATTATGCAGTTCCACTATTCCTGAGGGCCTAATACAAGTACTGTTGGGTTAATACGTATTTGCAATTGATAGTGTGAATAACATTTAGGAAGATAGGTATGGGACTTTGAATAATAAAATTTTTTTATTAATTTAACCAACATACAGGGTAATTGTCGCTGTACTCTGTATCTGCCTGGGTTTTCGCTTATGGATATATATATGTTAAGTACTCTCGACTAGTTCGGACTGTATTACGCACTTGTTCGAAACTCGATCAATATTACAATTTATTATTGTTTAGTTGTAAGGGAAAACAGCCATAGGTAAAATTTAAATGCATACACAAATATTGAAATTTGTAGATTTTCTTGTTATCAGACTGTGGCATTGTGCAGGCAGTGCAATACTTAGAATAGGGTCCATGTCGACAGTATCTGCACTGTACAAGGACGGTATTAATAAATTTCCGTAGTGAAATATCTGTAGAAGGACCTTTAATAAGTATCACAATGCTAGTACAAAACTGAGTACCAAAGCAGAATATAATTTATAATAAAAACACTTCTTCTATGCTATCCTGTTCGGGGATTGTACCCATCACGCATATCGCGTTTCCCCGTTGCATTTGAATAGAAAGCCGCTGCCTAAAAAACTCTTCTGCGCGTTTTTGGCCGGTAGCAGTTGCAATTCCGTTTCCTATTTTCCGGACGAGCGTTTTAGTTCCATCTCCCCAGGGTCCGTAGATTTCAAATGCTGCTGCCAAGAAACAATAAATATACAAAAATATCTCTAATAATACCTGTTATAATATCTGTAAAATATCTGTAATAATTCTAATACAGAAATATCTGTATTAGTTTTGTCATGACATTATTATGTTTTGAATACGTTGCAAATTAATGATATAAGCCGCGGCTTTTTGACTGTAGAATGGCCGATCGTGGGCAACGCATTCGAACTTGGACCTGTCGCCCATGTCACCCTGACGGAAATGTCCAAGCGGTATGGTCCCGTATTCCGGCTGAAACTGGGACTGGATACTGCTGTTGTTTTGAATAATTATGAAAATATTAAGAAGATGTTCTGTCTCGAAGAAGCCAGCGCTCGACCAAGAGGAACAATCGCTGATTATATCATCACATCGTACGGTACGAGCATTCTATTCGATCTGTGTCATGGCTTTTATTTTCATTCGCAGTACAAGAGCAAGTGCGGCGGCAAACTAGTACAAAATTAGTAATCAATTAGTAACATCCTTAAAAAATTAGTTACATGCTTTGAATCAATTTTAAAATATTTACTCTAACCGACAGCACCGAAGTACTGATTACGACGTGACAAACTCCCGTTCTGTTCACTCGTACCGTAAATCATGGTAAATTAACAATAACATTCGGTATTCGGTAATTTAAACTCGTCGAAATGGCCAAAGTGTCATTTGAGTTCTGAAAATTTTAGGTTTGGTACTGTGTGATGGAAACCTTTGGAAAGAACATCGCCGCTTCGCCATGTCGGCTCTCCGTCAACTGGGCATGGGGAAATCGTGGTTGCAAGAACAGATTCTGGATGAAACAGATGTACTGATCAGGGCCTTTGCCGATACCAAAGGTCAGCCCGTCGATCCGGCGCATTTGGTGACGAATGCCATCTCCAACATCATCTGCGCAGCGGCAGTGGGAAAACGTTACAGCTATGACGATGAGTACTTCCAGGCGCTGCTGCAAAATGAACGCCTCTACACCCAGCAGTTTAACCAGATCAGTCCACTGGATCTCTTCCCCATTCTCCGCTTTGTACCGCCCTTCAGTAAAGTCTTCCAGAGGCGGCTGGAGGTAACGGACATCCGATTGACGCATATTGACAAAGCCATTGAGGAGTCCAAGATGGCCGGACAACGTGATCCGGAACGCATGGATTATGTGAATTTGTATCTTCGTGAACGAGAGCGACAGCTGCAAAATGGCGTGAGGGATACCACGTTTGATGGTAATGTAATGACGTGTTCAGCTGTTTTCTTTTCACACCAGAAAAGGTCATACTGAGAAAAATGAACCATGTCGGTAGTTTACCGTTGGCGTAAATGAACTACAGATAAATAAGTAAATACAGTAAATACTGTATATAAAAAAAAAATATGTAAACAACAGCAAAATTACTCCTAATTTTTTTACAGACAAGCAGCTTCGGTACTCGGTGATGGATCTTTTTGGAGCGGGAACGGAGACCACTTCATCGACGATTCTTTTGGGATTGATATGCATGGTGGAAAATCCAGATGTTTTAAGAAGGCTGCAGGAAGAGCTGGATACAGTGGTCAGACGAGATGAGCCGGTTCGCTTGGAACATCGGCGTAAGTAAAGTTTGTGCCTTTTCCACTATAATCTTTCCGCCTCGAGTAGTGAATGCTGATTGTCAAGGACTTCTTTCAGCTCGCTTGGCATATATGGACGCCACCATTTCAGAAATACTCCGTCTGCACGCCATAACACCACTGGGACTTTTTCACCGCACCACAGAATCCGTTAAATTCGATGGCTACGATATTCCGTCGGACACCCTCCTGGTTTCAAATCTCTATGCCGCTAACCAGGATCCAGCATTGTGGATAAATCCGGAAAAATTCGATCCGCTGCGGCATATTGATGAGAATGGGAAATTCAATAAGTCCCCGTATGTTGCTAGTTTTTCTATTGGTAAGGAATTTTCTTCACATGTGTTTACGTGGGTTCTTAGTCTTCTTTACGGCGCTGTTATGTTTCAGGAAAACGCGCTTGTCCAGGAGAGGCTTTGGCGCAGTGGGAACTCTTTTTGGTATTTGGAAATATTCTTCACAAATTTGATTTGATTGTGCCGGATGGAGAAACGGTTTCATCAGAGAATGTTACGATAAATAATACAATCATGCCTAATCCAGTTAAACTTATTTTCAAGCCTCGCCCGTAATCTTTGTCGGATGGTTGTGTGTTTCCGATTTTTTAAACGGTTATCACAATTTCCGGATCTCGTTTGCAATTGTGTTTTTAACGGAACAGATGCCTGTATCATGTGTCAAGTTAATTAATGTGAAGGACATTAAGATACCTATGTGGTTTCGGTGGAAGTCTGATTTTCAAAAGCTCACACTTTTCTTTCGATTGTAATCGACCTTCAGGATTTCACGTGACAGTATCAGCAGAATTCAAAGGTCGCCAGTTAGTGACCGCCTATGTATGCAGTAAAGTACTTACAATTTGTTTTTTTACGTGCTTCAATCCAGGGGCGTAATATAGTAAGAAGAAGGGGGTGTCAAACTTTGACAGGGGGCAATTTTTTTCCGAAACCCCCCCCCAAAATTGACAGGGAGCAAATTTTAAATCTATCAGTTTATATGTTGAAAAAATTGCCAGGTGTCAAACACCTTTAAAATCAAAAAATTTTGCCTCGCGCAAAATCTTTGGCAAAATGGGGGAGTCAAATTCCAAAAAACTGCCGGTTGGCACCCCCCATATTACGCCCCTGCTTCGATCTTTCTTACATGTATTTGGATGCCATGTTCTACCGTGCGTAAATACTTTTTGATTGCATTATTTTTATGAACGCTATAATTGATTTTCCTGATCTTTCCCGCTTGACAAAATTACGTGTACTGACCCTCGATTAACAGCCGCGATCAGATTGTCATTAATGTACTGTATATGGCGCATTTGCTTATCGTGGTTTTGCGAAAATGACTTAGATCTGTAAGTCAAGATTTAAGTCAGACACAAAGGTCAAGCTTTTCAGCGCGACATCTGCTACCATAATTTAACGCTACTATCACAATATTTAATACGTAAAGAACAGTAAGCTCCAGTCGATAGTTGCAAACTCAAAACAGCTTTGCCTGCTGTTAGTTAAGTAGTTTTTTAGCTTGTTAGCAATAGATAAGACGTGAGAACCGAACAGCAGTCTCCAGATCCAGAATTAATTCAACGTATTTCATCTGCTGCTGTGCATCTCGTTTAACAAAAATGATTGCTTGGTTCCTTGGTATCTTGATTATCCTGCTTTTGGTGGCGATTATGTTCAATTCACTGCGGATTTGGAAGGACCAGCGCCTTCCACCTTCGCCGTTTACCGGTATAAGCTTTAACATGTGCTTTTTTGAATAAGATCTCGTACTAGTTGCATAAATTTGCAAAAATCTCACGAGGAATGTAGACCATCGAATAATATTATTATATATAATTAGTATTTCCCCTTGTTAAACCTTACGTGACATTATGCAGTGTTGGCTGTGTATAACGCTGCACTTCGGGAAAAATGAAGGCAACGTCTTACGTTTGTGCCCTAAACTGTTCTGGATTTAATGGAATAAAATTTCGCTGCAACTAACCAATCGCAAATCGGTATTAAACTTGAGTTGTAAGCTATGCATTGGGTGTACCGATAATAATATCTGTATGTGAAATGATAATTATAAACTATAATATAGCATGGCCCATAATTGGGAACGTTCTCCATCTCGGTCAACTGCCGCACCTGAAATTGATGGAAATGTCCCAGCGCTATGGACCTATTCTTCGACTAAAACTGGGATCGGATGTGGCGGTAGTCTTTAGTGACTACGAACTACTAAAAAAGGCCTTCAGCCAAGACGAAACCAGCGGGCGCCCGAGAAACACAATCACCGACGTGATGATTGGAAATAATACAGGTACGCACACCTATTTAAAATATTAAAATTAAAAATAACATACCATATTTTACTATTGCAGAATATTTTAAGTTAAAATATTATACAATAATAAAATATTATAAAATATAAAAATATTATTATAATATTTAGGACTCATATTCAGTGACGGCAATTTGTGGAAGGAGCACCGACGATTCGCCTTATCCACACTGCGCGACTTAGGAATGGGTAAATCCTGGTTGCAGGAGCAAATTCTCGATGAAGCCGACCGGTTGGTAAGAGCGCTCGCCGCCACTCAGGGTCAACCGACGGATCCCCTGCATTTGGTGACGAACACGATCTCCAATATTATTTGCGCAGCGGCAGTTGGGAAACGCTATAACTACGACGATGAATACTTCCGTGCTCTTCTGCGCAACGAACGAAGCTTCGTCCAGATGTTCAACCAGATCAGCATGCTGGACCTTTTCCCTGTTCTGCGATTCGTGCCACCTTTTCGAACTCTCTACAAGAAACGACTGGAAGTTACGCAGATTCGGTATGCTCATATTGCAGCGGTCATTGACGAGGCAAAAAAATCCCCACTGGACAATGGTGACAAAATGGACTACGTTAACATGTTTCTGAGCGAACAGCGTCGCCAACGGGAAAGCGGTGTTGCCAACAGCACTTTCGATGGTACGGTACTGATAAAATGTGCGAACAATACTAGTATTGTTCGCATATATTTATTATTACTAGCACACAAATATAACATTATATACTTGTGTACAGTAACTTTAATATAGATATATTCTTTCTAAAAACCGTTGGGTTGTGAGATCTAGCTCTGTATTGTTTCTATGTACAAAAAACATAATAATTATTTCGTTCGTCTTAATGATCTAACTTTCCAACTTTTAATGTGTACAGCGCTTATTTTAATTCGTACGTACGGATGGATGTACGTACGAATATACAATAACAATAAGTATGGATGTACAATAACTTTATTAGTAAACGAAGCCAGTGTAATCCACTACACTACGGTGTACGAGTATGTGCATTTCATTCTGTTCATGCTAGATGAACAGCTCCTGCATTCCATTGCCGATCTTTTTGGAGCTGGAACGGAAACCACTTCGAACACAATTTTATTTGGATTGCTATTTATGGTCGAGAACCCGGCAGTTTTTAGACGAGTACAAGACGAGCTGGATACAGTTGCGTCGAAGAACGAACCAATTCTCCTGGAGCATAAAGGTCATTCTTGCAATAAAGGAATCCGTTAAAATTTGAACATTTATCATTACTGCACGCTAACATCAGATGTTTAGTAGTACAATATAATATGTGGGTGCTGAATAAGCAGTGCGAGGTGTCGATTAGGTCATCTGCCCTACACTGAAGCAACCATCTTGGAAATCCAGCGCCTTAATCCCATTGTTCCCTTGGGTGTCCTGCATCGGTCAATGGAACCTACGAACATCAACGGCTACCGTATTCCTGCTAATACTCTCCTGATGTCTAACATCTATGCCATTCATCACGATCCAAAGCTGTGGAATGACCCGGAGGCATTCGATCCGTCGCGTTTTCTGGATAACAGCGGCAGATTTAACAGATCTCCACACGTAATCCAGTTCTCAGTCGGTAGGTGGAAATTATATTTCGCAATTCGTATTTTTATTCCTTTAGCAAAGCATTTGTTATTATTGCTCTCGATCTTCCTTGAAGGGCAAACTGTAGTAATCAATTCGGTTTTGTAGATGAAGTTCAACATTTTGTCTGTAAATAATGTTTAGGAAAACGGGCTTGCCTTGGAGAATCACTGGCTCTAATGGAACTATTCCTGGTTTTTGCTAATATCCTTCACAAGTTTGACATCGCAGTTCCAGAAGGATCACATGTTTCTTGGAAAAATGTCACAGTGAACATCACCGCAATGCCAAACCCTTTTCGATTGATTTTCGAACGACGTACTTAAATTAAATGTTATAGCGAGAAATTATTAAACTTGTGAGTCATGCGGGGCTAAAAATGGCACCGTATACCGAAGTAGCGGCGATTACCTTATAAGTTCGGGCCTGTTCGGCTAGCACAATGGATAGCCTTTTTGCATGACCTACAGAGTGCGTGTAGATAAGTGTAGAAATTCCGTTTTTTTACTACGATAAGATTTTGGATGGCGGAACACCGGATACAGAATTTAATAGTCGCACACTCGTTTTTTTCCGTTCGACAAGTTTAGAAATAAATCTGATCAACGAACTGGAATAAATATACGCAAGGGAACATATTTATTCTGCAAGCAAACATTTTACTTATTATATATGTGCACTTCGATGAGTTCGCATGCCGAATACAGTGCGGTCGTTATACAAGTGATGCACAAGTTCTTAAAAAATCACCGGTTTTCACAATACTGGAGCAGTGCAAAAAATCCATATTAAAGCGTGTTGTTAATGTCCGGATTGCGAAAAATATCGAAGTGGTACAGAAGTGATAGGCTTGACCCGCAGACCATTCAGCTGGTACTTTACAATACATGCACTGGTTTGCTGGTTTGCTTACTAGTAAGCCTTCAGCTGCATTAGTTTAAATTAAAATCGTGCGCGTACGTTCATGGCCAGTTATATATCAGAAAATGTTTGCTAAATGTATTCCACTCTTTACCTTGCAGATGACAGTTATTGAGCATGGTACCAATTATGCACGAATTCTTTTGTTTACTCCTAAACCCTTTTTTCTCTTGTTTTATGATGTCTGTGTCAATCGATTGGCCGAAGGCGAGCAACATGATTCGGTTATGGCTGTTACCAAAGTTTAATGCATTCAGGTGTGCCAAGTCTCATTATGGACCGATCTCTTTCAGATTTTGCATGTCACATAACCACGAAGAACCTTTTACACCGATCCACTGTTCTAGCATGTTTTCAAATTTTAAAATGAATTTCAAAAATTTTAAAATTCATTTTAAAATTTGAAAAAAATTGTGGAAGTCTGGATCGGTGTAAAAACGATCTTCATGGCCATGCATTTACATGCAAAATTTGAAGGAGATCGGTCCATAATGAGACTTTGGTACACCTGAAAGCATTTAAACTATTGGGAATTTTCAGCCATAACTCCCGAACCGGATGTTGCGCGCAAACGGTTTTCAGCCTGTGTATACAAATCATTTGACTACAGAATGTCATAAAACTAGAGAAAAACGGTTTGAGTGCGAAAGGAAAGATTGCATACATGAATTTGGTACCATGTACCGGGCCACTTCCCTTAATAACACCGACATTATTCTAGCAATAGCTCCAGAACTGAGCCCTGATAGCTTGGTAGTGGTACGTACCTCTGTACAAAATATTTTAATATGCGGCAAACTACAGGATTTATAAGCTTAGCTTCCCGCAGATTGTTTTATTTCTCAAAACAATTCAGTAGTCTGAAACTGATCTTACAAGATAATATTATAAATTTTTCATGGTACTGTAGCCGTACAAATCAGATCTGGAATGTTACAGTAATAATGATGAGCATTTCATTGGTGCTAGTTGATGCGGAAACATCTGAAGTTGTACTTGTACGAATCTTCACTTTTATCGTGGATTTCTAGACTGGTTTGGGAAATGTCTAACTGATCTAAAATCATTCTTGCTCTTGCCCTTGCCCTTGCCCTTCTCCAATGTTTTTCTACGATAAAAGTGAAGATTCGTACAAGTACAAATTCAGATGTTTCCGCATCAACTAGCACCAATGAAATGCTCATCATTATTACTGTAACATTCCAGATCTGATTTGTACGGCTACAGTACTTTATTTCTCAATATGTACAAGGCGAGCTTCGCTCAACAAATACAGTATATAAAAGATATAAATTATTACGTATGTATAATGTAAGCACGAATAACTGACCAATAATTTGTAAAACTCGTGTTTACAATAGTTCCGGTCAGCAGTGCATCCATAGTGGGGTACGCTCCGCCTTCTGCGGCGCTGCTGTCCAACCGCAGTGCGCATAGTGCAATTATCCGCGCACGAGCGCCTCCGCCGGCCGGATTGGCGGGCAAAATCGTAAAGGCGTAACGTAATAGCGTTACGTCTCGGTGCCGGCTCAGCTGGCGCACCAAAATGATGTGTTTGTACCGGTTTTTGTTCCTGTGCAGTCGATGTATTCTCCTTTCAACTCCGACTGCATTCCCATCTGTATTGTTAATTTTGTCCAAATGATAACCGATCAGCATCGTTAGTACACACGTCTGTGTTGAAATACAACTGACCACACATTTTGGCAGTGCATTCAGCCGATTTTATTCAGTTTGCGGATTCCGTATCCAGAGTTGTCGGTGAACATCGGAATAGTTTTTAATCCGCATACTCTGTCAGTTGAATGTGGATTATCGAGGGAAACTATATGGGATATCGGCGTTCGTTGTTCTTTGTATAAAAACTCCCGGCATTGACCAGTGGATTATCGGCCGTGATTGAGCAACCGCCATTCAGAGCTGCCATAATCCCCGAATTTGAGTAGCTCTCCTGTTTTCGGTTGCCGTGAGCGCTCGAGAGAGTAGTGTCACACTCAAAAAATAGCAACAAACCACAGTGTTCATCTATGAATTCAAGCGTGAGAAATTGTGGTTAAACACACTGACAGCGGCGTGTATATACAATTATACAGACTACAGTCCAATCGATCATGGAGTGTTGGGGAGGTTTTTTCTGGTGTGAAAACCATCAACCTATCTCTGTTGGTCAATAATGCGCCGCGGAAGAGGCCGGGCCCTGCTGCCCGTTGTTCTCTTCATTATCTGTACTTTAAATCGATATATTTATGGCATATCGCCGGGATTATTCGATGGCTCCGTCCGGGACAATATTGTGACCACACCGAACTACTGGAGCCGCAGTAATTTCGGATTATCGATCATTTGTCCGCGGGAATGCGCCTGTAATGACCAACTGACCAGTATTGATTGCAGTAAACGTCGACTGAAACGGATACCCAGTCCGTTTCCGGTGCAAGTTGAAAAATTGTAAGCACCAACTTTCCCAAATAAAGTTTAAGTATTTATTATATAATTTCTCACTCTCTATTATTTCGTTACCGGTTTTATTGTGTTCCAGAGATTTTTGCTTAACTATGAATTTGAGACAATTTTTTTTAGTTTTTTTCTGCCCAGCTCGCCTATGTTGCATTTATATGCATTTTGCTTATATTGGTTATATATACGTATAAATTATTAAAATAGTTGAAAAATTGTTTAAGCAAATTTTCGGATTATAACTCTTGTACATAAATGGTCCTTTTATGAGCAGCAATGATTAAGGGATGAAATTAGCGATTAACTTGTCATGGGCGTTGATAAGGGAAACGGGGGAATGCGTGCGCGACTGTGTGTGTGTGTACGATGCGGCGGCCAGTTCAGGACAGTCTGGCGGCGCACACGCGATAAAATCAACGAAATCTGTGGCGTCAGATCAGATCAGCAATAGAAACAGTCGCCTCGGCGTGGACGTGTGTGCCCGGCACATTCATGATGCGATTACGCTAATGCAGGCGCATAGTGGAGAGGTTATTTCAGGTGATCCCAGACGTTTCCTCAATGACACTATCCGCCCGTAGCATCGGGCCAAATTAGTTCCACTTCTGCCCAGATAGCTTTCTAAAAAGATCATATTGATGAAATTATAAAATATACATTGTCGTATTTTAAGAACCACAGCAGGAACTAAACGCCAGCTTAAACGCACGCTTCCCTTAATCGGCAATTTTGTTAATAAAATAGCCACTTGTTTTACAGACTTTTAAATTTTCTAGTTCTTTCATTTAGCAGAAAATTATAAAATATATTTTTATATATTAGCAGATGCTGTGAATTCAACTAATCACAAAAAGCCGTAATTTATATTAAAATTGTGTAGGTGTACAATTCAGGTTAAAAGCTTGCATCTGACACTATTAGCATAATTAAGCTATTATGGCCGTGATTAAAACCGCAGACACAACAGCGAAAGAATGCTGGTCTTTGTTTTGCAATGGCGTGACAAAAGCCATGTGTAAGCTGACCAGCTGCGAAGAATAAACGGTGTATGGGTTTAAGTAGGCATACCAAAATATAATAAAAATGTATTGCGTGGCCTGGGCGCGCATATATACGAGTTGATGTGTATGTAGCGTACTGGCCATTTATGTCATTATTTCGTAGGCCGGCCACAGTTGTGTCCACTTAGCAATTAATTATTGACGATTTCTCCGAGGTATAATTGATGTGCTTGAAGTGTTGGCATTGTTTGCATTGACGCGCTCTAACAAATTCCAAGCTGCGTCCGTACAACATAATCAGCTCCATTAATAATGGCCCACGCAGTACGTGCGCAGCGGTTCGTTACACTTCTTAAAATTCTTCACAGCCACTTCATTCATCAGAACTGTTTCCACGACATTGGTGTATAATATACAGTTACCTGGCTAATCTTATCGCTCTGCACTTTATGCACTTTTCCAACCGGAACAGTTTATTAGCAAATAAATATGAGCGATGCCCAAGTGCAGCTATCTGGGCAAATACATTACGCCATGTAATTTCAGGAAATTAAATGGTAATTTATTTGCATTGCCTGGGAGATGACCAGTCTTATCGCAGCCATGGCTCTTCGGTCCAAAACAAACAAGCAAATAATTTTACCATGTTTACAACATTGATTATTATAATTTTATATTTCCGTTGTTAAAAAATTTAAAGATTTAATGGGCTGATTTATAAATACATTTTCTCGCTTTTGAAATACTGGATTAACAAATTTTAAAAACGTATACTTGTGAGTGCTTTCTAGAGTTATTTTGTGATCAGATTCGTAATTGTGTTTGATGATTTGTTTATGGATGTCGGAGCCGGGTTGCAGGGAAAGCGGCTCGTAAAATGGTCAAAAGGGAATTACGAGCATGTCCTACATAAGCCGCCATTAATTCGGTACTAGAAAGCTCGTTGGCCAGGGCGTAGGATATTGCTCATTAATTGCGGGTTCCTGTGGGAGGAAGGAGCCGGATAGATTGGCGCGCAGGAAATGTGCACTGACTGCATATCGCAAATCGGCGCCCCGGTACTTGTTTCGTACCGGCACTCGCGGCACATCCATCGTCAAACTGCCATGGCGCGCTTTTTTTCTCAAGATCCGCTCCGGCCTGCCATATACAGTCCAAAATGTGTACTCCACATTTGGCAGTGTTTTTTCGCACACACTTTATGTTTTCTTACATGTCAGTAGCCCGATACTTAATGGGTTGAGTTGATTGAGGTTGCGCATCGTAAAGGTCCACTTTACACATTCTCACACAGCGACACAGTCACACACTACGCTCTTCTGTTTGAACTGCCCCAACGCCGGCGCACATAACAAACACACACGCGCACGCCAGATTTACGGCTTGTTTATTTATTTGAAAATGTTTTTTATTGGTGTGCCTACATCACGAAGTTGTGTGCGCTGCGGAGTGGGAAGATGTTGCACTGCAATGTGAAAAAAATTAGCACAATGTTTATCATCGTGGTAGGAATACGGTGCGTGACGTCAGTGCAGCGAATTTATTGCGCCGCGACAAAAAAAATTTAAGATTTTTTAACCGCGAATTTTGGCGGTAGTTGTGGTGGTCATAAATGTACCGGCAATAGCACATTTGTGAGAAATAATATGGCAACAGCGATAAATAAAAATTACGATAACGTTGGCCACTCACGGTGTATTAATGCTGCTGATGCGACTACTTTTACGTAACAAAAAAATAAGTACTATGCAATGTATGCATTATTAGTTTTTATGGATGCGCCGTATAATTGCAGATTTGAACTTTAGGCAATAAATGCGGTAAATGTGGTAAATACACGCAGCGCAAGGATGCATGCAGTGCTGATGGATAATTCCACAGCTTGCTCAATATTTTGTAATTAGAAGTTTGTGTATATGCCGTGAATTTAGCCCGAAATTGTGTTCCGCCGTGAGATAATAAAATTCTCTTGCATGGAGCACCACATCATAAATATGTACCTAAAAATATTTATAAAATTTGTAAAGGAAAATTTGTATTCCTTTGTTGGTCATCTGAGTGAAAGGCCGGTATTTGCGTAATGCGCATGCGTCGCTCTATGCTAGAACAAAGCCCGGGAAGAATTCTAATAAAAAAATCATAAATTAACCCGTTGTGTTTAAATTATAAATTTGAAAAAGCATTGTTTTGTTAATATTCAAAGCCGAAAGCTAATTCGTTTTGTGCTAAAAGGTAGATTAAGTAAATATAGAAGTATTTGTGTTTGAAAACGCCGTTTACGTTTCCGTTGTGTTTAATGTTCAGTATTCATGAAACCCATTTGTTTTCCAGAGATCTGCAAGGAAACAATTTGACCTTTGTCGGAAAGGACGAATTCCGCGGACTGAAAAATCTCAAAATTTTGTGAGCAGACAAGATGAAATTAAAATTCTAAAATCATTTGTAAACTGCTAACACGACGCTCTCCTTCCAAAACGTAGGGACTTTTGATAGAGCATGCATATGCTGTAGCCGGAAATAATGAGATTTGAAAATGCAATAATGAAATGCATTTCAACAGGCAACTTCAAGAGAATCAAATTCACAGCGTGGAAAAGGGAGCCTTCGATGATCTGCGGTCCTTGGAGCGCCTGTAAGTGATAATAATAATAAGTAATGATATGCACACTGGCGAGTACAGTATCCTTTTGAAGGAGGCCAGTACTGGCCATTATGTATGGGCATTTTTGATGCCGTGAACAAAGCTTGATGGGAATGTTGCCGTATGCATTGCATGCATAACTCCCAGCGCATACATAATTTCCCCCTCATCCTTCCCGCGGTTGCCGACCATGAGCCGTTTGTTCCGCTAACTGCATTACAAGCAGTCTAAGCACGCCATCGGCCAGATGGTTATGTCGCAATACATATACGTATCCATAATACAGTGTGGAGTATTGAGTAGTGTTATGAATATAGGCGGACGAAAATATTTGACAATTTGCACGAGGTAATGCAATGCTACTGACCGCATAATGACATTACCGCGGCACTTACACTGATACGTCGGCGGCATGCACAACGATTTCCTGTAACTGGCAAAATTTCGATGAAATAAAACATTCCTTGGATTTCGAATTATTTTGTGATGTAGCAAATTTTATTATCCAGATGCGGTATTAATTTTATAAAATAGTGACTATATATTGTATGGATTTTTATATAGAAACATAAAGCATTTAAAATCAATCTTTTCATTTTCATTTACAGATTACGCTCATAATGGGACGGAATTATTCAGTTGTTAACAAATTTTCACAGAATAAGCTTTTATAAAAATATCTTGCTAATAAAACATTTAAAGAGAATTAATTATTATATTATTCCAGTGTGTATCCTTTGATTTATTTCGCGGATAGCCGATACTTTATGTAACATTCTCCCGGGAGACATTATCACAATATTTATGATACAGATGGCCATGGTAAATCGTCAGGACGTATAAACTTGCCACTTGAACTCTGCAGAAGACGATCATCATCTACAAAATCATAACTACATAAAACAGATGCAGTGCAGCGTATTTGTATGCAATTTAAGTGCATGTTTTCATACATAATTTTCTGGGGGAAATTTAAATATGATCATTCAGTGCAGCTGGGATATCTGCACTATGTCAAGGCAATCGGAGGGGTCAGTCTGTACACTATGCAATTAAAATTATATGCGCACTGGTTCGTTTCTTCTACGTATTTGTACGTTGTCTGTAGCCTTAATAGCTGGTGGATGTGGAGTAAATCACTTGAGAATGGATAGTGACCACAAACATTATACACATATATTTATTCCATTAAATGAATTCACCATCCAATTTGAATTGGATCACGTTTCCTGTGGCAACCGGGAAACGGACGGACAGTGCTTCACTTGTCGAGAGGGAAGATGTGATGGGCGATTTAAGCTGCAAACCATGATTTCTTCGGAATCGTGGGAAATCTTCGATCGATCTGCGCAGTTTAAGGGATGTCGCTAAATGGACAGTGCAGCTGAAAACAACAAATATTACAAAACATAATTAGGCTAAAAACTGGGACATCGTGTTGAAAATTTAAAGTACAAGTACATACCGGGTGCTAAAGTTTCTTGCGCAGAATTATAAATATTCTTACATTTAATTTTGAAAAATTGAGCTTTTGTAAAATTTTTTATAGATTATCCGTTGCGTTTGCAGTAAATCACTTCGTTTGACTGCATTTTATCGATTTTGGGGTGAAGGATATCGAGCAAATTTTTTACGATTAGCTTTTTGCGGTCAGAATTTGCCACAGTTAATTGAATTAGTCGGTGGTATTCAGCCTACTGCTCGTGTGCACTCATATTTTCCGTTATGGCTCATATATCCGGCGGTGAAGCGGGACCGATACAAAATCTTATGGATTTTGTCGAAAACTTTTTGATCAATCATAAACGATCCAAACTATGAGAAATCACATAGATCTATTCAATAAAATATCAAAAGCCAGCTCGGCACATCGACTATTACTCGGTGTATGTATAACCGGCTGCAATGAATCGATTCATATTTCCGACTTGTCATTTCGCTCACTTAAATTACATCCACAAGGAGCGCCGGCAAAAATAAAGAGATTATTCCGCTAAAGTGCAGATGCCGGTACAAAAAAATAACTCTCCATATATTTCCTGAATAATGCCGGCTTCGCTTTTCAGGGAGGAAAAAATCAATATATCCCTAATCGAATAAACGGTTATTTTGATCTTTTATTGTACGGTTTAAATTCAATCCACTAGATGGAAAGCGGTTCCTATTGATCCGCTAATTTTTCCTCATTTTTCATTAATAAACACGGGACAAAGCCGTCTGCAGCGGGTAACAAAATAAACAGGAAGTCGGGTGGAGGGAATATGTGGGACACACGCGCGCGGCAGCGTGGTGGGGTTTGTTTTTACCTTTGGCGCTATGGCAGATAATGCCGGCATATTTCATTGTCTGTCACGAAAGGATTTGCAAGCCTCTCCATACAGCTAAACAGCAGGTGGCCGGCGATTAGAGCGGCAATTATTGTAGCTAGCCGGCTGGAAGGGATCATCACGTTTTCCTTTTAGCTGCGCCAGCGCTTAGTCTTTTTTATGTTCGGGGCTTTAATCGTTCTGTTGTGGATAGAATAACGAAGGGCACACCCTCCTATTTGTCGCCCATATGTACAGTGTACATTGTACACCATCAACGCTTTATTAGCAGTAATAATATATTACCAATGAGATTGATTATCTAGAAATTATTTGTGCTTTGTAGGATATTTGAAAACGCAGCAATAAATTAAAACTGATTAAGTGGAAATCGTAGCACTTAATTCCTTGTAATAAAAATTATTTCTCCAGCGTTGCGAGTAATAAATAAAGGGTGAGACTATAGGCACCCCTTTCACCCCCGTTTGCTAAAGGCACCCCCTTTTGCACCCTGTTTTACTATAGGCACCCCTTTTTGTTAGATAATTCTCACACCCCGTCTTTTCCGCGGACTATAGGTACCCATTTTTATTTTTTTACCAAAGCACTGACTGATTTTTTTGAAAGTTTTTTGGTTGACATAGATTTTTTGACGATTTGAAGGCATCACATAAAAAGGTGTACTAAAAACTCCATCCGACAATGGGCCGCTTTCAGATCGTCTGACTATGAATGTTTAGAAGCCTTGAAGGCAGATTCGAATGTGGAAAAAGCCGAATAACTGTCCTGAAAGTGGTTTCCTACTTTTCTTGGATAGCGGTTGGATAGACCAGGTCACTGTCAGATCGTGATTATCTTCGGATGGGCTACTTATTACAGACTGTCAGACATTATCACTACAGAGCAGTTTTTGCTGCTTTATTATTACAAATTTTGACAGAAATTGCACCGTTATTATTACAATGCAGTTCATATTACAAGAGAAAAAATTCTGGAGCCGGTAGTGCAACGACTTTCTGTATTCTAAGGTCAAGAAATTCGACCTTAAAAATAGCATTAACGGATAAAATAAGGGTGCCTATAGCTTTCGCACGCAACGGGGTGCAGAGATTGATTAATCGAAAAGGGGTGCCTATAGTCTGCGGGGGTGCGAAAGGGGGTGCCTATAGATAACGGGGGTGAAAGGGGGTGCCTATAGCCATTTCCATAAATAAAAGCTGAGTTACAGTAAAATCAAAACGCGATGAAGCACCATCCAGATAAGCCACATTTAAAAATTATTGTTTCGACTTTATAAAAATTTACACGCACAAACTGCGAAGCCAGTGCCACTGCATTTACAAAATACACACCGGTGTTTTCGTGGAAATTTTATTTCACAGAAACGCAAAGAAACAGCGAAGTAGAATATTTAGAATTATTTGTTAATGATTACGGAAAAGTCGGAAAATATTTAAACTGTTTCGCCTAACGGCTGAAGTTGCTTGAAACCGATTAGGTCTTTCTTTTGTGGTGTGATTAAGATCGCATAGAGAGGGGATAAATTGCTTAAACCGGCATCTTGATTCCCTCACAAGTAGGGGGAAACGTTGGCCGGTTGAATTTGTAAATTTTACTGGAATAGAGAACGCAATTAGAGTAAATTGTCTTTTTGGCTTGCAGGCGCTTGAACAGGAACAATTTACGGACACTGCCCGATCTCCTATTGAGCAGTCTGGGTCAGCTCAATCGATTGTAAGTGTGCAAATACATTTCTGTAACCGTTCGGCACAGCTAGCGCTATCTGCCGGCATATACGGATAGAATATTCGCTTATATAGAAAAAGCGCAATAAAAATGGTCAAGTTTTTAAAAAGGTGTCAGGTATGTGCGCGCCGGTGTTGACTGGTCAGTTGTATGCGGCCGGTCAATTGTTGACTCTTCCCACGGGCTGCATGAATAAGAAATATTGGCAACATGTGACTGGACAATGGGGCCCTGCGGATGGTGAATGGGCCGCACACTGAATCGCTGTATATATAGAGGAACGGGATAGGAAATTCGTGCAGGGACTATACCGGCTTACATCTTCTACAGTTATTAATCGATACATCTTATGCACAGGATCTTTTGTATCCATTTCCAGCCTGGCGGAGATCTCTGCAGCCAGTAGAACAGGTTTATCGGCGGTGAAAACTATATTTTGAGAGAAAGTGTTTATGCGGACATTACAGTGGAACATTCTTTCCCCTTGACAAAACTAAATCCATAATGAGCATAATTATTGCTCAGTTATCTAACTTTTATAACAGCTTTTCGCTCTAGAAATATGTATTAAAAATTAATCAAATTTATTTTTTCAACAGCCTACAAATAATATGTAAAATGCTCAAGAAGTAAAGATAAATAAAAAAAACTTGAATGAAAAAAATTGTTTTATTTCATTCCATTTAATTCAAATAAACTAAAGTTTGGTAGTCGTACTAATACATCTATACTGATATTGCATATGGTTGGGTATATCCGAATACCGTCCATCCATGGTTATTTATTCAAGCAGTTTCAGTGCATAGAGTATAATTGTGTTGGGCATTTTATCAGTTCGGTGCGCTGTTGTATGGCACTTTAATGGGTCAGCAGTGCATCTCACGGGGCTCCGCACACAAAAACACTGGAGAGCATTTTATTGTTGCGCCCTTGTGAATAGGCGTAATAACAATGATAAATGCTTCCGTTTTTATATCGATACAGTACGTCCAGCGGTGGTCCGAGCGGAAAAATAGTTTGATTGCCATTCAACAGCGCATATTATACATATTTATACATGCATAAATAGCGCTAACCCGGCGCTGTTGAGCAGCATCTTCAGACCGCACTTGACCGGCGTTGGACTAACACAAGGTTGCCGTGTGGTGCGGTGTGGCACACAGCGCCGGAATCGGCAAAAATAACGCTCCCGTTATATTCATCATAACGATAAAGCGGCAATTCGACCAAGTGGTACTGCACCATAAAGGTCAAGTAAAGAACACTTAACCCTTATCCTGTTAGGCGCTTATATGTTTTTTCTTTCGATTTATACCAAAATTTTGTGCGATCAACAATGTTTTCTGTCTTTGATCTGAATCCCTATAGGTTATGGAATAATTAATTCTAATTTTATTCACAAATTAAGACGCCTAATTGATGTTGTATTTCTCACAACAAATAGCTGACACCCTGCGCTTTCTCTTAAACCTAATAGTAAATGCTCGTATTTTTTTAGATATCTGGTCACATTTTTTCTTTTGAAATAAGTGACATGTTTATTGAACTTTGTGAATAGCTAATTTTAATAAATAATGTGCACTTAAAGGTTTCATCTAAACAGTAATTTTTTTCGGGCAGTGACGTATGCCAAAATATAATAAATGGTCGTATGTGGCTGTTGAAAAATTGTTCAGCAAAGAAAAATGGCTGGAAAATATTCGACGACAGCGCTGAAGGTTAGCCGTTGGAGTATAACCAAACAAACCATTATTTCTGGTTTTAGCGGTCAGTTGCGGCGGTGTATGTTGCGTAGCCGGCTTGATATTCTCGGCAGGTAGCTATTTATCAGTCGACATATTTGAGAGTTTAATTGACGGACAAGGATGGAGCATAATCTGACAGATGGATGGCTTTCCACGCTTTTGATACTAAACACTGCCTATTATTAAGTCATCGGCGAGAAAATACCACATATAACCAGCAGCCGGTTTTTGTAACTACCATGCAGCTACTACTGTAAATCGTCGCTCGGCTTTTTCTCCCTCCATCTCTACACTTAATTCCGCTGGAAAGGATTTTTTCAACTTCCGCACTGCAGCGAAACAACACACTTAGCGATAACCACAGGGTTGGGCTTGGCTGAATAAAGATTTGGTCTTTTGTGATGAAAGACAGGAGCCCGGGCGGAAATGGTCGGAAGAACTCGGTGACCACAATAATAGCGCTTCGTAAACAGTGCGGGTGAAGAAAGAAACCGCGATTCACATTCGTTGACTCGTGTAAAAATAACCAAACTGTGATTATTATAGTCTACATGTACACTATTCGTATAGGAGAAAGCATGCCCGGTGTGTACTTAAACGCAGATTGGTACCAGCGCTTATAATAACAAATAAAGCTGTCGAACATTGACCTTTATTTGTCAGTTTGAAATACGTCGCTTTCCGAATAGAATTTTTCCCGAAGTGCAAATTCCGTGAAAATATAGTGCAAAAATATTACGAAGAGCGATACATTGCAAGAAATTTGAGTTTAAAACCGGCTGGCACAATCTAATAATAACATTACATAAATCGCGTAGTATATAATTGTTTTGTTCCACATGCAGTAAAACTCATAAACCAGATAGTGCTAAAATGTATTAAAAATTTTTTGGTGATGTTCTTTTGCGTGAGCTAAAATGGAATAATATTTATTTATACTCTTTCAGAGATTTGAGCGACAATCGGCTGCAGTATATAACACGATCAGCATTTGAAGGGGCCCCCAGACTGCGGAATCTACAGTTGGATAACAACCGTATACGATGCCTCGACGGGGAAGCTGTTCGAAAGCTGAAAGAGCTGCAGATTTTGTAAAGTTTTTGTTTTTTTCTGATTAAAAATTACTGAATGCTTTATTTTGTGCTTATTTTATTAGAACGCTGAACTACAACAACCTTACGACACTGGCCAAGGACATTTTCACCGATATGAGAAATTTAAGGATTTTGTAAGAATGCCAGTAACATTCGTGCTTTAAGAAAACCTGCAATGTCTTCGTGATTTATTTAGACGAATCTCAGAAAATCGCTTGACATGTGATTGCAATTTGCAATGGCTGGCGTTATGGTTGCGCCGGAACCCTCGACTGGCTCTGTTCACCAAATGTTTCGCGCCGCGGGAGCTGCGCAATCGGAATATCGCCGAACTGGAAGCGCGTGATCTCAAGTGCGCCAATATGCACGGTTTCACCACCAACCACGGCATGGCCTACTATGCCCTCCCGCAAAGGTCAGCGGATGTGGTGTGTAACGATGTCAAGCCCAATTGTCCGGATAGCTGTTGGTGTACGGATGAGGGACTGGTCGATTGTCGGGAGAGAGGATTGAAGAAGATACCCACTGATATCCCGCACGATGTCACCGAATTGTGAGTTCAAATAAATTATATAACAATTGTTGAAGAAAAATAATAATCGGCCGAATTTAAATTTTTAGTCTCGCAGTGAAATAAATTTTTGGTTTTTATTTGTCACTATTATGGTCAACTGATTTTAACTGGAATATGATCTGCATAATCAAATGAATATTACATTCTTAAAAGTGTAAATGTGAAATTGAATGTTTTCGTTATTTCTCTTGTATTGTAATAGCCTATTGAAGGTTGTCACGATAACTGCAAAAGTCATGCGCGTTATTTAAGCTACAGTTTTATTGATTTTTTGTCGATAAATGTAATTATGAAAGTAGACAACTCTACTCAAATTACGGCCTTATAGTTCTGAAATTTTCCTCTATAAAAGCGGGTTAGTTTGCATAAAAAATTGGGCCAGAATATTCCAGTTGAATGGAGGAAATCCCGCAACGCCCTGCTTTTACAAATCTATATAGATAAATGTTTAAACCGGCGTTTTGTCTATTGAATTTTGACAGGCATCTGGAAGACAACAATATCACCACCATCCCCAGTCTGGCGTTTGCCTCCTTCAAATATTTGAAGATAATGTAATAAAAGGCAACAACTGCAGTGCTGAATGCTGTCCCACTATGTGGTCTGTCGAATTAATATCTGTATACACGATTCTCTATGTTGCAGAAATATCAGTAATAACGGTATTACGGACGTCGCACCGGATGCCTTTAATGGTCTTGTTTCGCTCACTTCACTGTAAGTCCGAACTGCATTATGCATCCAGCCAATATGCCGGTCAAGGTCGAGCGCGTTGATGTGCCGGTTTGTGTTGGAATTAATGCAGGCTGTCGGTATCTTCGTGCCCGAGCATTCTTAAAATGTATTTCGATATAAAATAAATTCTTTTGCTTTAGATGGCTTTACGAATTGCCGTATTACCGTAATTCTAATGTCACTGATTCGCTTTTTATTTGTGTTCATTTTAATGTATAATGAGCGCTGCCGTAGAGACATAGAAAAATTTTGAAGAATGTTTTAATAAATAATTGCTTCAGTGCACGGTAATCAGAGCGTTCGATGTTACGTAAATCGCATCAAGTTCACAAACTGTTTAAGTCCTTCATTCATGATTTCTTCAACTCTGTTGTAGGATATTGGCCGGAAATCAAATTACAGAACTAATACCGGGTGTCTTCCGTGGACTCAAATCCTTGCAACTCCTGTATGTAACGCTGCGCACAACGTACGTACCGGATTCAAAAACAGAATAACCGCGATTACTTGCTGCAGGTTACTAAATTCCAACAAAATTACTTGCCTCCGTGTGGATACATTTTCGGATTTGAACAACTTAAATTTATTGTATGTATTCGAAAAGTTAGTACTTAATAAAAACGGCTGGTGCAGTTTATTAACATTTATGTGCGCAGGTCATTATACGACAACAAACTGGCATCCTTCTCCAATGGAACGTTTGCTCCTCTTCGCAATCTGCAGACGCTGTAAGTCGGTAGATACGAGTATGGTGTGGCCTTTTTTACTTTTTTGTGTTTGAAAAATTTTAATCGCAAAAAATACCCGATCAGCATTAACTGGTCTTGGGTACTAAGTGTTTATTTCTAGATAAATGAGGCAATGAAGTAAAAATTAAACCAATAAAATCAAAAGTTTTGAAATACTTCTACATAAAATGTTTCGGATAGTGTTAATAACGCAGCTTGAACGAACTCGATGACCACCTGCGAGCCAATGTTCTACGTTTTCGGACTAGAACTCAGTCTTACACTTTGCGTAGGTGCCTATAGTACCTACATATAAATTAGGTAGTTACTAGTTACTGTATATGAAATCACGGTGTTCGTAAACTGCAGACATTTGGTTCGGAATCCATTTGTATGCGACTGCAACCTACGTTGGCTCAAGGAATTCTTGTCGGCCAATCCGCTGCTGGACCAGACCGTCCCCCGCTGTGAGGGCGGCCCCATGCGCCTGGACCGGCAACGTATTGACCGTGTCTCTGCCGAGAAGTTCAAGTGCAAAGATGGTGAATACAGCAAAACGGAAGCCTTGGCATCTGGAACCTGTATCCTGGATGCGGATCCAGCGCAGCGTTCACTATGTCCGGAAGAGTGCTTCTGTCAAGGAACACTGGTCAACTGCTCCGCACGCAAGCTGGAATATATTCCGCGACGACTGCCGAAATTTACAACACAGCTGTAATGCCGAACATACCGCTACAATAGTTTTCAGTATTCGGAGAATACAATTAACTCTCTTTTTTTTCGGGAACAGACTGCTGAACGACAATCGCATCAGCAAGTTGGAACGACTGGGAATTTTTAAAGGGGTGCCGCAGCTCTTCCGAATGTAAGATTCAAGCGTGATTTATGTATTCACAATTTTTCAAAGGATTTTTCAATATTTTTGCAGTGATTTGTCCAATAATATGGTTTCGTCAATTGCCGAGAACGCGTTCGAAGGAGCAACGTCACTCGTTGATCTGTAAGCTGTATTTTTGTACATGGTAAATATGAAGGGATATCTTTCAGTAAAAAGTAAAAGAATTATTAAATTTCGATAAACCTATTGCTGAGGTAACTACTGTACTTAAATTTTTGTTGTGCTAATGGAGTCGTGGTCATCATACAACCGCCACTGCCCTACAACAATCTATAATCTACAGCCCACCAGTTTACCTACTTCTGCAAATCTAAAATTAGAATGGCAGGCGGGCGGCAGTTCGTTCAAATACTTGACGCACGTAATCGATTTTAAAAAACAGTAATCATCATTATCATCGCATTTCCTTAAATAAGTTTCGTTCACCGCGTCCCGTTTTTTTTGTCACCAGAAACTTGGCCAGCAACGACCTGCGTCATCTGAACGCGTCCATGTTCAGCGGCCAGTTGGACAATCTGCGCAGTCTGTCGTTCTATGACAACCAGATCGCCTGCATCAGCAGCGGCACATTCGACATGCTGCCCCAGTTGCACAGCCTGTGGGTCGTTTATCACAACCTCTCCACTGCAACAGCCACATGCTCAATGTCATTCTGGTTGTAGGAACCTATTAAACAACCCATTACACTGCAACTGTCATCTCAGTTGGTTCCCGGAATGGCTGCACCAGAAGCGCAAAGATGCGGCATTCCAACTAACCGGGCGGCCGCGCTGTGCCTCACCGCTGAACGTCAAGGACACGCCCATCCAGGATCTGGTGGGGAAAGAGCTGCGCTGTGCGGCGGAAGATCTGATCTGTGCGGCCGGTGTGCACGGTGAACGGCCCACTCCGTGTCCGGATAAGTGTACGTGTACGGGAACTGTGGTGCGGTGTTCGCGGCAGAAGCTGAAGGCGGTGCCGAAGGGAATCCCGTTGCGAACTACAGAACTGTGAGTGCCTCGTCTTCGTGTGATTGGCTGAAAACGCAGCCAAACAGAAAAACATGGAGTATGGTCAAATTTGTCCAAAACTAGATTATAGACATATTGTATACGCATACTTCTTGAATAAAATATAGGTAGGTCTTAAACACCTACATTTGATTTAAAAAAATTTTAGCGATACTTGAAGAATGGCGGGTTATTTGCTTAAATTAGGGCGAAGCTTATAACAATTAGTCAAAAAAACGTCGATACGAAACTTCAAAGCTCGTACCGTTTGAGAAAAAATTTTGCGATAAAGTTCTAAATCAACGTTAAATATTGAAATCGTAGTTCATTTTGAATGGATAGCCAGCCTTGACCATAAACCGTTACTCTACAATAACGCTTACATGAACGCTGTTGGAAATTTTAGTGGGTTACTTTATTACACGTGTTCTGTATGTGCGACATGGCATGAAGATTCTAAACTGGTGCCCCTTTCAGATATCTGGATGTCAATGAAATCGAGGAAATTCCCGTGGAAATTAACCAGCTAACCGAATTGGTGCGGTTGGACTTGTCCAACAACCTGGTTCCTTTTATCCCCGATTACGCCTTCGCCAATCTGACCAAATTAGCGACATTAATCATGAGCTACAACAAACTGCAGTGTATTCCACGACACAGCTTCCGCGGTTTAACAGCGCTCCGCTTACTGTCGCTGCACGGGAATGATCTTTCGACGATACCGGAAGGAACCTTTGATGACCTAGTTGCAATGTCACACATGTAGGTCTTGCGGCGAACCTCTTGGTTTCTAGATGACGATACTTAATGGCTGCATAAAATTTTGCAGAGCCCTTGGAAGTAATCCGTTCCATTGCGATTGTGAGCTGAAGTGGTTGTCGGAGCTGTTTAAGAAAAGCTATATCGAGCCCGGCATTGCGACATGCGCCACGCCCACCGAACTGCGAGATAAACTGGTGCTTAGTGCATCTTCCGATCGGTTTATTTGCAATGGTAACAATAAGTTATATTCTCAAGCAACAATTAAACAGCAGGGTAAATAATTTTCCACATTTTAGAGCGTCCTCCTGAACGTGTATTGGTTAAATGTGACACATGTTACACATATCCGTGTAAAAATGGAGCCGCTTGTGCGAAGCGCAATGTACTGGATTACGAATGCCGCTGTCAGCCGGGATATCACGGGAAGAACTGCGAATACGAGATTGACTCGTGCTACGGAAATCCTTGTGAGAATGGTGGATCCTGTAAGGTTATTGACCACGGTCGCTTCAGGTTAGAAAAAGGTCACCATTTGGGATCAACCGTAATATCAATACATTTTCCTAATTTTCAGTTGTGTTTGTCCGCTGGGATACGAAGGAGACCGTTGCGAAACGAATATCGATGACTGCGTCGGAAATTTATGCCAGAACAACGCCACCTGTGTCGATCAGATACAAGCGTACACGTGTTCGTGTCCTAAAGGTTATACGGGAACATACTGCGATAAAAAGATCGACTACTGCTCTCCGGCATTAAACCCGTGTAAAAATGGAGCCACCTGTATTGATCGCTTTACCGATTACGCCTGTGCTTGCCCACCTGGATTCCGTGGTCGGAACTGTACAGAAAATATCGACGATTGCGAAGTATTTTACCTGTCATATTTCATATTTCAGTTTACGATAACAGTTGTGTTTTTAGCGTTTTGTGAAAACAAATACCTGGCTGTAATAGGACAAATATGGGAGATAATACATTTCACTGTATTTCATTAGTTTTTGAATAAGTAAAATTATGTAATGATTTGGTTTTTTAATGTTTTTCTGCTGCAGACTGATAATGGATGAATTCTGCAGTTTGTGTAACCAGTGAGTTTTTTGCAGGTTCATCTGTGTCAAAATATGGGGACGTGCGTTGATGGTATCAGCAATTACACTTGTAAGTGCCCCGAAGGTTTCCAAGGGCGTTACTGCGAAATGGCTCCGATGGTGAACATGCTAATGTATCCCGCCGCAACATCGCCCTGCGAAGCCAGCGACTGCAAGAACGGCATCTGCTACCAACCGCCCGGCATGCAGTTGGACGAATACATGTGTAAATGCTATCCTGGCTTCACCGGCAAGTACTGTGAACAATGGGTCGGTGTGACCTTTACCGAACCCGATTCCTATGTTCAACTCAAGAAGTTCCCAGTCAAAGCCGAAGTCAATCTGACCTTTACCTTAGCCACGACCGAGCAGTTTGGTGTAGTGTTCTACTATGGACAGAGCGTCAAAGATGTTCATGTATCGACGGCGCATTTATCCATGGAGCTGTTCAGAGGACGGTTGAAGGTCAGTTTTGATGTGGGCAATTATCCGGTGTCGACCATCTTTTCCTATGAACTGCTGGATGATGGGGAATTCCATCGGTTGGAGTTTTTGATTAAGGGTAAAAATTTGACGATGAAGATTGACTCCAATCGGAGTCGTTACGTGATCAATGAGGGACCAAGAGATTACTTGCCGAGTGATGGGAGGATATTTTTCGGGGGATTGGAACAGAATGTTAAAAAGGAAGCAATTAAGCAGTGGCATTTCCGCAACGCATCTAGCCTGAAAGGTAAATTTTTTTATTTTTAACCGCGAATTGTATAATAGTCAGTGGGCTCAGTGGCATACTTTTAACGCAAGGGCGCCTACGCAACTCAGCCTTAACACTACGATTGATTGCGATTATTGATTGCTGTAAAACATGCATACGGTGATAATTTCTGGCGCATCAATAAAAGCGCGCACTCGTGAGTACTTTGCGAAGATATTTGCAAGACCATATGTTAATTAACAAGGCAGTTTTTTAATATTATTTATTGTATTTGGCTAGGTTGCATTAGCGATATTCGTATTAACAACGAGCAAATGGACATCAGTCAGACCATGCAGCAGCACAAAGTAACTTCCGGTTGTTTGACGTTCGCCAAAAATGAAGATCATGTCTGCACTAAAGATCCGAAACGGTGTCTTCATGGAGGAAAATGCAACGCCCTGGACATGGTCAACTACGAATGCCAGTGTCCTATTGGGTATGGAGCTGCACACTGCGAACAAGGTATAGAAAAAAATTTTTATTTTATTCTTCGATTTATGTAGGTAGATTTTAATGTACCAGCATGTACGCATTTCGGTAACGAAACAGGATTTCATAGGCGATATGCCGTTGCTCTACACTTTTCCTCACATTTTTACTGTGATCTTAACGAAGCATGTGTAACGATGCTTTCTTTACTCTTTAGAACCAACTTGCGAGAAACGCTCACGAAGGGAATACCTTCAAGACGCTAACGGGTGCCGGTCACGGAAGCCGGTGAAGATTTCGGAATGCAGCGGGACATGTTATCCCAGCGGTGCGGCGAATCCCGTCTCGACATGTTGTCGCGCCAACAAGATGAAGCAGCGACGGATCAAGATGATCTGTCCACTGGCCAAGAAGACTTATTATAAACACTACGAAGTAGTGCGCAAGTGCTCTTGTACCATTCAGTGCTGACCTTTGTTTTGTGGAGGAGAGGAGAATTTTTTCTAAAAGCGGTTCACTCAAATCTGACGTTTATATAATTATGCTGTATGCGGAATAATCCTCGGTAAAGTTTTTATGTGTTGAATGAGAGATTTTTTTGTATTTGTACATCTTTGAATTTAGCGTTAGTTTAAAATTTCGTCGTTGTCGTAATTGGATTATCAGTTTTAGAGTACTGGTTGGTGCCTTTTTAATGGTGTTTCTTGTACCTGTCAAGTTGGGTTACGCATTTTTTATTTTCGTTGTCTTGTTCCTTGATAATTTTTCGTTTTGTTTTATACACAAGCGATTTTACAACCGATAGCTGTCAAACAATTAACACAGAAAGTGGCGGCAATTTGCAGTTTGATTTAACACGATAGAAAAAAAAGTTTTTTTAAAGCGCATATTGATGACCGCCTGCGGACGTATGTACAACAGTATAAAAAGCGATCGCCACAAAAATAAATAAAATTTCGTTTAAGATTTTGCGAATTGATCAGAACAAACCGAAGGGCAGCTACGAGTTCTGCCACTGTAGTGACTGTACTACAGCTACGTCACTGCCACCGATCACTGCAAAGGCGACGCTTGCCTTTTCCAACGAATAAACAAAAAGTGATGCTTGCAAATTCAAGGTACTTGCAAATATACTGTATACTTCTATATGTACATCAGCACTATTTGAAAACCGGTACAATGAATCCAGTCTTCACACGGTTATCTAATCGACCACGGAAACTACTTATTTGTAAAGGTCCGCTGTGATAAGACATACAACAACTGGTCTGTTTGTTTATTTGGTGAAAGGTTAGGACATCTTATCGAGCACTTTGAATTACAGCATTAAGTTAGTCAGTCGACAATCGTGCATTGTTTTCACACATGATTTGGCCGTCAAACCTGATAAGCGTTTCCCTCACTGTAGTTATAGTCATTTGGTTCGGTGGAACGAAGTATCTGTTTTAAACCTAATTTTTCGCTGTGTTACAAATAACACACAGAAATGCCGGGATCCAAATCTTCACACTCCTCCGATTCCGACTCCGATCATGACAAGAAGCAACGTAAGACCATCCAACCGGATGAACCGGCACCGGTAGCCACAACGCAGCCGACGGTGCCGGTGCAGCCACCGCCCTACCCTTCCGGAGGGCCAGCGCCGTATCCGGCGGGAGCACCCGCTCCTTATCCAGCGGGAGCACCTGCGCCGTATCCCGCCCATTTTCAGCAGCCCATAATGGAGCAGCCCAACATGGGCATTCCCATGCAGCCCATGTACAGTAACCATATGGGCGGACCCGGATTGCCGCACGCAGCGCCACAGCAGCAGATTATGCAGGCCCCGGCGCAAATCCCCGTCGGATGCCCGCCGGGATTGGAATACTTGACGATGGTGGATCAGCTGTTGGTTAAACAGAAAGTGGAGCTTTTTGAGTGTAAGGCTGTTGTACTGTGCGGTTTATCATACTACCTGAAAGATTACGACTCTAACCTATTACACGGTATTTAGACTGAACGTTTATGTATTCTTTACGCGTTTCAACAGAAGTTATAGATTTTGTTGTATAAGTCTACAGATAGTGTAAAAAAAGGTTACGTACATACTTTAACTGAAAATCTGCGTATTTTAAAGTGTTATGTATTTAGACGAAACGTTTACGTATTTCTTTAAGTGTTTGTTTTTTACGTATACATTTTTTCCTACTGTACATTTAACAGAAAGCAGAGAGTTTTGAATGGAAGCCTATTGTAAAGTTGTCAAGTACGTGTTTCATATGCGGCCTGGTATTTTAATATGTAAATACAACAGTAACGAAATACAGTAAAATTTCAATTGATTACATACAGTATTGGTTTTTGATTAGTATTGACTGGATGGGAAACCAACAATAAATACGACATCCTGAACAGTATGGGTCAACAAGTGTATTACGCAGCGGAAGACAATGACTGTTGTACACGTAATTACTGTGGTCCGATTCGGCCGTTCGATATGCGAATTTTCGATAATGCCAAGAATGAGGTGATGCACCTCTTCCGGCCGCTGAAGTGTACCGGATGTTGTTGGCCTTGTTGCCTTCAAGTAAGCATATTCTGCATCACTGTCAATCATACGAATATTTTAACACTGTATGTAAACCTTTATTTTTATGTTTTAGGAACTGGAAGTTATGTCGCCTCCAGGAACGCCGATCGGTTATATTGTGGAAGAATGGTCATTCCTTGTACCGAAATTCCGCATTGAAAATGCTAACCGGCAGACGGTACTGCGACTGACTGGGCCAATCTGCAAAATTTCTTGCTGTAACGATGTCGAGTTTCCGGTAATTAATTTTGCCTTTGCGACGTTACGTGATTGTTTGCAAATAAACGAATAGTAAAACTAACATGTTTAGGATTAATCACTTCAAATGTATTTTAGTTATTTGCTTAATGTATTTTAACAAGAACAGTTAATATTATTTAATGTAATTTGCTGTATGCATTTAAGTGTTTTCAGCTACAGTAAGGTGCACCTAATGTGCACCTCTAATTTATTATTTAATTTTTATCATTCTAATGTTTTTTTTACCTAATGTAGGTACTCAGTGCCGATGGAACAAAGGTTGTCGGCAAGATATCTAAGCAGTGGACGGGAATTCTTAAGGAAGCCTATACCGACGCCGACAACTTCGGCATACAGTTTCCCATGGATTTGGATGTGCAGACAAAAGCCACTCTATTGGGAGCGTTGTTCTTAATTGTACGTACATAGCAAAACCCGAAATTTACTATGGCCTTCGTTTAAGCGCTGGCATTATTTCTGTTGCAGGACTTCCTCTACTTCGAGACGCAAAATCATAACAACCGTTAACAAAGCTTCAGCCTTCTTGAGTTGACCGTAAATTCGGGGTTTTGCAAAATCTGTAAGATGTTACCTGTATATGTATGTCAATGGAAACGAAATAGGAAAGTGGAAACTGATGCAACCCGCTGTGATTTGCAGTGATGTGTTTGAAATTTTAAGGAAATGTTTGTTTATCGAATTATACGTATCTGGTATGTCTTCCAAAAAGCCTTTTGCGATACGAGTGTCAAACTGCAACTGTTGACTCTGTGCGATGTTGTTGTTGTAACATCGAAGCCTATCGTATACCATACTTTAACTTACCCACGAAGAATTTAAATTACAGGCCTACAGCTACTGTACTCGATAATAAAGGTAGATAATATAAATGTTTTATTTCGCACTTTACTCGTATTCCTTCAAGTACCCAAATATTCCAAACAGGTCCGTAACAACAACCAAAATTTATTCTACAACTGAAAATGAAATCGACACAAGAAGGTCAATCGATGGATTCTCTTTTACGAACGGTTATTTTAAAATTAATTTAAAAACTTAAAAAAAAGAGTAACGGTTAATTTAAAAATTAAAATCTAATGCAACCATATAAGTACAATTCAACGATTTAACCTAAAGCAGATCCGTGATAACAGAAATAAACGTCCCATTACTAATATTATTAGCAAAGACTACCCTAGTATTTTCAGATAGTGAGCATGCATCCTATGCCGGCATATTATTCCAGCTGGGTTAGAGAGTGTTAAAAACAGAGTTATGGACGACCAGATGGCGACAGCCAGTGTGCTCCTTTCAAGACATTCCACAAGGCCACCGCGGCCAATTTGGTCAGATTCTTCACATCCAGATCGTGAATAGCCAAACGCGTCCACTGGCAGCCGCGATAATGCGTTGAGCAGCGCGGATCCGCGCTCTGATAATGTTGTAAACCCTGCACATTTCAACTTTTATCAAATCTTATCCGCTAATGACGCCATCAGAACACCAAAAAACTGCACTTACACCCGTTAACAGATGGATTTCCTCGGATTCGATCGAGTCGATCCATGCCCCAAAACCGTCAAATCGACCGGCGTCTCCAGGACGAGATGCTTCTCCAACATATCCCACAACTGCATTTCCAGCTGCGCTGGCGACTGATAAACCACTATGTGCTGCGGCACGACGGCGGTCAGATGCCGTTCGACGATGCGGCACTGTCTCCACATTGTCCGCTCCGATACGCCGCCCATTCGCTGCAGACAGTGCATAACAGCCGTGAATTCCTTCGGCTTTACATCCCAGCCGGTGTAGTCCAAGGAACACCCAAGGAAAACCAGCGTTCCAAGGCGACGATCTTGGGCGAGCAGGTAGCGGAGCATGGAGAGAGCGTCATTGCACTGGCTACGGGACATGTGCGCAAGCACCACCCGCTTCGTCCTGCTGCTGATGCAGTGGAGCAAGGTGTTCAGCGCCCAGCACAGGGGCGGGATGAGGCCGGACGGGTAGTCTTCTGTTCGACCAGAGACCCGCACATCGGGGAAGCGGTCTTCCCGATGACCGTGGAGAGAACAGTGTTCCATAGGGCGCAGGTACGCCGACACCGAACACGGTCGACGCTGTCCTGGGACTGGAAGATCTCCACCAGCAGCTCAGTGGGTACATGCTGAAACACCACGCAAATTACACCGCGCTCTTCCCGCGGGGAGTTGACTGAATATCGATCGAACGATTCTCCGGAGATGCCGTTGTCACCATGGTTCTCCTCCATCCCCAGTCGTACATACCGTTTTTCCTTCAAAAATTGACGTGACTCCGTTACATAGTGCTTCTCACTGTACACCGTATACTAAAACGGCTTTAGACAAGACGGTATTTTTGCACGCCAAGTGAGACAATTTTCCATTTGATTCTGAGTGTATTCTATTAGCGATGCTCGTCTATGTATACTCGTACACACTGAGAATAAATGATGAAGTCTTTATTTATTGAAACGCACCAGTTCCTGTAACTGCAGCGGACGTTCAGAGCAACGCTGCATGTATAGCAGTGTATCACTGAGCACCTTCGTGCACACGACTTCCCGTTCTTGAAATATGCTCTCCTTTAAAATCTCGAAGGGCACACGAGACTCGCCTGAGCAGACCCGTGGCAACTGCCACGTATAACAATCTTTGTCCCGAACGCGGAACCCGCCAAGTCTTCGTCCGAGGGCGGTCGGCGCACTTGATTTCTCAACAACAGCTCGTTGACGACGCCGTGGGCCGTGGGGCAGCTGTGCCTCCACGATGTACACATCGTCCAGGTAGCTCTCAGTCCCACAGGACATGATCCTCCCGGGGACGGGGTACCATGTCCAGGGGCAGTCGGGGCCAGCTCGCAGCAGTGCCTGCACATCGGGGGTCTTAAATGCATCGACAGATTCCAAGGGTCTCCACGAGCTGAAGACGCGGCCGTATTCGACGAACTCCGAACGCTGGCCAGCAGAGCCGAAATCAATGAACAGACCGTTCTTCGCCACGTTGATGATCTTGCCCGGCTGCAGCAGGCCATCAACGAGAACATCCACGGCGTTCCACGCGTGCATGGACTGCGAGCGGTCGTCTTCGTCGTAAACAAGCATTGCTACAATTTGGTGTTTGCCTGATTAGGAAACCTCTGCTGCTTTTCGCACTGAGAATGGGATAATGGATGCAACATTGATTCTAAGCGAAAGCATAAGTGAAACGACTGTCCACTATAACAAAAACACAATACTGCAAATTAGTCTGCAATCCTTAACAGCTTGTGTCGGCTTGACAAAATAGTAAATCCTTAAATCAAGAATTAAGACTCAGTTACGTGGGGGATTACATCATTACAGTACCACTTTCGCTTCGTGTACAGCGAAGCCACTGTAAATAATTAAAGTTTTAATTGTTTGATAGAAAAAACGCTTTTAAAAGTGAGTGGTCTTTTAAGCAGCAAAGGTTGTAATCACTATATAATAATCGCGGAAGCCTTAACGAAATTCCCACTCTGTCGAGTTCGTCAGCCAGATCCACTGAATCAAACTTCCGTGTCTACATATCATTCAGTAGCCATTAGTGGGTAGATTTGCCATCGCAACTCAGTTTACAGAGAAAAACAAAGGTGTTAAAGAAAACTTCAAAAAACTTTAACACTGGAGGCCAATGAGAAAAGTTGAGAATCCACCACTGCAGAACTGACCACCGCACCCCTGTTTCGACAGCTAAAACGCGTTTTGGCCAGCTTTGCTGGGAAGTTCTTGAACCATGAGATTCATGACCAGTGACCACGTACGACTCCGTAGTCATGGTTCTTGAATTAAATTACAAATTTTTCATCCAGAAATGGCTTCAGAAAAAGTATGAATACAAAGCAACAGAAAACCAAAATTTTTGATAATGTGACTGTCAAGGGAGTGTTTGATTCAGTCAGTATTTCTAGGCTTCAAGTCTGCAACTGCAAGGCTAATGGTAATTGCATTGAAATTCGAAACAGCGCGGCTGAGCGCGTGAATCGCGGTGGTAAAAATGACCAGGTAGCATCAGTTGTGCTGAAATTACAGAGATATTATGTTGCAGCTGGGCAAATAAAATTTTGAGTGATATTAAATCAGTTATTTACTGTTATGGTGCGAAGGATTCGTTAACTAAACCGAAAGCCGGCCCATTCACGGGAAGAAAATTCGAAACCTTTTATATGCAAATGTCTACAACACTAAAATAGGGTTGTCCTGGCAGTCCAGTGACATTACAATAACATGAATTCTTCATAAACCTACTTAGATCTATTTCTAGAAGCAGCTGAAAACAATTATTTTTTGCATTGAATTACGAGTATTCTTCTTTTAATTATTCCGCGCAATTTGCGCGGGGTCTACTAGTAAATTATAAAAACCTAACTATGCCAAAAATATTGAAAGATGCCGTCGGTCTTGTATTCCATTACCGCATTGGAATTGGCTGTTTTTGGTACTGCTGGAAAAAAAAATTATTTCACACTGGATTTCGGATTCGACCCCTCCAACGCTCACCGGTTTTCCCGACTGACGGAAATTGCCAAATTTTTAGAATTTATGTCTCTACTAGTTGACCCCGCGCAAATTGCGCGGAATAAAAAAGAGAAGAATAATTTATGGCAAAAAATAATAGTTATTTTTATAAATCTAAGTAGTTTCATCAGGAAATTATAGAATTGCAACTTGTTGTTATCATTGGCAAAGACGTCGGCTACAGACTATGCGTAGTCAACAATAACCTTTTTAAAAACTGATGATAGTATGCTGTCACTACTTGTTTTTTTTTCAACCCGCCGACTGCTGGGACAACCTTAGATATGACTAAATGAATTTTTTCAAGTTTCTTTCCGAATACGGGACCGGCTTTCATTTCAGTTCCAGAACGAATCCTTCACACCATAACTGTAAATCAATCACTCAAATTTTTCGACCAACTGTAAAATAGTAGCTGTTTAATTTAAGTAAAACTATGTTCCCCGCTCATTTTTACCATCGTGCTGTAACAAAATTAATTTCAGCGTACCGTTAGCCTTGCAGTCCGGAAATACTGATTGTTATTGATTCAATCAATCAATCAAAAACTCCCGTTTTACAATCACAGTATGCATCAAAACGCATTTCGATTTTCAGTTGGTTCCTTATTGCTTTTTGTTCTCAGCGCAGCTAATGGTAAATTAGTTTGCATAAAAAATAAATAGTGATTTCAAAATATTGTTATAGTAAGGCAGTTTTGCCTCGTTTGCTGGTCCGCGACTCTTGGTAAGTAAATTACTTTTTTCAAAAAACAAATAGCGATTTCAGACTACTGTAATACAGTAAATATTTTGTTCAGGCTCGTTATGCCGGAAATGTAAAGCAGCGTGCCTCGCTTGCTGCTCCGCGAGCTCCGCTCGCGCCGCAGCTCGGCGTCGCCTGCGGCTCCGCCTTCTATGAAAAACTAACGAATTTTTTTCGAGTTTCGCAAAATTTCTCGTTCTCAACGCTCACGTTCTTAACAACCATTTTGGATAACGCTCCTAACGACCGTTAAGCAACCACTCAAATAAAAAAACTTATTATCTATACGCTCGTAGGTCTGCTGCAGTTGCTTTCCCTAAAACCTGAAGTACCAAACATGCAATTTGACACCAACACTAAACATGCAATACCATCTTTCCCGGACATTATTTTCCACAGAAAGCAAATTAACTCGCAACTTGCGAGTCGCAAGTCGTCGCAAATTTTTGTCTTCAGCGGCATATCAGTACCAATGGCAACCGCCCGTGGAAACGCTGCAACCTTAAACTGGTCAAACCCTGCGAACGACAGCTTCTTGAGAAACAGTTTTGAACACTTCCCTGCTCGCAGAATTTGTTAGGTCTTCAGTCTTCTTTCCTAAAACTTACTTTTTCTGAAGCCATTTGTTAACGAAAAATTTATAATTTCATTCAAGAACCAAGACTACCGAATAGTACGTGGTTACGACTCGAGATCTCTCCCAGTGCCAGCAAAGCTGGTCAAACGCGGTTTAGCTGTCGAGACAGTGGTGGGGTGGTCAGTTCTGCAGTGGTGGATTTTCAACTTTTTCTGTAGGCTTTCCATGTTAAAGTTTTTTGAAATTTTCTTTCAAATCTCTGTTTTTCTCTGAAAACTGACTTGTGATGGCAAATCTACACACTAAGGGCTATCGAATGATACGTAGAGATGGAAGTTTGATTCAGTGGATCGGGCTGACGAACTCGACAGAGTGGGAATTTCGTTAAGGCTTACGCGATTATTATATAGTGATGGTTTTTTCGGTAAAGGTAAAGAACCGTACCAGTACAGTGCAGATGACAATACTAATAGCGACGACGACAAGTCAGTTGCTTGCACCAGCTGGGATTGCAATGTGAAGCTGTATCTAGTATTGCATGCTAGATACTATACTATCCAGCTGGCTGGATATTACATTGCATACTACATAGATACTGTACTTGCTGTCAATAATACACAGTAAGACACCACGATACAATCGTGTGTGTACCGGTACAGTATCAATCTGCGGCTTATATAGATATAATGAGTTGTCGTCGTCGCTGCACTATAATGCACCACGATGAAAACGTGCCTGTATTATTTTCCAACTGTTGCTACTGTATCACACGCCCACCACCTGTATTGTGTAGATTTGTTATTTAAATGCAATACGGTTAATAATTCTTTGCACCACAGTGCAAACTATGTTTTCATTAGTACTGCAATCTTCAGTATCTCTAGTGACACTGTGCATTATAATGCACCGTACTTTACCATGACGCAACCGTTTTTGTATCAGTACGGTGCAGATCTGCAAAGCAGACAAGAATTGAAAAGCTGTCGTCGTCGCATGTTTACCATAATGCAATGCATTTTTAAAAAATGTAAAAATGAGAAATCTCCACTAATTAGTCCTTTGTTATGCTAAGATCAGTCCACTAACACCGATTACCTAGCCGGTGCCGCGTCAGGGGTTGGGGTTCTGGGAGGGTTAGGTTTGGGCACCCAGATTAACAGCAGGATTGCTGCTTGTACGGACACTATGTTGCGGCACCCATACTATTTCACCAGGAAGGGCTGCTGCTGCATTGGCAACCAGCACTGTGGTGTGGTTTGATCGGCCACTGGATGGTGTCGACTCGGGAACTATGTTGTCAATATGAAGCGGGAGCGATCTCATAGTGTGGAAGGAACTGGAAGCTGAAAGTCCGGTGCCGGTATACCCATAGGCTCTTTGGGATCGGCGACTGCGACTGGAGAAATATTCTGGACACGAATTGGTTCGACGGGTCGGTAGTGGTCTTTGCGCTCACTACTTGGAGCGATTTGTATGGATTGCCCATTCGATACCGGCAAGTAATTAATCAGCGGGGTGAAAGCGTGGGTTGGGTGTGGCCCTGCAAATCGTTCTGGTGGTGGTGCATTTGCTGAATTCATTGGTAAGCGGCCATGAGATGAATTACTTGACGGTATGACGGCATGCATCAAGCATTTCAAAGTCTGATCCATTCTCATCATATGACTAAAGACAATATAATCGAAGCTATTTGACAACGTAAAACATACTCTTTCGGGTTATGTATACGTATACCATACATTTAAACTGCAAAAGATAAAGTACTGCTTTAAAGTACAAAGTACTGCTTTTTAAAGTACTGCTTTATCTACAAATTAATGCAATACTTTGCAGGTCAAAATGTGAATGAAAAAATGTACTGCTATACTTTCAAATGCCCCAGCACTTAATCGTCAGTTTCGGCCTGTTCGGGGATGTTCGGGAAGCTGACCTTGTTACTGAAAGTAATACAATACTTTCACAAAGTATTGCATTACTTTCGAAGTACTGCCATACTTTCAAATGCCTCAGCAATTAATCGTCAGTTTCGGCGTGTTCGGGAATGTTCGGGAAAGTCACCATGGTACTGAAAGTAATGCAGTAATTTCAAAGTATTGCATTACTTTCGAAGTACTGCCATGCTTTCAAATGCCCTAGCACTTAATCGTCAGTTTCGGCCTGTTCGGGGATGTTCGGGAAGGTCACCTTGGTACTGAAAGTAATGCAGTACTTTAAAGTATTGCTCTACTTTCGAAGTACTGCCGTACTTTCGAATGCCTCACCAATTAATCGTCAGTTTCGGCGTGTTCGGGGATGTTCGGGAAGGTCACATTGGTACTGAAAGTAATGCAGTACTTTTAAAGTATTGCATTACTTTCGACGTACTGCCGTAATTTCAAATGCCCCAGCACTTAATCGTCAGTTTCGGCCTGTTCGGGGATGTTCGGGAAGGTCACCTTGGTACTGAAAGTAATGCAGTACTTTAAAAGTATTGCTCTACTTTCGAAGTACTGCCGTACTTTCAAATGCCCCAGCACTTAATCGTCAGTTTCGGCCTGTTCGGGGATGTTCGGGAAGCTGACCTTGTTACTGAAAGTAATACAATACTTTCAAAGTATTGCATTACTTTCGAAGTACTGCCATACTTTCAAATGCCTCAGCAATTAATCGTCAGTTTCGGCGTGTTCGGGAATGTTCGGGAAAGTCACCTTGGTACTGAAAGTAATGCAATACTTTCAAAGTATTGCATTACTTTCGAAGTACTGCCATACGTTCAAATGCCCTAGCACTTAGTCGTCAGTTTAAAAGTATTCCTGTACTTTTAAAGTATTGCAGTACTTTTAAATTACAGCAATACTTTTAAAGTATTATTTTTATAGCATTGCAGTACTTAAAACGCCTCAGCGCTTGATCTTCTGTTTCGGCTTGTTCGGCGTTGTTCGGGAAGGTCACTTGGCACAGCAGTATAATACTTTGAAAGTTGTACTTTAGAAGTATTGCTGTACTTTCAAGTGCTGCAATAATTTAAAATGCCTCAAGGCTTTATCGTTTGTTTCGGCTTGTCAAGTGCAACAGTAACTTTAAAGTGCTGCTGTAACAATGTGACCTTCGAACAACGCCGAACAAGCCGAACAGACGATCAAGCGCTGAGGGTTTTAAGTACTGCTATACTTTAAAGTATTGTTGTACTTTAAAAGTATTGCAATACTTTAAAAGTACAGGATAACTTTCAGAGTATTGCTGTACTTTCAAAGTACTGCAATACTTTAAAATGCCCCAGCGCTAGATCGTCTGTTTCGGCTTGTTCGGCGTTGTTCGGGAAGGTCACTTTGGCACAGCAATACTTTGAAAGTACTGTTGTACTTTAAAGGTATGGCTGTAGTTCAAAGTGCTGCAATACTAAAAGTATTGCTGCACTTTCAAACTACTGCAATACTTTAAAAGTGCAGGAATACTTTAAAAGTATTGCTGTAGTTTCAAAGTATTGCAATACTTTAAAAGTACAGGAATACTTTAAAAGTATTGCTGTAGTTTCAAAGTATTGCAATACTTTAAAAGTACAGGAATACTTTAAAAGTATTGCTGTACTTTCAAAGTGCTGCAATACTTTTAAAATGCCTCAGCACTTGATCGTCCGTTTCGGCTTGTTCGGCGTTGTCCGGAAAGGTCACTTGGCGCAGCAGTACTTTGAAAGAACGGGTGCACTTTAGAAGTATTGCTGAACAGAAAGCCAGCAGTACTGTCTCCAGGCAACACAGTATGCAAAGCAATATGTAAAGCACTTCGATTAACAAGCTGTACCTTATAGACAACAACAACTAAATTAATATAGTACTTAACAGTACAGTAACTACTATAGTACAGTGCCTACGTTAGCGCTCTGCAAAGGTTAACATATTGCAAAATTACTAATGGGAGTGTATATTTAATTAGATAGTATTTGCACGACACAGTATGTGACGTACAAAATTTGGTGTGTAAATGCCAGTATAGTACTTAGCGTTCAGAACGACGACCTCTACACAATAACTGCAAGTTTTGCAACATTAAATTTTGCTGTCAATGACGTGTCAATCGCTGTCAATGGTACCTGCATTCCTGATCACTGTCCACTGCTGTTACCCAGGGGCTTGGGTATTACACGCTTGTGCAATCAATACCCAATATCGACCGCACGATGAGAAAGTACCAGTGAACTGCACCAGGGCGCACAGCGAGATGGGGAATTATAAACAATAGGGTAACAATTACAGCACTGCCATAAATAATTAATATTGCACCAATACGGACGGTGCGACGGCAGCGATCAGTCAACAGTGCATTACACGGTACGTCGATAAACAAAGCAATTGGTACTTGACCATAGTACTACAAGTCGGCGACGAGAAAATTGTATGATTTATTAGCACCTAAGTAAGTACACAAACAATGGTACATGCAGCAAAAGTGCACATGCATGCACCAATGGTGCAATTGAATGCACCATTGGTACGGATCTTTACTGGTGCCGTTTTTTCACTCAGAATTTTTTCGCTCACTTTCTCACAAACATTCAGTGTGCGAAAGAATTATTTATTTCATTTAAACACTGTTTAGTGCATGACTGGGATTTTTTATGGCCTTTACAGGGTGAAAATTCCATCGCGTTTGCTCCTTTAAACCTGATTTTGAAAACTGTTCTGATAAAAAAGTGTAGTTTCTGAGCTTTAGAACGAATCTGTACACTTTGAAAATAAACCAGTTCAAGGCGCACGATATATTACTTCCAGAATCGTCATAAAATTGTGCAGGCTGTAAACAGGTAATCCCGCTAACCGGCGGTTAGCGACTATGGTAACCGCTAACGGTTTAAAACTTTGAATGATAAAATTTTTGAAAAAGAGACCCATCAGAAAAACCTAGCGGAACCAAGACGAAAAAAGTGGTGGTCGTTATGGGCATGTTAGTTGTCGTAGCCTTGCATATATTGCATTTGCTACCTTTTAAGGTCAATCTTTGAGTACGGCTCACTTCCGACTCCGAGTATGTGCGAGTACAAACTGTGTATTAAGTATAATCGCGCTGTCTTATCAGGAAGGTCAATACAGCCACTTCTGTTACAAGACAAGTGTTATAACTTCAAGGCCGGTTGTACAGATACATAGGTGATCATACTACGCACAGCTGGCTCGACATGAATATAAATAACAATCTTATTTATTCGCACATCCATAAATGCGCACAACCATACAACTGTTATCTCCCAAATAAGCAAAGTAAAAAGATAACACCACACGCTCACAGCCACGTGCTTCTGACACTGGCCAAAGCCGCTTACGCTAACGAGACTCTTCTCTAGCTGTATAGTGGCAGTGTTGACAAACAGCCGTCTGCACACGTTGGAGTAAACAGCATGGGTGATCGCACTGTCTTTCCGCCAATCGGTGATGCAGTGACCGATTACCAGCGGAGTCTGCACACCATCCGTCATCCAGCGTACTGGCCGTCCAAAAAACCCTTGGACGGGGATACCCTCCCGACAGAATGGGTACCCAAACTGCTACCATCACCGCGATGCCTTTCCGGATTGCAGTATCTCAGCGGTGTTAATCATTACGTCCTCACTGCAGAAAAGCACCCCACAGATGCGGGTATTAAGGAAAAACTTTCAAAGCGTTTATTGACCAGTTAGGCTAGTTTGCATGCTCTGATTTGGCTGTGAGTTTCATTGTAGAAACGACTGGAATAATACCGCGAGCTGATCACTACAACATCCGCGATCGGACGGGATGCAGTATGTACACCTGTCTTGTCGTCAGCGCGTTTTCGAGTCGTGGTCCTCTGAAGCGAAAGCGACCCATCCAGGTGAAGATCTGCGACCGGCTGGACGAAGTGCTTTTGCATGGAAACATTGAGAAGAGTCTATTGTTAGAGAGAGTTGTCATTCGAGCGTCTGACGAACAGACACCCATTGGGCATATCTGTATCCGCTCTGGCTTGCTTTTGGGAAAGACCGTCATCCAAGACTCGAGGGAAAGACGAATTTTAGAGATTAAGCGTAGAAATATTTTCCAGCAAGGAAAATTGGCACTTGAGGTAAGAACTGCTTTACAATACTCGTACAAGAGCTAATTTGCTAAGTTATATGACTGTTGGATAGTAGATAATCTGGGTTAATTTAGATTAAGAATTCTGTAACCGGAAAATCCTGTGGACGGTTTATGCTGCTGTTGTCGGCGCTGGCAGAGAACGGCACAGCTAGTATATCGGGGACTGATCTACTGCTGACCGTGGAACTACCGGCGCAGTACAAAGCCATGTTGCTGGTTAGCGCAGTTTTGCTGCTTCATAATTCTTCTCTTAAAGAATGAAACACTGCCTGAAGTCCTGCACGGTGGCTGCATTTTGGAACAAATCAATCGCTGTGTACCTTGCCACCTTCGGTTTTTCATATATATATTTCCTGCACATACTTTGTAATTTGTATCTTGAATCTGTAATTAAAAGTGTACACAACAAATATTAACTTCTAAGACCGTAGTTAAGGTACAAGTATTCGCAAAACTAACAGACAACGCATGCGCATTCATGGCAGTTCAGAATAAAACCACAATTATACTGTTTTCTTTTGGACTCTTTTGATGGACATCTCGAATCCCGTAAGGCCTGATATACAGTAATTATTAAGTTTGGTCATCTCCGACCTTAGTCCAAATTGACCATGCGATCCATAAAATGGCTTTCAGATGACTAGCCAAAACGTTTCCATGTCGCCCTTCCCCTGGGAATAGAGAACAGTCTATTAAACTCGGAAGTATGTTTACAGTTTACACTGGAGCATTTAAGCAACATCATAGCATGTAGTAGCTATGGACAAAGCTGTGTAGCGGGAAAAACTGGATTCCACTAACGGTAAAAGAGGACAGTTCAAGGAACTGGTCAAACAAATCACTAAGATCGGGTCATCGGACCATAGCTGTAAATTACCTTCACACGAATAACCCCCCGCCTCTCGCACTGGAACACGTTTTTGATCCTCAATAACGCGACGGTACTGGACGTCATTTGGATCCTGCCAGATTCTCCACTGCTTTCCATGCGAGCCGCTGTGTTTACAGTATCCCCAAATCTACGAGTACGAGCATATTTGTCATGCGATACCTTGTCACGATTATATGGAGGCGTATTTTACTTTCCGACTTACAGACAGTATCTGGGCACTTTCTTCCCGATGACCCCAGCAACGCACGAACCTGTGCATATTCAAGTCATTTATTTAAGTCTTTTAGCATAGGTAGGAACAAAATATCCTTTACCGGAATTAATGCCAGCCCGTAATTTTAAATGGAAATTTGTATAGTTGCCAGCGATACACGAGTCGAAGTCTTTAAAAAGGGCACTTGCCATACGGCACACTTCCAGGGCGTGATCACTGTGGGCGGATGGGACGCCACACGCAACCTGTGAAACATATCGTTTTCGTGTGATTATTAAGTACACCATCGGATGTAATTATTGTAAATTGTGCTGCAGCAAAACAATTTTTATCATAGCTGCAGTTTGTGCCTACCATATAAACGTCACCAATTGTCTCAATCTTCTGCACGGGAAATCGAGAAATTTTTCTGTCAAACTCCGAGTACACGTCACTTAATAATACAATAACAGCACGCGGGGGCATTGACTGCACCCATTCAGGAAATCCCGGAAGACTGGAGAAGTAGATGGATGCATCGTCGAACTGCTGCGCTTCCACACCGACCCCATTGCGAAGAGCCCGCACAACTGCTCTGTGCAGCAAAAAATTTATTTGTAAAGGCTTTTTTGATGAAATCCAATTGGATCTACATTTAACGATTAAAGCAAGCCGCACACAAAAAGTACTTAATTTATTACGGAAGTCAAGATAAATTGCGCGATAGAAAGTACAGTAGATGAGCTTTCGTTAAGTAATTTCTTTTGCTCACTCTGGTAAAATTTCTCGTAATAAGGATTCGCATTTGGCGCGCTCCGTTTTCAGTTCTTCCGTTCTAGCTCCGACCGCTTCTTCCAAAGACTCGGTGTATTTTTCTAGGCGCATAATAGTTATTCTCGTGTAATTATTAAATCGCCGACCCTGAAGCTTTCGTAGCGAATTTTTGACAAACACCATTGACGGTCTGCGCTCAGGCTCAGTTTCCGAGCACGATTCGAACAACGCCTTGCACCGAGCGGGAATGTTTTGTTTATCACTTTTTGCTTTCGCCATGGTGAGCGACATGGCATCTTCCATAGTAAATTCTTGAACAATTTTTCCAAAGGCGAATACATCGGCCTTCATCATTGCTTTCGCAGCTGGATGACCTTTAATGGTGGATAATTCCGGTGCAGTGTATCGTTTGTCGGGTTTGATTTTCTCCTGATCGTTGACCATGCGGCGAAGAATATCACCGTATCCTAGTTCGGAAATCTTAAGGACAAAACGGGAGTTGACTAAGCAACATGATGGACGAAGCCTCCCATGGAAGCGAAATTTTGATGTATGAATAAAGGATAAACCCTGACAAAGAAATAATAATTTGTAGAAATAAGACTTCAGTGCGCTTTTCTTCTACCTCCGCGAATCCTCCAATCAATGACATAACAAGGTCACTGTCTATCCGCATGCGCTCGGCTAACGTACGCAGGGAACCATGCTTGGCGAATTCCGTAACGAACCGAAATTCCCTTGCTAATACAACGATGCCGAACAATTTGGCGATGTTATCGTGGTTAACGTGGACAAGCTGGAAATAATTATGATAGATGTTGCTAACAGTTTACTATCTAACTGTAAAGTCACAATGAAAACTGGAAGCAATGCAGAACTGACCTTTCTCAGAGCGCTGACTTTGTTCAGAATTTTAACTGACAATTCTCTGCTGTGATTAGAAGGGTGCGTGTAAATCCAAACGGGGTTACCGCGGAACTCAGATTTGTAATTCGTCGGATGATCGTTAAATGTCACGGTACGACCGCGGAACTCGGATTTATAATTGGCCGGATTATTGTTGAATGTCACAGTTCGACGGGGAATACTGTCCTCCGTAATTAGCCACCATAACTCTCTTTTATGCCGCACGATCCTGTAGAAAGTGATTAATATCGTATGTTCTTTACTGAATGTTTGTGCGTCACTCTATCACTTTGTACGCGTACGTCGTTCCGTCGTAGTTGTGTGCAATACTTACAATTTGGTTGCAAGCACGCTGGTGGTCAAACTGAATACGACAATCACAACTGCTAGAATAACCATTGTCGTTTTGTCCATTGTCCCTATAAACGGGCCAGTAATTAAAATCTAAAAGGGACAACACGTGATTGGCATTTATGGTAGTCCTGTGTTATCGTTTATCCTGAAATATCGTTTCATTAACACCTTGCGCACAGGCTGCATCTGTTCCCAAAAATCCGCAGGCGGGAATATCCCGAACCGGATTCAGCAGCGGATTGGAAAAATTTTCCTGGTGTGTTTGTGGCTTAGTCCAGATTAGCCTATCCGCTGCTGAATCGTACCACATGAACAGCTAATCGAAAACAATAAAACCGGCTAATGAGTTGCAATTCATAACATCCGCCTCGGTGCTGGTTACCACACGCATGATTGGTTTACGCTCTTTACCGTTAACTCCCGCGCCTTCCCATCGTACACGTAAATATCCATATCCAACAATCGAGTGGCATCCGGCCGGATAAATGTTAAGCCAGTTTCCAGATCGAACAGATGATTTTTAATTTTGCTCGCCAACGAAATACCGTCGCATGACGAAGAGCGATTTACAGCCGCTGTCCACAAGCTCACAGCATCGTAAGCTCCTCGGGTGCCATACAAATCCAGTGGCTAAATTAAGAAAAATTTGGTCAAGGCCTTGCAGAAAATAAGTATAGCAAGAAAATATTAATTTTCCAATCTAAGATTACAGAGTCTGTGGTTTGCAGTGCAAGACCAAGGTCACAGTTACAGTGTTTGTACTGACCGGTGCATCGGTCGTGAAGGAAATATTATATTCTTCCAGTGTGCGGTTGGCAATGCGCTGGTTAAGGTCATCAAGCAGAGACCCTCCAGTGTGATGAGTCGTCAGATAAATAAAATTTGTAAATGTTTGAGACATCTATAAGATATGATGTAAACAAGTAAACGGGGAAATGCGCAGTAACGAGATCATTATAATTACCGATGCAGGAGGGCTAGAAAACAGATTAAGCTTTCCATAAATGTCCACTTGGGACGGTTGGAGCATCAGATATACCTAAAGATTTTACACCAAATTTAATTTATTTACCATTTGGCGTTCATATATACTGTATGAATGTCTAGTTTGTTGTCAGAGACAAGTAGTACTTCAAAGTACCGAATATTAACGTACTCGCACATTATGTGCCTAAAAAGCACAAGCTTTGTGTTTGCGCTTACATATTCCTTGTTGACCATTTGAAACGACTCTGCCAGTCTCTAAAAGGGAAAAAGATGAATATTATCTTTGTATAAGTACTCGCATTGTAAAGTTATTGCAGTCTTTTGCTTTTTTATACTACAGTAGTAGTTTATCCATATGCGCATACTCAGTAATTGGGTGCAGGATGTCGTTGCGAACTGGATAATCGAAATTCGTCATAGAAATCGACTGCACATTAAGACTCACCAAAATCTCAATTCCAATTTTTGCATGGCAAAAAAGAATAATAACTGCAATACAGAAAATAATCGTAACTGGAGATTGTACAAACAAGGAGAAACAATTTCTATGCCGAAAATGACAGCAGGCAGGCAGATGCTTGCCGTACAATGATCTCTGGGAAAAATATACAATCGGTTCAGAAGAGGGGGGTGGGGGGCACCTACATCGATAACTTACTTCTGCTTCTCGTTCTAGCAACGTCAAGTACCGGCTGCACGCTGTCAAATCGGGTCGCATTAAACCGCAGAATCTGAAACTGAAAACTTTTGGACGCATCAGCTTTTGTTTGCCGTTGAAGGGTATTGGCCGTGTTGACGTAAATGACATTGGTGGCCGCAGTATCGAGAAGAGCGGTAACATGGTACCAACGGTTCATACGGAAGAGCTGCATAAATACCGTAGCAAAACCTTCGTAAGTGCCGCTTAAAGCGATAGCGGATGGAAACTGTATGGGATTAACTTCGATTTGCTGCATTACTCCGCTAAAAGACAACAGGATAAGCTCCGATAAAGACTAAAGTAACCGCAAGCCAATTAACACTTACGTAGAAAATATAGGAACATTCCATTCTACAACCGAAAATGTCGAAGTTATTTTGGAAGAAACATAATATCAGATTCAGCATGGAGCGATACATGCGTACCTTTTGCAAGGTAGGCCGGATTAATAAAACCCCCACATCCTTAAAAATTTAGAAGAAAGCTTTGGTTAGACTTTATCGAATGAACTAACAATAATGCATGGCTCGCAAAATCTTTACCTACGGCAACGACGGCTGTACACTCGTTACTTCGAATTTTATGGTCAAGACGTTTGTTCATGTATTCCGCCAACATCCAGGCGGTATTAGCAGCTGTGTCATCACATGTCCGGTAACTGTCATCATAAAGCAGTTTCAAAGAGATGTTCATCGACTCCCTATACGTCTCCGCAGCAGCTTCGACCGACATTCGTAAAGCCGAGCCGGAATATAGTAGTGCCGGTCCAACTGGGACATTTTTTGGTAAGATACTAATCATCTCCAGTTGTTGTAGGCATGAACCGAATTCCAAAAGTAAAGCAAAAGCAAGAATTATCATGATACAGATAATGCCGCGCATAAGGAAACATGAAAACGATTTACTGTGAAGATTCTGTGGTCATAGTGACGCAAGCCAGATAATGTAACGAGAATCTCAGTAATTTTGACCAGTATGTACTGTATTTATATACAGCAGCTCAGAAGACATTTTCTGTACGCTTGGCTTTTCACACACGTGGGTGTGGAATCAGGAGTATAGCAAAGCACCAGTGCACCGGCACACAAGCGACTGCCTTTATGATTCTGCGGATGGAAGATTGCTCAATACTCTGGAGAAATACGAGTGTTGTCGTTGGAAGCGTTGGCCGATTACTATTCTGTAAAGGTACTTGTACACAATGTGATGTATGTGTTGCAGACGTATAGTCAGCATGAAGCCACCGGCGGTGTGGTCATGTGGGAGACTCAGCTTTTTGGCCATCTACTGCGACGCCACGTCACAAAATTATTTTACTGGAATAAATTTTAATGTAAATAATGAGTGTTGGCATAAGCAGTCGAACGTTGTTCAGTACTGGATCTGGTCTTCGCCATTAATTAAGTGGGTGCATGCAGTCGGTAATCTAATTCTGGTCCGCTGGGGTTTTCGATTATATGTAAATATGTACTGTATGTAATACTAAATGCCGCCGCAAAATGGTTTGGGTTCGCAGTTTTATTGTAAATGTTTTGATTATTTAATATAAATTTGTTATTTTGGTTAATTTGTTATTTGTTGTTATTTGTAAATTTGTTTTTTCTGTTGCAAAATTAATTACTGAACTTATTATTTTGACAAGGGCCAAATGGTTTCAGCGCTTGTCATCAGAGCAACGGAATTAATGTTTGCAACAGCACAAGAAGAAAGGGTTTTTAGTTTTTACATAGCTTTCGCGGATCATGTTATCACGTATGCAATGCGGTAATTGTCAAACGTCACGTGCTGTTTTGTTTGATTGCGGGGTATAATCTTTAGTCTAATAATACGATCAAATTACTGTCTTACAGTTGTTAATATTTTTTGCTCCACCAAGTACGACAGATCAGGACACATTGACAAACAATTTATGCACTGAATAGAACAGCTGACGTCACTGCTGCATAAGAGAAACATCCGCTCTTCCGGTTTTTCTATTTTGCGGCAGGTTCATTTGAACCGTGACAGGTTCTTATATGCGGTATACGACTAGAATCAGTCGTAGCATATATGAAACTGTAGTTTCGGTTTTTGGTCTTCGATATCCGTGTGTAAACAAAAGTAATTTCTGGCGCCCGTAGAGTACGGAAGGGTCCGCGTGACACGAGTCATGTGACATGAGTCATGTGACATGAGTCGAGTAACGATGCGTGAAAGTTATAGATGGCGTTGTTAGCTCGGCATCTTTTTAGTTTACATTATGTGATCCTACATTATGTAGGAGCACATTGCATCTGGAGAAAAACGGAATTGTAGTATCCAAACAAACGTAATCCAATATGCTCCTGCAATGTACATATGTGCTCCTACATGTATGTATACCACATATGTAGCACCTACCTATATAGAGCATTGCAATGTGCTCCATATATGTGCTACATATAGAATTGTATATATATGCAGTATTACATTGCATGTGGAGATGATAAGGGGTAGGAATATAAAGTGCTGAATATATTAAATTATATTAAAGGTGATATGTTTGACGAAAAGTGATAATGAAGAAAGGGTGTACTAATCCAGTGTAAGGAAGAAAGAGTCTACATTGAATTAGGGTGAAGGTAGTGGGAGTTTTACTGTAATATGGTATAAATATATTCGACTTTCTGGTTGTTCGTATTTGAGTGTTTAATGAAGTGTTACAGGAAGTGGAGTGTGTTGCGGGTTGTAGATGGTGATGGATTGTTGTGGAATATTCAAGAAATTTCGAGAAAGTTGATTGCTTAATGGAGCAGACTATTATGTTTTGCTCTGATAGTGTTGGATGTGTAGGAACAGGTGGTTTGTATATGGGAAGTAGGTTGGTAGGTACATTAAAAGGTTGTACGAGAAAACGTATAGCTTAATTGGTTTGTTGACTGGATTTTTTGAGTTCGGTGCGTATATAAGAAGTTGAGGAATCTTGTGTTGAAGTTATTATGGAGTGGACGAAGCATATGGAGTGAGCAAAATGTTTTTCTTGTTGGTTATTTTTGGTGGCCGGTGTGGATTTGTGGATACTTACTGATTCAGGCTGCTGTCTTTTGTTTGGCTTTAGTAAGTCTTTTTTGGTTGAGTATGGTTTAGTAAGTTTTCTTTCATACATTGTTTTCGTTTAAGAATTCTTTTTTTAATAAAATAATAGAAGGTGGTTGTGATCGTAAGAAATACATGCGCGAGTTTATGCGTGGTTATAGAAAGAAACGCAAAATAGAAACTGATGGTAATTGTAGCAGGGAGGATAATGTAGGAAGTGGTGGTGATGGTAGATATGAGAATGTAAAAGTTAAAAAGCAAAACTGTAATCGGAATACTAAAGGTGGTGCGTTTTCTGGTATGTTTGGAAAAAAATATTGGAGAAAGGTCATTGTTGCTTATGTGCCGTGCGATTGTTGCAATATTTTAGTTGCATCTGATTTGATTGGTGACAATTCAGGAATGTTACATAGTGATTTAAAAGCTGATGCTAGAATATGTGCAGGATGTATGACTTTACATAAGCATAAAACTTTTAATCTTTGTGTTTACGATTTACGGCGAAATTGTTTAGATATTGGTAGAGAAAATTGGTTGAATAATCTTGGTTACATGGAAGTCCAGGCAGTGCGTTTGTTACAGCCTTTTTCGACAATATTGCATTTGAAAAATAGCTTAACAAAACGTGTAGGGCAATTATTTCATGTAACTAGTGATCCTAGTGAAAATTTCGAATGTTTGCTACCACGTCCGGCTACAGATTGTTTATTAGCTGTATATCAAGCTAAAAAAAGATTTTGATAATTCTAGTCGAAAAGTCATTTATTCTGTTGATTTTAACATTGTTTATAAGGCGCTTGATTTTTTGATTTCTAATAACGGGTTTTTTGATTTTTAAATTAATCTGGGACTGGAAATCAAAAACTGGATTAAAAGAAAAAGCGTATCCTAATCTATTTCCGTTTGGTTATGGTGGTTTAACTAATGATCGGCCTTAAATTATTCACCTGAAAAATATTTTGAATTGCGTTTTTGAAGTGCAGAAAATAGGTTTCAAAAAGATTGCTCATACGTTTTCGAGCTCTAAACCTTTATCAACGGGATCAGGTAGAACGGACGATTAATTATGTTCTTAAAAATGACAGTTTTTGTACAGAGAAATGACATTCTTTGTAAAGGAAAAGATTTAGGTAATAAAAGTGTTGTTAAGTTTTTATATCCAAAAATTGGAAAGGTTACACGAGGTAGTCAAGCATATTACAACGGTGCTAAACGACATTTGCGGAGTATGGTAATGTGTAATGGTTGTCCGGATCTTTTCTAAGCATTACTTTACGATTTTGTCCTGAATTGTTGTGTTTTGCTGACCCTGTTGAGTTTACATTTTTGTTTTTTAACTTTACATTTTCATGTCTAACATCATCACTGCTTCATTATCTTCCTTGCTACAATTACCATCAGTTTCCATTTTGCGTTTTTTTTTCTATAATCACACACATACTCACGCATGTATTTCTTGCGATCACAACCAGTTTCCATTATTTTATTAAAAAAAACAATACTTAAAAGAAACTATCTATGAAAGAAAACTTACTAAACTATACTCAACCTAAAAAGACCAAAGCCAAACAAAACGCAACAACCTAAATCAGTACGCTTCCGAAATTCTGAATCGGCCATCAGAAAATAACCAACAAGAAAAACATTTTCCTCACTGCATATGCTTCGTCAAATCCATAAAACTCAAACACAACGTTCCTCAACTTCTAATATACCCACCAAACTCAAAAAAATCCAGTCAACAAACCAGTTAAACCAAACATTTTCTCGAACAACCTTTTAATGTACGTCCCAGCCTACATCCCATATACAAACCACCCGTTACTACATATCCAAGACTATCAGTGCAAAAAATAATAGTTCGCTCCATTAAGCAATCAACTTTCTTGACTACACAAATTACCTACCAAAATGACTGTGTAAACCTATGGAAAGTTACTGACTAAACGCGCAATTTTCAAGTTCTCAACTGTAGTAAAGGAACACCCACAACCTCTCATGTTTTTCATGCACTCACAAAATTCTTTCCCTACTATTATTATTCTTTTTATATACACAAATCCGAAATTATTTTAAATCCCAGTATTCCTCTTTCTTATACCGAAGCTGCCGCTACACAATCGAGAGATTGTCCACGCAGTGTATTATGGTGTCAGTCTTGCAGTCAAAATGGTCCGGACGCGTGCAGGTACTGACGTATTATGTTAATCTGTTTCTGAATATTATGTGGAACATGCAATATGTTCATATGCTATACCATTGGCAGTTCTGGGCTGTTCATAAGAAATCTAATTCGAAAATCAAAATAAAAACGTATATCATGGTATGTGCAACATTGTGTGATACTTTTTCCTTGCAAAAGATTTCTACTTTTTTATAGGTACAAATCCAAGAATCAATATATGGGCTCAACAGTAAGACGATCGATAAAAGGTGGAGTTCTAATAGTTATATTTTTTGTTATGTGCCTGCACACTGGAATGCCGATAACCATTGATTAGTACCAATAAATTTGCGGCCGCCATTATTCTGAAATTAAGTTAATGTTCAAATTCTCCTGCGCTAGCATGACACAACAGAATCGTACTTTGTGTTCAAGAAGCATACGATTAGTGACCCATCTCGTAAAACAGAACGTAAGCATCTGGAGTGATGGCGTCCTTCGCTGACGCATTGCTAACCCTGCAACATAAAGTTGAGCAGTAATTTTATCTGGTTTTAATTCTGTCCAACATTTAGCGAACCCATGCAATTACTGAAACACAGAAAACGTACCGAGAATCATTGTATTCGCTCCAGTTTCCAGTGCCGGGTTGTTTGCAATACGCCGTATAATGGCCGCAGTGTGTACTGCCAGCATGACAGGATACTGCGTACAAGCTAAACGACGGCCTCGGACCCGCGTAGGAATCAGCTGCAAACGGAGAAAGATCCAGGCCATCAACAGGATACTCGACCAAACTGGATATCTTGGCTCGGTAGCGCTCCTGGGAGAAGCGTTTCAGATGGATCACAAGGTATTTGGGAAAGCGTTGAATCGTGAAGAATTTGGTGCAGCGCTGCCGGGATTTGCATCGTTCGCAGTTCTGTAAAGTGAAGCTGTTTGTATTAATTGGATCATGTGCAGCTGATTGCGGTGCATCTTACCGGTCGCTCGTCGCCATCCAGTATCTCCTTCTTAGTAAACAACTTTAGACAGTCGTATACGTTACTGTCGCCCAATGCTGAACTGCGGTAATCCGGTATGGGAAGCGCCAGATCCCAGAAGGGATCAAAGGTCACCGAGCAGTGCCCGCATGTATCACAAACCAAGGAGCTTTTCAGTTGGCCCACAAATAAATCTAAGAACATCCAAACAGATCTGAACGGATAATTCGCACAGGGTAGTGGTGACATTCGTACCAACTAATTTACTGTTGTCCCGTCGTAGATACCGTTTCCATGCTTCCGCGTATTTCTGCACATCGGTGTAATGATCCGGGATATCCTGAGTCTCAGGTTTGGGTTTACCGGTAACACGGTTTACATCTTCGTGGAGGCCTTCCAGAAGATATCTTAAAAACTCTTGGGCATCTTGTTGCCTGTTTCAGCACGAAAGGGTGGAGGTCAATACAAACGAATTTACTGGTGAAAGCAATCGTGTAGTAAACCTAATAATGGCTTACAAGTAGCCGGCAAAGCGCGGTGCGTATTGCTGGATTTTTCTGTGGAAACGATCGGGATCATAAGCGTTGACACTTGAATAACTCGAGCCTTTCTTCCAAAGGGCCTCCATTACAGTTGCGAAAGCTAAAAACACGTAGCTCAGTAATCGTGTAAACGACTCAATTAAAAGCTGCTTACCAGAAATAAGCGGGCTTTCTTTATGCGTGGATGTCGAGCATAGTTCGGACTGGAATTCTCCAGACATACAGTAGTCCCTTAGATCTTTAGTGTTGCTTAAGCACTGCAGGATGGAGTTCATGAAACACTACAAGAAAACAAACACGCTATTATTACATAGATTCCGTTTGCTGCTTAATCAAGCTAACGCACAGTGTTGCCAATATTTTTCAGACCAATTAGTCCGGCTCGATCCGATTCATCGACCGTGATGCTCTTGCGTGCCGACTGCAGTCTTCTGGATAAAGGTGATCGGGAGCGGGTGTAAGAGTAAGCATTGCTTCGATATCCACGGTCTTCGTTATCCCCCGTTTCTCCACCATTTTCACTCGCGTTCAATGGCGCATCGGTGTTCCGTGAAAGTTCTGTCAACCTTCCTCTACTATCACGACGATAGGAGGAATACAGAGACGGTGAAGTGTAATCGCGCGAGTAGGCAGAGTAACCGCCACTGTGCTCGCCATTTAGTACTGAAGACCGATCACTGTATATTGAGCTCCGTAGCGGTGTGCGGTATTTTCGGCTTGTGTCGCTTAGATTGCTGTCGATGATATTTTCTTTGTTTTCCACGGAGTCGCTGGCTGACTTTTTGGAATCTCCAGGAATTTCAGAATCTGCTGGTATGTCTGGCGTCTTTTCTCGATGCATTCCTAGAACACGTGCAGAAATTAATGAAATTATGGTTTGTGTGTTAAGTAACACAAAACCGGGTTTTGATTAATAATTTAACACTAGAGGTATCAAATAATACATAACTGAATTTTTTTTCTTTAAGTTCTTGTTTACGAACGAGCTGCTGATGTAAGCGAATTATTTGCTAAAACGGTTTTCTTGCAAGCCAAATAATTATGTTGTGTTTACCGTATGGTATTAACTCGGGCGTTCGGGCACCACGAACAGGCGATACATCGCGTGACGACAGCTGACTCGCATAAGCAGATGTTACGCCATCCAAGCGTCGGCTGTGCGATGACCCCGTCGAAATTCCGGACAGACTGCTGGAGCGATCATAACTAGATGTCCTTGAAGACGCTAACGACTCAATGCCGCTGTCACGGTCCTGTTGGTTCAGGTGAACGGGCGGCGCAGATGACTCCCGCCTGGGTCGCAAGCCGCTGGCTGAAAGCGATACCGGCGGCGCGGTTATCGTGGTCAGCCTACTCTCGGTTTCTTTTTTATATGGCTGTCCAGAGCTTTTGGCCAAGATTTCTATTAAAAAACCTGGTGATCAGCCGTGACGTGCATAACAAATAAAACAAGTTAACCAATGACGGCTTTAGTGTGGATCTCACCTCGTGCTCGATCGAGAGATTCTTCCCGTGTATACGTTCTCCGCTTTGGCAGTGTTCCGTAAGCGGATATCGAATTCACATCCGAGGATCGGCTGTACGATGAAGTGGAGATGCGTGATGGCAAATCCTTACCGCTTGCTGATTCACCTGCGGAGCTGTCGGTGAGGTCGAGTAGGGAAGCGCGCCATGACTGTCGTTTCTCTGCCAGAGAGGGTGAAGTATACGTAGCCGTGCTACTGGTGCTGAGGCTGCTTCGAGCACGTGGGACATAACTGGATCGCAGTGAAGAAGATGAATAGGAAGGGGGTGTTGAGCCAATACTTATACTGTTGCGCGGCGCAAGACTGGATGACCGCAGACTGTCGCGACGGGCCGTTTCGGGAGAATCCTGAAATGATCCAGTAGTGTCAGCTGAAACTGACCTTACTAACGCACCTTACTATTAACTGTGCTACCGATACTACCTAATTTTTGCTTGATGATACACAACTCTTGATGATATAATATATTATAGCAGTTATAGAAGTGATTCACAATATTTTGTGTTTCGGCCAGTTTTCACCTTTATTTTCTTGCTGGCTAGAAATGGACCTACGCAATGGCATGGAGTTTTAATGCATGCAACAACCACAATATCACAAAACAATATGACGACAGAATACTACGAAGCTCACTATCCTGTAACAGCGAGTGTGAATTTTAATGTTTATAATGCCACATATGACGGAAAATGTGTAGGCAATAAACGCATTTTAGTTTTTACTGTATTTTTTACTGCATTTTAAGTTTTAATTTATTTTATTGTACTCTGACACCGTCTATGTAAGTATGATTTCCAATCGCGTGTCAACATATAGGAAAACAGAGCTGAAAAGTACTGTGACTGTTAACTACCTGAATGGAACTCCGACGTGACCGCAGGCGCTCTACAGTTGCGGTGTATTCAGCAATAGCATTTGAATAACTTCTGTAGGATGACGTTTTTGCAGCCATATTGCGAAAGATTTCTGAATTAGCAACGCTGTTTGCGCAAAGCTCCAAGAATATCCAGGCAAAGCTTCCATAAAACAATCAGAGTATCTTATGCAACAGCAGAAGGGGCCATTTTGCCTTGTATTGCTTGTACAAAACTTGCCAACAATAATGTGTTACACAAAAGAAGGAAAAATTAAGCATCTCCTAGCGCCACAGAATCCAGTTCTACGTCTTGCGCTCGCCTCTAAACAAACCCCAACTGGTACATTCTTGCTGTTTCGGCAAATTACTGCAGATCGCAGCAGTGCCGATCAACAGCTGCGTGGCTGTCTAAACTGGGTTGTCTCTTGCGTTTCTTGACTCATGATCAAGCTCTTCCGGTCAGAAAACAGTTCCAGCCGTCTGCGGAACGCAGATTTGGTGGAGTGTGAAGAGCGCGCTCTGTATAGTTGCATAAAACGGCGGTTAAGGAGTTGGCAATGGCAGATTTCGGCTTGGTGGACCGGTCTATTTATAGGCGATGCCGGCTTGATTCATGTTGCAGCGCACGCAGGCTCAAGGCTGCCGTTTGGCTACGTTATAAATAATCATTAGAACAAATAAGATTTAGTTATTTTCATCTTTGTATTTTGATCCATGTGGAGTGTACACCACTAACATGAGTAAAAAAGTAGGAGTAGTTTTGTGAAAACTGGAGCGGGACTCGCTTTGGAAAATGACGTACTATCTTTTACGAAGTTACAAACACGCAAAAAACTAGTACGGCATAATTATTGCCGTTTGCTGTATATCGCAGTAACGACGGTAGTTCTAGCGTAGATCTTTTCTTCGCATGGAGCGAAATTTGCAGCGGCGTAAACCAGCGAAAAGCATCCTGATCTGTGAACACGACATGCCTGTAAATTACTAGAGGGAGCTTGTTTTAGTATTGTACTCGTATACCAGAAGGTCAAGGATAGTCTATTTAGTTTTGAATCATAGTAAAATACGGTGATTAAACCGTCCGCATTAGTTATCGGTTCCTCTACGTCCAAGCAGCTAATGTCGAATGATGGCAATGGGCACGTATAGTCGTATACTACAGCATGCATACGGTATTTATTGTATTGTACATACAACGCGCTCGATTATACGACAGTGAATTCACTATCATTATTTTTGTTCATCAAAAGTGTGTAGTTTGTACAAAAGTGTACACGTTGCACCTTGTTTTGGTTGGAAGTCACCTACCTCTACAGCTAGCATGTGCTCAATTTGTTTTGTTAATTAAATGCGGTACGGATCCGGCGCTTTCGTCATGCAACCAGCGCTGTGCATTATCAAGGTTGTTAATGTTATTCAAAGTGCACGAAATTTACTGCTGAAATATGAGCGTTTTATGTGCAAAATACAAACATTCATCAAGTCTGACGACAGATAATTGCGTTGGAGGCCAAAACCTTAGGTATAGATGTCATAAATTTTCTACATTGTATTGAACAGGTAGGATTAATTCCTTCACTATACTGTACTACAATGTCATCTGCATGTTGTTTGCACGTACAAGTACAAATAATTAACGCAAACCGGTTGGAATTTCCATTGCTACTCTAGCATTTTTACTCATAATTCCTGGTATACTATCGCAACGATGTTTGTAAACAGTTACGGATTCCAGAAATCCTAAAGACATCGAAGCAATTACCTATTTTAACATTGCCATAAAAACGCGAGAAATAAAAACAAGCAATAACCATCAATACTCCGAAGTTGGACTTTGAATAGATTTGGCTGTCTACCAGCGTTTGCATTTTGGAGTTTTGCACATAGTAAAACAGTAAGATGATTGGTGAAATTTTGCACACACGTACATTGTATAACGATAAAATTATTATTTATTCATTCGTGTTATAACTTTCGAAGTGCAACATCACTGGGTGAAGTACACTGTACTGATACATATATAATAAAAAGTTAGCGACTTCAGCAACGTGCATGCCGAACAAAAACAATTTTAAATAAGAAATGCTCTACTTACGCACGAACTTCTTTCCGTAATTCGTTTACCGGTTCGACATTTTTTTAAAGTTACACATTTAATTTATGAAAGACTAAGCATAAGCAGAAAACGATAAAAGTTAATAGAATTTATTGTGAATCATCGGGACATGCATATTAAACTTTTTGATGCAGACAAATGTTACGGTGCAATTTTTTTCGTATAACGCGTAGGTGCCTCGATAAACATGTCGAATACTTTTTTGGTAGCAGCACGCTGTACTAATCAGTCATCCATCAATAATTAGCGGAGCTTTAATCCGATTCGGCAACACATAAGCTTATTGTAAGCAATACATTCCCAATGCACTAACTCCGCCAGGTTAACAGTAATGTTTACCATGCACCGTACCACTACGTGTATCAGTTTGCGCACTTGTTTGAGCGGCCGGACCTTATGTATGCCATGCTGCCGAAAATATTATTTACCGCATTACTAATGATTAGAGCATAAATCTTTCGCATGACCGAATAAGTACCAGACTGATAATGGCGTGGCTTTTCATCTTCAATGTTTGTCTCGAGTATGTAGAATGTTGTTACAGTCCTGCTTTGCAGCAGTTGACTGCGACCATTCCAGTCCAACAGATTTTTCTCGAAACGCTATATAAGAGACAGCGTGGTGTGCACGTTGTTTGTAACTTCCAAAGGTGTACCGTTGGCGAAACTACCTGTACTTGCTTCTTGTGCGCCCGAGTTGGTCCAAACTTCTTATCCCACCGGCACCATGCCGCTCTTTCAACTGAGCACCAACATCTCTAAATCTGATTTCCCAGAACATTTCCATGAGGACTTGACCCAGATGCTTGGGCAACTGCTGAAAAAGAACCCCGAAGTAAGCGTGTGAGGCAGCTTACCGGACGCCAGCTTCATCGGCACTTGCACTATTTCCTTAAATATGTATGACCTTTTCCTTTGCAGCATATTACGATATGCGTTAGCGCCGACCAGTTTCTAACGTGTGGCGGCACAGCCGAAGCTTGCGCTTTCGGCAATCTGGCGTCCGTTGGAAGCTTTTATGGAAAGAACAACGATGGCTATGTCAGAGCTGTGTTCGAATTTATAAAGGAAAAGTTGGGAATCGAGAGCAAACGGTGAGGAGAGATGCTATTCTTTTCTTATCGAGGCAACAAATTCAGGCCCTCTTCTTTAATCATTATTTTATACCCGGTTGTGCAGACGTTTACTCAACTTTAATTGGTCAAGATTATGAAGCTTCTGGCTAACGTGACCTTCTGTAGGTTTACCCTGTTTCTCAGCGATTATCCACCAAACGATGTGGGATTTAACGGCATGACAATTGATAGCTTCAGACGGTCTCTTCCCGCACCCGGTGGCTAACTGGTATCGTGGCCTTAGCCGCCTTTGCTGTTTGTAACATGTTGCTAAACATTGTCCTGTCGATGTGAGCATTGGCATGGTTCTATTACATTCCACATTTTACCTGCTTATACTGCGGTTTGCTGCTCCGACTTCAGACATAGTGGTTACTCTGTCAGGCACAAGCGATGGGGAAGCCGAATACCGAGGACAATAAGGAATGCGGCTTTTGAAGTACAGTAGTTCAATAGTTTATTCGTAGTAGTAATTATTGTTAAACGAGAGCCTTTCTGTGATTTGCTTTGCCTTTTGAACTTTGCTGTGCAAAGACACTTTGGCCAGTGTTTGTATCAAACACTAGAAAACTTGAAAAATAATTTCTATAGAAGCAGTGACAATAATTACTTGGTGTCGGTGCTTAGGCATTTCAGCTGGCTGTGTGTCCAGGACTATGGGTTATAATTATATGTGCAGAATGCTTCTTGCCGTTAGTTTCAAAAAGTTTTTAATTGCTCATCCGCGCAGTTGACGAGCGGCCTAGGAAAATTTTTGATTTTCGATTTGCGTACGTATACCACAAAAACGTGGACGCGAAACCGAAGCTGTTTTCTGTAATTCTCATCACAAGTAACACAAGCACCGCATAAAAAGCCGATTTTTTCATACACATTTACGGTAAGTATTTACATTCTACATGTGCGGTTCTACATTCTACATGTACGGTTCTACATTTATGGTTCCGCGTGGACATTATCGAAATCTGCAATGCCCCAATGTTCCGATTCTGCGCCGTCTCGATCTCTTACACTCTTACACTAGAAAGGTCATTGGTTTCTTAGGTAAAGCAAAAGCAAAAAGCAAAGCAAAATTAAAAAGCAAAAAAGTACTTTACTTAGGTAAAGCAAAAGAAATTTTTAGGAACGTAAAACATCACGCAGATCACTGCATTCAAACGTAGCCTTATGGTTAGCCAAACAGTCTAACACCCAGTTTTGGTGACAACTGATCACCATACAAATGTACTTCGAACTGGGAATTAAATTTTTAAGTGCACCAATTTGTACGTTGATGTTGAAAGACAAGAAAACAAAGGGGCACCTGCATCAGGAACAATCAAGATTCCATGGTCCGACGTGATGTATGGCACCCACAGTCTAATTCATTCGAAGGATGCTTTTCTGTTATTGAGAAAAAAGGTCAATAATATCTGCGGCCTCTCCACAGTCTGCAGATCTCTCTAAGCAAAACTTTTACAAAGACCTGACACCACAGTCAGTCAGGGTTTTCCAGTGAAAGTTTACCATTTGGTACTTGAACTCGTATTTGGGCGAATGTTGTATGTGCAGATTGTTGTAGAAACTGAGGTCCCATTGTACATTGCTTATCTTCTTGTGTTGGGTTTGGGTTAGGTTGGGTGGGGATATTTGCAACTTGAATGGGTGCGGTTCATTAAAACTCTTAAACTCGATATCTACAGTACATTTGGGTTTCTGGAATGTATATGCACGATTCGGGACGGGCTCACATCGTAAGTGGGTGGATTCCTGATCATTACTGTATTGTGCTCTTTGCGAAACTGAAAGAATAACTGCTGCGAGACCACGCCAGAGCCCGATCCATAAGTACCGTCCGTACTTGATTGAACTACAGTATAACGCTCGTTCGCTTATGATTTATCTTTCAGTGTCTCACCATTTTATGATACAAACGTTAACCCTGCAATGCTTTTTAAAGGGCACACTTGAGAGTAATAATAAGAAATCACAGAAGGGTTCAAGCAAAGCTTGCCCATAATTATTTATAAAATAATGTAGAAAGTCGCTTTTTATGCTGTTTTCGGTACTCAGTTTGCAGATCGCAGCCATAACAATAATCGCCATCCTTGGAGCCGGGAGCGAAGCAGCAATATCAGTATCCCGAATTCGATTTGCTGGTAATTCGCAACCGGCTACACAGAGTCCATATCAGAATTTAGAAAGGGACAGTAAGGTCACGAAAACAGTACGTAACTGTTAGGCAGAAAGACTCTGTCAGGGACCGTTTCCTGAAGCTATCGATCGTCATGCCGTGGAAACCCACTTCGTTTGCTGGATAATCGCTGAGAAACAAGGTAAACTTGTGAAAAAGTCGGGTTATACAGATATTCAACGAAAGAAACTAAGCCGGTGCTAGTAAACCGTATATTTCCCACTATAACGGACGAAATCGTTATTCGCAGCCGCGATTACTCTGTAAGTTAAACGTCTTTTCTTACCGGGAGTCGTCGATTCCTAGCGTCTCGAGTATGAATTCAGACAAAACTTTGACAAATCCTCGTTATCCTTCCCAACGACGTTTCCAATGGACGATAAGTTGCCAAACGCGCAGGCGTCCGTTGTGCCTCCGCTTGTAAGGAACTGATCGGTGTTGATGCATACCGAGATGTGCTGCAAAAGGTCACACTCTGAGCAAAGGTTCGAAGGATAAATTCTGTCTAGCAACTTGCTTACCTTGGGATTCTTTTTAACAGCTGCCCCGGCCCAGCATCGTTGTCAAGTCCTCGTGGAAATGATGAGGGAGATCAGATTCAGAAAGGTTGGTGCTCAGTTGAAAGAGGCATGATGTCGAATCGTCGACAGACGTTGAGTGCCGATGGAAAGACGTGGAATTTCCGAGGAACATTCACTTTCTGTTCCAAGAATTAATCGATTCGCAGAATGATCTGGTGGTACACGATTTCATTGCTTATGAAGCTTTTACGAACGATTTGGTGGACTCAGAAAGGGACAAACAAACTGCCGGGAGACACGAATCACATGACTGTCAGCACCCTACAATCGCCTTTAACCGGACAAACTTGGAAATCTTACTCTTGAAAGTCATCCCACTTATGGTTTAGTCTGTAATCGGCCGCGCTCATGATTTATGCAGGAAATTAACAGTAATGTAACCGAGCGGTTCTCTATTTAGAGCGGTTTTTACGAAACCCGAAAAACGTTCCGATCGTCGAAAACCACTGCATTGACCAGTGCACGAGATAGTGCCTAACATGCTCAACCTTTTGACCTGTAGAATTAGTGTAATTTTCCCGCATCAAATCTGTTACTAACGTGCATGAGCTCATAATCAGTTAATTATCGGTAAATGGTTGATTAACTCTCCTCCGATGGTATTCTCGATAGTTCTCGATCAAATTGCAGTATACCTGCTGCGAGGAAAAATCGTACCGTAAACGTTAACCGTTTGGCTAATTAAATAACATTTTGGATGGACTTCCTCCATCCCTTATTGCTTGTTTGTTTAACTGAAAGTGAAGGACTTTTATGTGATTATTATAAATTAGTCTCCCTTAATTTGTTTTGCAATAAATTATACCTACATATATATGGCTTGACTATGACCGTCTGCACCACAGCAGCATTACCACTTGACAGAAAACACTGGCTCTCATACGCACTCGTTCAACAACGAACTTGTTCTGTACAGCTTTTCTTAAAAGTTAAATGCATTAAAACAATGAATTACCTAACGATCGCATTTAAAAATTTGCATTGGCAGGCAAACTTGTACAGCATATACGAGTATTATCTGTATTGTTGCTGCAGCCTGCTGGTATACAATGTACTGGTGCGATATTCACAAACAGTTTTACATGCTGTAAACTTCTGCGAAATGTAGGAGTGATCAGTGGTGTGCAGTATGAGCGATACTATATCTTTTTAATGGTAAGCAGTCTAAAAAAATTTGCGCTAAGTATTCATGTAAAAGTTTCTTAGATGCGGCAACGTGTCGAAAACCGTTTGAGGTTAATAAGTAATCATCTGAAAGCAGCGAACCTTTCGACAACCCTGCATCGGCTTTGTTGAATTTGCTCCAGTCGGTCAAAACTCGCAGAAGTACTGTACATGTTTCTAAAAATTCTGTTAATTATATCAAGTTAATACGTCATTAGGAATTCATCAGATGGGTGTTAATTGTTATATCGTATAATATGTGATGTTTTACAGCAGTTAAGTTATGGTAATAAAGTTTATTTCAATTAATAAAAAAAACCATACGGAAGATCTTTATTATCTAGTCGCACTTGAAAAACAGCCCGTGCTTCGTTACTCAAGTCAGGCATAGCGAGACATAATTTATTGTGGGAGGAAGCGAAAGTTTGGCCGTCTTTGTACTTTAATTAGCAAGGTATGAATATTTATGATTCAAATTATCCTCGCAGCATATGTACATAAAATTTGGTCGCAGACCATCTCAGATAGCTGCGCTCAGCAATAATCAGTCATAAGTCCACAATACCGAGTTTTAATCCAACAAAACCCCATAGTTCATAATTTGCTTTTCGCACATTTGGTCAGTGCTTACTCGAAACAGCAACGATTACTGCAGTAATTAACCTTGTGCGCGGCCGATTGCACCCTAATAATGGCATCCTAATAATAGATTTTTAAGACCTTTCCGCAAGAATGACCTTCCAAGTTTGTCTTTTAATGGCACTTCTAGGGTACTGTCGGTTGTTTCTCGCGGCAGTTTGTCTGGGCACTTCCATTCCGAGAAAAACAGATTATTCGCAAAAGCTTTATAAGAGACCGAATATGTGTAGTACCACATAATTCGGCGAATCGATGAAAAACGTATACTTCTGGTTCTTGATAACTACAACTGTTGCAATCCGTGTGACCTTTGCTTCATCAAGCGCAAACCTTGTTAGAATTTGCTTTACGCCTTTCCTCCATCCATTTCATCATGCCGCTTTTTCAACTGAGCACCAACCTTTCCAGAGCTGATTTTCCCCAGCATTTTCACGAGGACTTGACACTTATTCTGGGGAAGCTGCTGAACAAGAATCCCAGGGTAAGCAAGTTGCCGAGTGAAATATTGCCCACAAACGTTTGCTCAGAGCTTGACCTTTCGCAGCATATCTTGGTATGCATCTGCACCGACCAGTTCCTGACGTGCGGAGGCACAACGGAAGCCTGCGCGTTCGGCAACCTGGCATCCATTGGAAATTTTGCTGGAAAAGACAACGATGCCTACGTCCAAGTTGTGTCCGAATTCATACATGAGAAACTAGGAATCCAGGACTCGCGGTAAGCAAAGATACCGTATTTTAATTAACGATAAATGACTTGATTGGGAAAGTGCGTTTTTAGTATGATTTAAAAGCTTAAGAGTTCTTTGACTGGAAATCAGATTTTTCTGGAAATCCGATCATTGAATTCGTGCATTTTCCCAGGTTTACACTGTTTCTCAGCGATTATCCATCGAACGAAGTGGGCTTCCACGGCATGACGATTGATAGCTTCAGGAGGAAGTCACAGACAGCACCTGCTGCCTGATTGGCTTCGTGACCTTTCTGCCTTCGCTGATTGTCGACAATGGACATAAGTGTTCTGTTATTTTGAGCATCTGGCAAATCTTGTCCGCATTTCTGTACTCCCGGCTTCCAGGCATTGCAAGTCTGCAACTGTGTAACTATTGTTTTGTGACCGAAATCTGTGATTCGTTTTTGGCTTTAAACTTGGTTGTTGAAAGAGCATTTTGTTGATGTTTGTATCAGACAGTACGACAGGATGTTCAAGCATTATAAGAGAAATCGTCCGGTACATGACACCAAATTTGGGGGTTTTTTTTGGTAGTAAGGGAACTTTCACGTTAATACAAAACACACAGTACGAACGTGCGCTACGCATTCTCGAATTGTGCTTACTACTTACAACGTACAACGGTGGTGACCCGATATATAAGTAGTGCGTGGTATTAATCTACCTCACGAAAGAACCATACTTTCGTTTTACCAAAAATAATAAAAGAAGCGTTTTACTGGGTTTAGTGGGTTACTGTTACAGCAAGTTTTAAAACAGATTTCGTACACCAGAACTGCGGGTGTTTGTTTGTCAAGAAAATTAATACACGGCATCCAGCAACACGAATAAACGCAATTTAACGATTGCAGTACTAGTATTCAGAAGTCGAGAGACTCGAGACACAACGGAAAGTTACATGTCACCTCCAAACCGATAATATACGGTAGAACTTGCTTGCTTGCTACGGCAAATACTCTTGGTCGGGTTTGGTTTTTAATTGACCAATTTTTGGTGCGCACAAACACGCAAAGACCACGCAGTTTCCACAGCAGCTGGCTACCCACAACTACAACATACGTCGTACTAGTCCAAATCCAAAACAACGTAACAAAATATTCGTGTGTAAGCAATAAAGGAAACAACAGCTAGATTCACAAAAACGCCTACAACCCGTAAAGGATTATTCCCCCAAAACGCAAGAATGCACCAAGGCCCCTCCGAAGAAAAAAACACAATAAAACCCCATCTGCACACACCGCGGGGGGAAAACAAAGAGCCACGGATACAACTTTGACAAAGGAACCTGTCTCACCGCAAACTGCTCACAAGGTGACGCACTACACACACGCCCAACAACACCCGCATCTTTCATTCGGAGAGGCTGACGGATTTCTCCATCTGTCCGTCCTCCGTCGGGGACGGTCCCGCCCGTTCACTGCGCTCACTAACGCAAGTGGCATATCCACCAAAATACCCGCCCTGCTCCGGCTTATCGCTCCAAATCCCGCTCAAATCCGTCGAACTAAGCACGCGCATTTTGCCGCCGGATTCTTTCCCGTCGTCACTGTTCACCGTCATCGGCATGGAGGGCGGCCGGCTCAGATGCTGACGCTGCAGATCGTCGCTCAGCTGCTCCACGAAACCTGTCTCCATCGGCTGCGGTGGGGGTGGTGCGACGAAGTGGGCGTTCATCGTCGGTGGCATGCCGTCCGGCGGCACCGGAAATACGCCTTGCTGTTCGAATGACGCCGGTTGCATTTGCGCTGCATACTGATTGTACGCGTGCAGCGACGCGTAATATTCATCCAACGGTGGCAATGTGACCGGCACTAAACAGAAACAATAGAACAAAATAAATAAAATAAGTGTCGCTAAACAAAATCTGTGAACCACAAGAAAAAAGGATAAAAAACTGTTTTTAAAATTCTGAAAAGCGGTGTACTCATTGTTTCAGCTTTTTACAATTAATTGTATTAAAATTATCGCAGCTGAAAATTAAAAATGTCGAATTTCCTGCGTTCAATGATCAACCAAAATTTCTGAATATGTTACTATTATTAATTTTGCAGTTCAACTTCTGCCAACAAAGCGTACGATAGTATCCCTGTCCGTTTCCAGTGGGCAAAAACGCGTGCACCACAATCGGAGAATTCGGTGACTGAATCATGACTGGCAGCGGAGAAACTGGGAACGCAATAGGTAGAGCCACTGGCCGCGATGGAATTGGTTCTTCCGTCTGTTCAACGTGGGCTGCAGTTTCCTGTACTCCGATCTGCCCACAAACAAAGCCTTACTGACAATTTTCAAGTCCATAAGATGTTCGCATCTACTCACGTTAGATGGAACAAATCGATTCTGGTAATTATTGCCATTCCAGTTCTGCCGCTTACGCGAATCGTACGTCGGTCTCGAAAAGCCCTGAAGAAAAACCATTGTTGCTATTTATTGAGTTTTAATTTAAAAAAGTTTCACACTACCGGAACGAATTCCTCAGCCAAAGGGTTCAAGCGAAATTCAAACGACGAATTTTTATCATTTGGGCCTAAAACACAAAATTTTCAAAATCAGTATCACTCATAATTTCTGTATGGAGAAGGACTAACCTGATTTATGGGCTGCCTTCGTACCGCCATTCTTAGCTTGCTCACGCCGATGCCAGACATTGGCACTCGTCCATGGATTCTCTCCTGGAGCCAAAACTGGCTTCGTCTCCTCCACTTTCTGCTCTTTGAGCTGAATATCGTTCTTTCTTGCGTCCTGCACCGCCTCACGAGATTCACAGTGATTTTTCTTCTCTCCGTTTTTTGGTTTAGCGTCTTCTTTGGGATTAACAATGGGCTGTGGCGCAGTTTTATCCACTCCCTTCGCACCATAATTAGCACGGCTCTTGGCTACCGCACGGTTCATCGGCTGATTCCGCGCGAAACGTGGCTGCTGCTGCGCGTAGCAATTGTCACAGCGATCGGGATCGTTTGATGGTACGCGCGACAGTGATGGCTCGTACTGATGATGCGATTTCTTCCCATCAGGGTAGCGCCGGTGCGGCGCATAGGATGGACGTCCATGTGACATGGACTGTTCCGGCTGATTTTTCTTATTCACGGGAGCAATCCTACAAATAAGATAATGTGACAGGACTCACAGGAGTAATAACGATCCGACAAATGCTCACCCAAAAACATGATCGAAAAAAACATACTGTATGATCGAAAATTGTACACGTAATACGGGAAAACATTATCCCGGGATATATTTTCCACACAAACCACTGAACAAATGTGCTAAGAATGAGTGGAATAACAAAGCTAAAATAAGTCACCGCTGGAAAAAGAATAGGGATATCTTGACGGTGAAATACAGTATGTAGTATGTACTGTACGCGTTCACTTACTTTTGCTCCTCCTGCTTCGGTAAATCATCCGAAAGATTCGAATCCTGTGTGTTAAGAGACGGGCTTGTCGAGTAAGACTCGCATTTCCCTTCATCCAGGACATTTTCAATACTGGCGGTTAATATACTATCCATTTCCGATACCAAGGACGCATCTTCCGCGTTATCTACAATTCCAAATCATAGGAAAAAATCTGAAGGCATGCGAAAAGATACTTTCTAAAGATGCCCAAAATCCCAACAAAGCCAAAACAGTTAAAGAAACTTCCATATTCATAACCTCTCCATATTCGAAAACTTTCTCATGCTGATGAAAGCATTTCCCATAAAAAGAATATGTGCAACAAATTTCAAATAATTTTTTGCTTGCTTAATTTTGTTACAGCTATGTAATAGTTTTACTGATTCCATTTACAAATTAAAAAAACTGAAAAAATAATATTCACCAGTAGACAAAAAATACTTTAATTGTTCAGAACAAATAGAAAAGTGAACAGTAATCATCAGAAAATATTTTCTCGCGGAAAATGTAACCAAAGTGCCTAACTTACCGGAAGGCGCGTGCACAGCACGCTCATCATCGCTGGCGCTGGGCACATAGGCTGATGCAAAAGTGTTGCGCACTTGCATATCCACAGTGTCTGCTTTCTTCAGACAGATATACTCATACGATTCCTTAACTAGCCCGCTCAGAGTGGACTTCTCGATTACGGCATCCCGTAGAACCACTTCGCCCTGGAAACATGGGAGGAAAATCAGTAAGTTTTTAACTTCAAATGCTACTATGTAGGAAAACAACGAACCGTCGCTGTAAAGGCACACATCAGCCCAACAATATGAAATCCATTGACAGTCCACGCTTCCGCTTCCATTCCCTGCAAATTCCGTTCGTAATGAATAATTAAAACTCAAAACAATTTTTTTTATTTTTTAAAAAAATTATTTGAAAAATTGTGACAGAACTGATAATTAAAACAAAGGCATAGCAACAGGTGATTTTTTAACTGAGAGAAAATCCGAAAAAAATAATTTCAGAAAATGCTTGAATTTCTGCTCTGGTTTCTTCGAAACTGTTCCATTTCAATAAAATATTTTTTTGGGGTGATATTTTAAAATTTTACGACAAAATCAGTATGAGAATCCACTCACCACACTGCAGGAAATGGCATGGGCAACGCGATCGTTCTGCAGGAAGCCGTCCTGACAAAAACAATATCTTCATTTTATCCGATCGCCTGAACAACAAATCAGTTATGTTTACCATCTGAGGCATCTCACTGCCGAAGGGAATCCCCAAATGAGGCCGCGACTCCTTATGATGCGCCTTGGCAGCATCCGCAGGGTTCCTGGAGTTCGTGCTGGCTTTACTGCAAGAAAAAGTTTCCTGTCGCACATTCCACGACCCGCAGCGGCAAGATGGATACCTTAACGTGAATTTTCGCGGATCATGCAGCTCCCCATCGGAGGTGCTGACACTCTCCGACCCCTCGGGAGCACCGAGGGAATGACCAGTTTCCAACCGGTCAGTCGCCTTCTTCGCGCCTTTGCCCATGGCCCCAGTTGCGTGCTTCTGGCTCAGAACACGAAGATTGACCATTTCTAAACCTCAGCCCGGGACAATGGGACTCAGTTCATGGCGTGCAAAACATACACAATCATAAAGACGAGAATTCGAACAGCGAAAGCAAAATAAATATGGAATGTCTGCACGCTTCCATTTGCACGATTTTCACTGTCTTCTCCTTACAGAGCCAAGTTTCGATGTGGGAAAATAGAGCACTGAGCGCTCACTGTGGGCTCGTCTGATGCAATGCTATTGCTCATCGGCTGTACCGGATAAATTAGGAGGTGCGCCTGAAAAACGTACCGAGAGACTGCTGGTTTCGCCGCGTTTGTGTGTGACTTCCGGTCAATTCTAAAATTCTGCTGTGTTCATTGTTCAGTACGGAAACATGATTCGCATTTTTCGAGACCGCATCTAATGCCATAAATAATAACATTTACTGACGTTAAATGGATCGACAGATTAAATTACGTATATTAAACCAACATTTTTGGAATACGCTTGTACAATTATTACGATTTTAGCGCACGAGAATACTTTTTAAATAAAAGTTAAACTGCAATTTTTTATTACAGTAAATGTTTGCATGTTCTTGTGCGTACTGTACTGCGTAGTAAAATGACGGTGTTGCCGGTGTGACAAGTGCACTCGTATGTTGTAAGCAGTGAATTATTTTGTGACCGTTTAATATATGCGGCCATGAAATGATTCATAACAAAAATAATATTCTTGTTCGCCGATGTGAAGCTGGAAGGTATTTTCAGATTTTCGCTTCGCCGTGATTGCGAGCAGCCTGCTAGCAGTTGCTGCTAAGTGCTAACTTGTTTTCAAAATACTACGGTAGCATATTCTAAAGGCTTGTACTTGTAGAGTGTAGTACCGCTTTTACACAGGCTTCCGGTTAAAAAGTGCATTAATACTGAAGCTAGGACTCCAAAAATGCGCTTTCTAGATTTATTTTAATTACTTCATGAAATTTAGAAACTTTCGTTAAGCCGACCATCTTATGCTCTTATTATCAGTGCAGGTAAACTGCTTCTACAAACGTGTTGTGCAGGTGTTTGATCTACTTTAATCGTTTATCCATCGTGCCAACTCATCCATCGTATGTACGGTATATAGATACATGACGTTAGCTGATAAGAGATTAAAAATTGTTTAAATGATTCTACATGTTATCATCAGAAGAACCGTCGCGTGAGCCGGTCATATAGCCTTCGATAGCACATTGTTCCTTATCAGTTAATTTGGAAAATGCGCACAAATTTACGACTTAATGCCATGTCCTAGAAATTCGTCACGATCGGGACGATATGGCCGACCAGAAGTTCCATGGTTCGACAGCCGGTAGGATAACGGATATGACTGACGGTCAACTGCATTCATCACTCTTCCGGGTTCATGATGACGACTTAGATTCGTTGTTGTATTTATTGTAAGTGCGAAAAATTTAGAAATGTAACTTAAACAAACAAGCGGCAGTCAGCAAGCAGACTTATGCATCTAGATCTTATACACTTTATAATATGTACTTACTTTCCCACCCTGCTGCTATCACTTTTTTAATTTCTGCATTAACGCAATCAGACACCGAAATAACTGGAAAACTGCTCAGGGCCGTATGTAAGTAAACGATTTCCATGAAAAAATTTTTTAATTTACGTTTATAGTCAGGCATGCTGATAAAAAATAAACAAGTGAAATTTTGCAAAAGCCAGCTTGCAATAGTATGATTTTGGCAAGCCGTTTGAACATTTTGCTGCCTTCCTGCGTGCCCCTGTCTCAGTCTGTCTGTCGCAGTCTGTCACTGCTCTCGTATGGGTATGCTGCTTTCTTTTTTTGTCTGCTTTCCTCTCTCTGTGAGTATGAACGCCGTACGCGGCCACTGTAATGACTGTACGTAGATCTTCGTCCCTGCTTTTCTCCCACGGATCGTGTTTCTGAACTCTGTAATTGTCATCCGCCGGATTACGATATCTAAAGGATAACTCTGCAGTCCAACCGTATTAACTGCAGAACGGAAGTTGCAGTGGATAATCATCAATCGCGTTAGCCTCTCCTCGGCATCGATTGCAGGCTTTGCAACTCTCAGCTGCTGTGCTGCAGGCGTATGTATCAGTATCGCTCAATTTAACCAGCAACGGCTGCGTTTTGTCCAGATTAACTATTTCCTTTCTATTCCCTTACGCAATCGCTAGCCTTTGCCATCCTTCTAAGAAGCACATGAGCGGCGCTCTTTGCAGCTATTAAAGTATCAATCTCATCCGCAGGGATAATCTGGCCATTGAGTCGCCCCTGGATGCATCCTCGACCATGGACTCCCGCGGCAGCCCCTACAACAACTACCAGTCCAGCCCCCTCCGTCCCCTGCCGTTCCCTGAGGCCAGTCGGGAAGTAGGCAGGGAAGGCGGCGGTGCTCCCTACTCGTCGGGTGTGACCATCCCCATGGGACACTATCCCGCCACCCGCGTCAGCCCCCTGGAAAAGTCCCCCGTGGACACCCCGGATGGTCGGGGCTCCATGAAGATTGTGATTCCGCATGGGCAGGTGCCCATTGCCAGCCCGGAGGATGAAGGGGATCATCATGTTATTATTACGCAGTCCAAAGAGGATCCGGAGTTTCGGGGGGTGCGTCCGGGTAGTGTGGTGCTGCCGGAGGAAGATACCCAGACACGCCATTTTATCAGTTGGAGGACTGTCATCGAGTTGTTGTCCATCCTTGCCGGTACGTGAGCTTTTTTCGGCAATTTTTGTTTTTTAAATTCAAAGTCTTAGGTTGTTTGTTAATTATTTCTTAATTAATTTATCATTAGGATGTGTAGGATTACCCATTTACCCTGGGGCCTGGTTGATATTTTATTTATTGTATTGCATTTGCAACTTTGCATGTCTTGACTTTAACTGCTGAGCGCTTTGTTTAAAATCATGGTACATAAGCTTTGTTTTAATTTTTTTCAAGTTCCCAGTTTAATTCTATGTTGCTCCGTTTCTGTCCGAAATTTAGCGAAAAGCCTGCATGATTTAGTGCGATAAATTTGGTTTATCTTAACAGACCTGTAACAAGCAGAAGTATACAACTGCGTTTTAATTTTGTTATGTACAACATAGTTTTGTTATGTTGCAGCTGTTATTAGGATTATGCATTCTGTAACTAATTTTAGTTTTGTTTTCCAGTATTTTTTCCGCTTTTAATGATAGTAGGTGTTTTGAATTTAGAGAAAAGAAATTTCGCAAAAATTATTTAAAATTATTAAACATGACTTGCTGGAAGCGGACTGCGTATGCATTTGCCAGGGTAATATCATTTTTACGTTTTACTGCTTTACTCTCGGTTTCCATAAAACTGTTTACGTCCGGTGATGACTGCAAGAGTTTGATGTTTTGTAACTATTTCGAATTATGTTCTGTGTATTGTTGTTTGCAGGATTTGCTTATTTACATGCCTCGTAAGCTCGTATTATTGTTTTACTCGTACGATGTGGTGTATTTGCGCTGTCGAACGTGATGCGTATCAGCATGTTGTGCATGACTTGTGTAATCTGATTTGCAATTTGCATTTTATTTTGCAGCCATGATTCCAATGGTTGTCGCACCACATTTGGGGGCATACGAACGCGGCCTATATTGCAACGATCCGGATATTAGGTACGTTTGGTCTGACAACTTCCCCATCGATTGGTCGGTAGACTCGGTAGTAAGCGCTTTCGGGATTGCTTTTGATGCCGTTTGTCGCTACGTTTAGCAAGTTCTCCTTGAATTACTTGAATAAAACTCAATGGAATAATTTATCAGCTGGTTGCTTGACAGCCGATTGGAATTTTTTCGCTGACGGCATGGCATGCCCAGGGGTTTTGTTTATGTCGATGGGCAAGACTGTTTGACAGCGTGACGAAAATTGTCGTGTACTGGTAGCAGCCGTATGCCGACAAAAGCGGGCAGATTGTTACTAAATCTTTTATAGCCGTGTTGATTTTATTAATCATGAAGTATACGAGTTACCGAAAAACGATTGTATTTTGTCTTTTTGGTTGTTTAGTTAACTCTCGTCTAATTTATTCTGTTATTTTCTGTTCTTTACGAGTAGACATTGCAGTATCGGATTTGCAAAAAATAAAAAAATTGTTACGATTATTCTCAGTAAGATGATTAATTCAAGTTGGAACTGAAAGTGGAAGCATTCATTCAGTTCGCGGATTAGGTTTTTAGACGCTCTTTACAAGTTTACAGTATTCGAGAAAAAGTCTGATAGATCGGAATGACGAGTATGTGGTTGATATGACTCAATGCTCATATCAATCATATACACAACATTCCGATTCTTTTTTATTGTATGCTGCAGTGATGTTAAATTTATTTACAACAATTCTGCTCCGCAGGTATCCATTTCGGGAAGGAACGGTTAAGCCCTGGTTACTGTATCTCATCTGTCTGCTGCTTCCGTTCGTCGTGGTATGCACCAGATTTACAGTTCGTAACTCTACCTGGGCGTATGCTCATTTCTCATGGTTATTGTTTATCGTTGTTGACTTTTGCATAATATATATTGCACGCAAGTGGCAAGCATGCATAACTGCCATAACAGACGTAGGAGGCGTGCGAAGGCTTTGGCAGTTTGGCAAAACGACAACTTTAAAAACTGCTAATAATATTTGCTACTTTCATTAACATTATGATAAAAATATTTTAAATTTTTCGATTAGTCGGTTTTTGATGTTCTTGTCCGAAAAGTCTTTGTGAATGAGTTGGTATAATGCCATAATTTTGACTATTGCAATAATGCGCAGTAACGCGGCTGGTACTCCTGGCATTGTCGGATGCTGCATTGATGAGATATTTTTCGTTTTCAGAAGTTAATTAATGTGAAGTTGTAATGGTTGTAATGGTGTTAAATAATGGTAATGGTGTTAATGGCTTTTAAAGTTGTAATGGTGTTAAATTTTACCCCTTTTCACTTGCACTGATAATTGAATCTTTATATTTTTTAGGTAGTGATCGGCGAAATGTGCCATTTCTATGTATCAAAGACAGGCTACGCTCAAATGGAGGTGAAGTATCGATTATGGCGCAAAGGGCCGCGCGTCCCGCCGGTCCTCATCAGCATAACCCGCATCATTGTCCTCTTTGCATACGGCTTCCTCATTACGAAAAGTGTCACGGACATTTGCAAATATGCCGTCGGTCGTCTACGACCCCATTTCTGGGACGTCTGCAATCCCGACCTGGATTTGATTAGACAGGATCTTGGGGGCGCCAGCTGTGAGAACCATTACATTATCAATCCACACTGCCGCAATGCTCTGAGTACCGATCACAAAGTGCAGTATCGTATCCGGGATATGCGGTTGTCGTTCCTTTCGGGACATGCTGCCATGGCGTTTTTCAGGTACTGGCTAAAGTACAATACATAACCCTTCATGTAGCTTATCAAATTCGATGGTTCTTTTCGATGTATTTTACTAGCCCGAAATATGGGGCTAGGAATTTATTTGGCAAAACAGGACCTTTCACGAAACTTTTCATGCAGTTTTTTGTAATGCTTTTAGTCAGAAACTGTTAACCGCTGCTTTGTACTGTAAACTAATTGGTTCAGCTCTCGTTTTTCGGCAGCATGTTCTTCTTGATCTTCTACTTGGAATCCCGGCTGCGTTGGATGAATCTGCGTTACTGCAAAGCCATCATGCAGTTTGGTCTGTTCTTGATGGCTGCGCTGTGTGGAATGAGCAGGATATCTGACCACAAGGTACTGAACCTTCAGAAAAACGCGAAAATATTGATTGTTCTGATTCGCCAATTAATTTTCCGTTTTGTCTTACAGCATCATTGGACGGGTGAGTTGTAAAAGGCAGGATCAAAGATCGTGGCAGAGTTGATGATTTGTTTATGGAAATCTAATGACTTAGTCTTTTGTAGACGTGTTTGCCGGGACATTACTGGGGTTGGTTGTGTGCGTGATAACAGTATTTTTCGTGGGGGGATACTTCAATGACAGTCATTATCTGCGATACAAAGTGGTCAACATGCTGAACAAGATCGACTGGGGACATCGGGAGGGTGCGCAGTACGCCGGTCTGCTCAGTGAAACCAACGGGATGGACCCGCGGGCGCTGCGTCAAATGAAGCACTTCACGAGACATGATTTCCCGAAACCTACGAAAATAGCCTGAATAATAATTCGTACGGCCATTTCGGTTCGCATGGACTTTCTCATATGGATTTTGCATGTTCCTTTCATTGAATATTGGATAGGAGTTTAAGCATTTTTATCGAGAAAGGGGACTGTGGTGGAACTTCGTATTTCGACGCTAACATTTGTAATTATCTCATAAACCGGGAAGAGGGTTTGTTTTCTTGAGGTATTTCTTTGTGCGATGTTAATTTTGCAAGTGCGGTCGGTGTCCGTGTTTTCGGGCATGTACAGATGTGTACTGCTCGAATATTTTATAATATTACCTGTACAGTGGCTGTACTGTACTTTTTTGTTGTTTTATGTGGTTTTTATGCAGACAACTATCAATTCTTCTCAGTATCTAACAACGTTTATAATTTTTGGTACCTTATTTCTTTTTAATCTCCTTGCAACGAATTGTGCAAGACAGTGTTTATCTGTACGAGTACCGACTGTACGTGAAACTGTGTTGCCTGTTATCAAAATCGGTATTTTGGATATTAAAGCTTGCGTGGTGCCGTGACGCCGTCAAGTGTTAGTAGATTAAATTTCTAATGCTTTCATGTTGGTAATTTGTTGTGGTAATTTGTTTCATAAATACTTATGCAGTGTAGTCCTTAATAGTCATCTAAACACGTAATAAAAATGCTTTTTATAATGTACCGTTAGTGAATAGTCAGGTGTTAGTAAAGTACAGATACTTATTTTAGGTATTCAAGAATTTTTCAATCAATAGTGAATAGTGCAGTGCTTTCAGTTTAAAAAAAACACGATTTGCAGAAGTTTTGTTGTCATCCCGACTGTGTATTATATTATGCATTTTTACGTCCCGTTGTTGTGTTTCTAGGTGAATGCATGACAATAACAAACAATGCTGTGTGAAAATCCATCGACATTTTACACATTACAATAATTTTTCCCAATAAAGTTTTGCTTCAACCGTCGAACGTATTTCGAGTGGAAATACCACAAGTTTGAACGATGTGAAACAGATTTTCGATACCTGAAAATTGCCTTGCTATCGTGAATTTCTACTGCAGAAAATTTATTTGCCCTTTTTTAAAATATTTTAATTCGATTTAGTACAGTAACTGTTTTGCCAATGGAAAATACAGACACAAAATTTGCTCGAGATCTGTTGATATCAAGGACATCTGGCGATGCTCTGATTCCACCCAGCGAGCAACTATTCTTAAATATTCCGGATTTCTCGTTACCCCAGGCACACCCAGGCCCAGTAACATTACTCACAACTGCCGATGGGTTTCCGCTTCCTGTCGACCCAGTGGAAGTCATTGTTACTCCAGTGACACCTGGTAAATTGGATGGCGATCGACTACCACTCCAACCCATCGACAAAGTGAAGGTCGCGGAAACATCCCTGACCACTATGCCACCTGAAGAATTCAGTGAACAACTCCGAGTTCGGGATGTATTTTCATTGAAGACCGTTCTGGAATCTGTAGCTCTTCTCATAGGTACTATAAAAATTATGAAGGATGTAGTCCCCTTGATATGTGACACTTTAGTCACCTTGCCGTTATCGTGAGTTGAGATGGTGTATTTAACGTACTTAATACTTATCCTGTACCACAGTAAACATGAAACTTTTGGGCCTTCGTTTAGCAATTCTGCCTGTCTTCTTTGCACCCTGCCTTCTGCATTTTCGAGGATTTTATTGTGATTGTCCAACTTTCCGGCCGTTTGAAATGATGAAAAAATGCACATGCCATAACCCGGACATTTCGTAAGTTGATCAAAATGATGACCTTTACATTGATTTTCCATGTGTTCCTGCTATATCTAAGCACCTCCAACACAGTTTTAGATCCGTAAAAGTCCCGCAGAACTGTTAATAGTTATCAATAACGTGGTGATTGATGTTTTACATTTCAGATATCCTTACACTGAAAGCTCTGTTGACTTGTGGTTGCTGTACCTGTTATGTCTTCTGATTCCTGCGGTTACGGTAAAACGAAAGCTGCATTGTGTACAATCGTGGTAAATGATTCCTGACTTATTCCGTTTAATTTTTAGATACTGCTAGGAGAATACTGTCATTTCTATGTATCGCGTAACAATTACGGTGCGATGGAAATCAAATATCGTCTCCTGAAGGACAGACCCGCCATTCCTCCAATGGGCGTCAGTTTAATCCGCATTGCTCTGCTGTTCGTATTCGGGTTCTTTGTCACGAAGAGCCTGACAGATGTGGCCAAATACTCCATGGGCTTTTTGCGGCCACATTTTCTGGAGGTTTGCCAGCCGGATTTCGGGCGCATCTACATGGACGGCGGATGTGATCGGTACGTGACGGAACCGCATTGTTGGGCCGACTCGGAAGTGGACTCACTCCGGGTGCAGCAAAAGTACCGGGACTCGCGGCTGGGCTTCATTTCAGCACACGCTAGCCTGTCATTTTACTGGTACGTTGTGATAAATACGTATATGACATTTACAGAAAAAACGTTATTTTTTGTTACGACGATAATTTTGGTGAATTTTTCAGTATGCTGTTTATGGTTTTCTACGCGGAATCACGATTTCGTTGGATGCGGCTGCGGTTCTTGAAGGCCATCGCCCAGTTCACCCTGCTGACACTGGCGATCATAATCAGCATCAGTCGCATCACAGATAACATGGTTCGTATTTTCTCGCTTCCTTTCACGGCCTAATTAATTATTTACACAACTCTCGTATTTTACTTATTCATGCTGATTATTTTGTTTTCTTTTTAGCACCATTGGCCAGGTATATAACGAGATGGCATTTCAGTTATGCACGACAAAACAAATGTGCTGTGCAATTTTGACCTTTTGTTTTTCAGCTGTACTTATGGGTGGTCTGCTTGGTAAGTACCCAGTATTAATTTAACGATAAATTAGCTTTATGACGTACGTGTATATTTTATAAACCGGTGGCTATCAATGATAGTATCGTACGTATCGTTGTATTTGTCGAGCTCTTCTTCAGGAGCCGGTGTGTGCTATATGACCGTTTTCATGATTGGCGACTTTTTCAACGATCGCTACTTCGTCCGCCGCAAGCTGGCTGATGTGCTGCAGAAAATAGATTGGGATAGCGATGGAACCGGCGGCATCCTGTCGCAACTCTTCAGTAATCGGGGCCACCGTCTATTACGCAAATTACGACACACAACCAAGAAGTCGGCTAACCGACATGTCTTGTAAAACCGAAATTAAATTTGTACGTAATGATGCGATTCACGCGGTGACGCGAACACCCAAAATCACACAAAATTTGCAATTTATTACAGGCGGCCGATGGCCGCAACCGTGCAAATGCTGCCGGTGTAAATAATCTGACACTTGTAAAAAAACATCATTAATGTACGAGACATATGGACATGATTAAAAGCTGTTAGAAGAAATCCTCTAGCGACTGCTCGTGACTGACTGGCTAACGGTCATTCATCAAGATTAGCATTCTTCTCTCTTGTGCATGCACAGATGGCATACGTTAACAAAGTGGTAATTACTTTTGGAAATGCTGCCCCGCCGGATCAAAGATCAATCAGTAGCTCAGAGCAGAGGGTGCTTGGTGTCTTATTATTAATCTGCGGTTTCACTTGCCGTAATGCAGCTAACCTTTCCACCTTTGCCTTGCTGTCGTGTTGCAGTGGTTATTTGACAACGGTCTAACGAAAGCCGTTGGAGTGTGAGTGCCTAGCCCGAGCAGCCTGTTTTAATTTGATAAACACCTAAAAAGTCATTGTGATTTTTATGTCTTCATTCCCGCACCTTGATATTACGCAACCACTTCCGACGGTGTATTGGATTAAATTGTCACCTCGCCGCCGGTGAAGGCGCTTGAACGTAAACCATCGAGCGCTCTTGACTTGCAATCCGGATCTGCGTAGATCGCAGGTTCAAGTGTTTATTTTTGCGACCGTTACGTGTTAATACGGTGCGTTGGTGTTTCTACGACAGGTGCGTAGTAATTTCACTACTTATTTGAATGGGATGCAGCCTTAACGAAAATTAAGGTTTTGTAAAGATATATTCAAAACAATCAAATAAGTTTTATGATTCTGATTTTGCCCATACTAAGTTGTGAAATAAATGATATAAAGCCATTGCATTTAACGAAGCACTCATCACACAAAAATTTACTAATGATTTTCCTGTTGTTTGTAACAAACGTCACTCCACCTGAACATGGACCGAATAAAGCCGACTGATGCAACTTTTTAATGCAGTTAACTGTTCAGCAGTCATACTTGCCTACATTCGCCAGATGCCAGTGTGTTACTATGTTTACAATTTTACTTGAAACATTTTTTTAAACAAGGGTAATAATTGTAAATTAAGTTTTGTGATTTGTGATTCGTTTTTGTGATTTGTAGTGACTACTGTAAAACTGTAATCCTCAACTACGTCGGTACAAAGTTAGCATTTAAAGTTCATACACAAAGTACACATCACCGGATAGCCCTGCTGCTGCTTGTCTGAACTTTGGAGAACAGCGTTCGCATTAATTTACGTTGTATTTTTTGTTGATTGTTGTTTTCTAATGTACATTAGCCATTTTTTCGCCAAACATGCAAACTACTACGCAAATACGTGCAAGCGCGATTGCAGCTGTAATAATTAACGTTATTTTTAATCAGATGCGTAAGAGCCGGGAAGCGCCTGCGCAGCAAATATGTACAGATACTTAATGTTGTGGTTCGCTTGTCAAAAACAATCACTTCGCGACCTCAGTTGCGCTTAAAACTGCCAGCGCGTAAACCCTTATCAGATGGTTCGACAAATTTAATTACGATAGATTACCAACGGTTCCGCTTGAACAGCAGGAAGACAAGCGGTTGCTAGACCGTGTTCGGCGCAGCGCAAATGGCAGCTGCGGAAAATTGAGTTGATATTCAGAAATAGCCCCAACGTCAGCCCATTATACTACCGAACACAGTTATTTTTTCTGGGTCCGATCGAGTGTGACGTAGCACGTCCACAAATGGTTGATACATGTTGTGCGTTTATTTCATTTCCTGTCTTGGTAAAGAAACGCTCCTGTCGGCCGCATGAAAGACAACCGCTCCCATTTGAACAGCGAAGTGGCGAGCTTCGGTATTGTACGAGCGCGGTTTCTTTGCTACACTCACTTCCGGTGGTGACGTATCCGGGGTGCAGTTCCATTGTCGAATGGTATGGCTGGCATTGGAACTCCATGCGGCTGCATGAACGACTGCGTGTCACAGTTTAGTGGCAATGGAAATGCCATTCAATCGATTGGAAATTTAAGCCATGCAGTCGCTACCCGTGCTGTCGTCTGCGCAGTGTAAATAGAGTGAGGAGCAAACTTTCTTTTCGTCGCTCAACTTTTCTTCGCGATCATTTTTCTCTGTATTCTGCGTTGTATTCGATCTTCATTTGACTCGTGATGGTGATGATTTATTTTCGGTTAATCCGTCCCCATCAGCGTCGTCGCGGGAAGAATGCATAATATTATTTTGGGAACCAGATTCGTTCCGTAGAGAGTGGCCTGCTTGTGTGTCCGCAACAAGTCTGCTCAGCTTCGCCTGTCGCAGCATACCACACCACACAACACATTCTTGCCTTTATGCACAGGCTTATCGATGGTTTATTTTCCTCCGATCCTCTTTGACTGCGGAAACATCATCAGAAAAGTCCTTGGATGATGTTTTTAACGATCGCCGCCGTACACGCTTCCGCATCGCGTCGCTGGTTCGCCAAGACTGTGGATATTTTCCTAATATCGGGAAAAACGCTGACGCGGTGAAAACTTGGATTACCATCCGTTTCTGATAAACAGCGTTTTATCACCAATAAATTGGCAGTGCTGCAGGATGGTTTTTATATGACGGAAAATTAGTTGGGGTGGAATATGATGCGCCAGTCAACGGAGACATAAATTATTCTTCCAACGATAACGATGTTTGCTGCGCTGATTGCACCGTGAGCTGTGGTTTTAGAAACTCCCTCTCTCTCTCTCGAGTTTTAACGACCAGCCTCTTATCTGATGCACCAGCGCGACACAGAGCGAAGAACGAGAAGATGTTGAATGTTTTATAAGGAGAGCGACTGCGCTGTTTGACTTTTGAGTGATAAATTGGCATCTTGTGCGAGCGTGCCAGATTCCATATCCGATTTTTTTACCGTGCCTTCTGCCATCCTGACGACATGCGGCTAGCCTAGTTTGCCTATTTGGGCGTGCTGGAAAAATGGCCGTCTTCTCGAGGATGGGTCTGAACATGTCGCAACCGGAGCAACCGTCGGGAGAAGTCAAATTCTGCGTGTTTGGTTTGATGCGTAAGTTCGAAGGCTTTTATGAGAATTTTATGATTTTACCGGTTATGAAATCGAGATATTTACGCCTGAGGGGATTTTGCATATCTCGCTTTCAACGCGCGCCGGACAGATGCAGATTACACGTTCAGGTGCTGCTCCTGCTTATCAGGCCGTAAAATTCTTTAATTCCGTAAACCGGTTTGTATGCAAAAGGGAGAGATCGATCTCGTGTTGAGATTAAAAGTGATTTCATTATGGGCGTAGGTCGAGAGAGTTGTCTTGCTAGCACTTATGTTGTAATTTGGGATTAGCGCTGGTGAAATGTGCGCCGAATAATCACGTTATGACCGTGTACAAATCTTACTGTCTAATCTTTGGATTGGCAATCAAGTTCAGCCCCAGCATGACTCGTTCTGGGGATGAATTTATCGATTTACTCATTTCCCAGAAGTAGAAAAAAATCTAGCACTGTTCCTCCGGCGAAATTTCCCATTGCTGTTGTACTCCAGTGTTTACTCTGTGTGAACGTGATATATTTCCCGTGTGGGCAAATGACATTCGTTTGCCGCGGAAGAAATATCGCAACGACAAGTTTGCAGTGTTTATTTTCTTGACGGTTTTGTTAAAAAATATATTGCCGCCATTATTTTCCACTCGAAGGCTGCGATAATTATGTTTAATTCGAGCCTGGGAACGCTCGTTGCGAATCCAGGTTACGACTGCTTACATAACATGGATATGACTTCCGGTTAAACATTGCGTGCTGCTCACAGTATCATGCGATGCGGCAATATTGCTGTAGCGATTGTAACCATTAGCTGTTCGTGTTCTTTAGTATTTCCCTTTTGTCGTTTGCAGTTTCCACCGACTCTCCCAAGCTCCTACTGCTCTCCGTGACCTGCGGTGTCCTCTCGGTGACCCTCCTGAGCACGGCATCGCGGGCGTTGTTAGCCGCCCTGTGGCGACGCTCCCGGCAGTGGCTGATTAAGTTCCTGACCAACGGCGACGCCGACGTCGCGCTCCCCATGGGCAACGTTAACGCCGTCGTCCCGACGGTGTCCGGTGTCCGTCTGGACACCAACCAGGCCACCAATACGGACCTGTGGGCCTCCTATGAAATCATTGATCTCCCGCGCATTCGTCCGCGGATGTGCGATGCGCAGACCTCCCCGCTACATGCCGGTTCGTTGGCCCGCGTGGTGGCCACGGAGGACCGGGCCTGCTCACCGTGTCCGATGTACGGGGCCGCCTCCGAGGAGGAGGACTTGCTGGTGTTTGAAGCGGAGGTGGATCGTGAGATACGCGAGGGTGAAGAGAGTCTCGTTAATTTTGATGAGAATCCCGAGCGTGATGAACTGCATGATCGACTGATGTCGCTTGAAAAGGCCTTACAGGTTGGTTATGTAATACTTTTACCGGCGTGCTTAGCTTAATGGCTTTAATACCGCTTCCAGTATAAAACTTCAAACTACAATTGAATTTAATGGTGTTTACAATACGTTTACCGCTTCCGAATATAAAACTTCGAACCACGAATCGCTGTAGTATGTAGAGATCTGCTTATGTATAGTATCTTCTGCTTTTTTAAAAATAATTTTTACATTTTGATGCAAGATTGTCAGCATTTCCGTTGCAGCAGACGTTTTAATCTTTTCGTTATCTTTTGGAAATATTTTATTCGGCTGCTTCGTTTCGTTGTCTGGTTTTTCAGTATCGCGGCGCATTTCGGTATACTAAGTTTTTATGCTGCTTTCATGATTCGAACGTCGTAAACACAGATTTAATGGCGATTTGATCGTTGCGAGACGTCGTAACATGCGGCGATAATGAGTTTCCGCTCGTCTGGAATGTTTTCGGAGTGTTGTTGTTAGCAGCGACCTTGGCATAACATTGACCCCGATGGGTGCCTTGCGTGTGGTTTTTCATTTGGGGGGAAATTTATACCAGACACAGCGGTTCGTTTTCCGGCTAAGCTATCCATAAACCGCTGAGCACTTCAGGGGATTGATGGATAGCTGCTCGAGTATTTGCATGTCCGAAAGTGAAATCAGCTTGTATTTGCTTGGTAGGGGTTTGGAATTTACGTTGCGTAAGCAGAAAACACCGATTTGTATATTTTCCTCTTGAAATAACCGCAATCGCGCTACGGGTCGTTAGCGAATTGTTTCACTGCAAAATCCACTTCAACCAAGTATTATTGCTGTTTATTCGGTTGCTTCTTCGGAATTTTCTCATTATGTAATATTAATTAATCCTGAGGAAAACAGAAAGGAAATATTTACGCGCAGCGCTTAAATAATTTTATTATTGATTGATATTGTCATAAAATTTGTATCGTCTGCGCCGCTGCAGAGATGAGCGCTATAGCTAATTATATTTTCTCGCTTTCGTGAGTCGGAAAAGTGCAATCAACGCACAAGGGCTTTCCTCCGCTTTCGCGTTAAATTAATCAATAAATTGATCGGCACAAGCTTTTCACATTACGTATACATCTCGCAGAAAGTAATCCAGGCGGCAACAGTCTGCTTTTGTGGCCAACGCTGCAGTAGTGTCGATATCTGTTCTTATTCCCAGCGCCGCTGTTTACTTTGATCAACAATACCCCCGTCTGCTTAATAGCGCTTACATAATGGCTTCGACCTCCTTTTGTTTTGTAGGAGACCCACCGCGAAATGGGCCAGCACATGTCCTCCCTCTCCGAGCTGTCGCAGCGCCACTTTTGCTCAGCCAACAACCCGCCTTCCCAGCCGGTGTCTTCCGCGTACCAATTCCCACCGACCAGCTACCAGATCCACGCCTGTCATCTCCATCCGCTCCTGACATCCTCCGCCGATCCGGCCAACGGCCTCGTCTGGGAGGATGAATTCACCCCGGAGCGCCCGGCATCCGGGACACTGCACCCCGATCTACAGGATCTGGAGTTGTGGCAGTCGGATCTGCGATTCTTCTCGGGTCTCTCCGGACACTGCGGGATAGAATCGGCCGAGACGTCACTGCTCAGCGAGACGTCGTTGACCGCCTCCCCCACGGCGGCGGGGAAGACGCCGCGGGATAGCGGGGTGATGGAGTTGTGGGATGTGGAGAGTGAGGAGGAGCGGAAAGAGAATGTGACGAGTGAGGAGAGCAGTGTGTGTGTGCGGTGTGCGGGGCGCATGGAGAAGCAGCGGCCGGTGTCAGCGCCGACCCACGGTGATGCGGGGGTGGTGTCTTCCGGGGTGAGGTGTCTCAGTAGTGGGTGTAGTCCGCTGCATCAGCCGGCAACGGATCGGGTGCCCAAGCGGAAGGTGGGGAAGAAGTAATGTTGTTTTGCGGGTGTTTGTATTGGTGTTTGTGCATTATCCTCGGTTTGTTATCAGGTTATTTGTACAATTAGTTGAATTAAGTTTATTGTTAGATTGTCCAGTGAGTGCGTTGATTATTGAGAGGCAGCTATATTTTTATCCGAGATTTATAAGGGTTGGTGTTGGTTGCGTTGATGCCTGTTAAATACTTCTGAAATTCTGATGCACTGGATGAAATATTGTGTAATTAATAAACCATGCATGTTTCAGTGGAAATTATTAATAAAAAGGTCAGATCACGTATAGGCTTTATATTGTCCGTATACAATAATTTATTGGAAGTCGGAATTGCGAGCTGATTCACGAATACGCCGCAAAATACACTACCGCCGGGACTAACAAGGATATGAAGCCGCCATGAAGGATGGATGCTGGATTGCATAAATCGCTGTTGCAACAGAATCTACTAAAGGTTCCAGGAAGTCCAATAAATACTAGAGGAACACCGGTATCAAGGCACCCAGCGGTCACCTTCTGGGCTCTCGTCCCGCACTCACGATATACCGATTTAGTTCCAGCTGCAGCGTCTGTAATAACAGAAAACTTTTTTGAAACACAGAGACATGCATTCAACTTGGCAGCAAGAAAAATTAATATTGTTTATACTCTGCTTTTACTGAAAATTTAAGTATACTAGACAATTACATATACATTTCTAGATATTCTTACAATACGTTCTAGAACTGTACAGCTGCAGGCAAGTACCTGTAGCCGTCACTAGCCATTTCGCAATACGGTAAAAATAGTCTTGAATAATTTCTACATTATTTGACCTAGTGTCCATCGCCGCGTGCTCAAAATTAGATAAGTTAATCAATATAAAACTAAAACTTTACTCACTGTCGAGCGTTGATGTACCACATAACTGACAATCAGGTTTTATTATACATTGAGACAGGTCTTTGGATTCACAAAATCCGTCATAACACTGAATTGTTCCTGCACCTGCGCACAAAACTGAAAAAGGTCACAGATGGAAGTATAAAACTGAGGATCTAATTTATATTAGCATGCCATAATAGTTTTGCTAAATGGTTAAATTAAACTACGGACTTCAGGAAGATTCGATGGTTTTTGCGGATCGTAAAGCAAAGCGCAAACTAAAAGGTCAACGGCTGTATATATTTCTGCATAAAATGCACAAAATGTTTTATGTACATTGTTTTTGGAAGACACTCAGTAATGTCACTGATAAAATAAGAAATTTGCCAAACATAACAGTTGTTTTTAGTACGACTGAACACAAATTTCTCTGAAGCTTTGGATAATTTCTTAATTCCAATAAACAACACAATCAATACAGGAAACTACTATTGACGAAAAATGGTCTGTGTAAGGAATATGAGGAATAAACAAACGGTCTGTGTGAGGAAAACGAGCTCAATTGAATTCTCAATGCGGACTGTGATCAATTAATATCAGACATTCAGGTATTGCTAAATACTCTGTATTTTTATTAATGTTTTAATGAGTACTTGCGTAAATCTCTGGATTTGAAACCAGTGACTACTTACGCAGTGTGCGTAAGCAGTTTGGTAGCGTGCTGTTCCCAAGGGATGGATGGGCACGCGGCACTCAGTTCTTATCTATGACAGTACTGTACGTACTGTAGTAACTAAGTTAACCAATAAATACAGTACTGCTGTAGTATCTCTTACGTTAATAGTAACATACATTGGACAAACTACAAAAGTTACTACAGTATAACTTCTATTTTACATTTAACTGTACATGCTTCTTTTTACTTCGTACAGCGAACATTCCACGCGTTCCTACGAAATTTATACAGCGTCAACACATTGACATTTACCCGTATATTAACGGGAAAGCAGTACACACTCGTGTAAACAGTGAACAGAAAATGTGAACTGCGTACATACAGATATACACAATCATATACTGCAATACGCAATCATATAATACTGTAACTTTTTTGACATTAAATAAAACAGCAATAAAACTCACTCAATAATAAACAGCAATATTAATAATTAATTTTGCTAAAAATGGGTTTATCTGAAGATACACTAGACCGCGGTTGCAGGGTACTGTAACGCCGTCAGTCCAGCGCAGGGGAGTGTATTCCCGTGACCGATTTTTGGAGGATAATCTGTACTCATGGCGAATATAGTCGGAGTACGATGTTGCAACCCTAGAATTATTTTTTAAGCAGTTCGGCAGCGCCCAAGGCTCTGTAAAGGTTCTGAAACCCCGCTGCGGGTATCTGCGTAAACAAGGCATCAGCCAGCAGACGGTTCGCGGGTATGGATGTGCCAGTGCTGTCCAGCACTGAGCTGGTATCAGCCAATGAAATCGAAGAAATGGAACTCCCGACGGTTGCAGTTATTAGCTGGACAGACTCCATGTTGCAAAGGGACAAAAGTGACTTCTTGTGTAAAGTACCTGCTTGGTTTGCCAAAGCTACAGTAGGTCATTAATTTGCTAATCAAAAGGTCATCAAAATTTTAGATGGATATCGATTACCAACATGACAAATTCAACTGGACTGGTGTCGAACAACGCTACGATTTCATGTTTTTCCAAAAAGCAGCACAACTTCTTTTGGACCAATTCCCTGGTAATCTATAGCTCCTACATACATTACATTGGCAACTTTAAAATCAATTGAGTCTAGTTCGATGATAACAGAAACGCTGTCAGAAATTACAGTATCGCTATTTTATGCGTAGACGATGAATGTGCTTCGGATGCCGCAGAAGCAGACGCACGCATGGTACTTTCTGGCGCAAAATTCCAAATTCAATATGTAAAATGGTTATTTGATCGGATTTTTGTTTATTTATTTCTAGCTGTACGGATTGCTACATGCTCGCTTCATAATGACCGATGCAGGTTGTGCGGAAATGGTAAAATAAAAGACCAAAAGTTGTCTCTTTTACGTATGGAAATAACTTTATTTCATATTGTGTTTTTTGTGATGATTTTTTCAGAAAATTAAGTTTATGCTGCGACACTTTGGTGTGTGTCCGCGTGTACAGTGCGATAAGCAACCGGTTCTTCCAATCGGAACAGCCGACAATCCCTGTACGCGCCGTGATTTGAAAAATTGTTGTATGCAAGACCAAATTCTTTTATGTTGGATGTTTTAGGTGTAGATTATGTGAAGATTTACTGTCCGCGTTGTCGAGATATTTACCATCCCTACAAGGACTACACCGAACGGTTAGATGGAGCGTTTTTCGGCACCGGGTTTCCGCATCATTTTTTCATGGTGTTCCCGGAGTTGCGTCCTCTGCCGTGTGCCCATAGGCCTTTAGATATGGCTGTGATGGGCAATGCGAGAAGACATGATAACGGAGATGCACCACCGTGGACGGGGCCACACGCTACAGGGAAAAGGTCATCTCTGATTAGCGAAGACGTTTTAATTACATCACAGTCACTGTCTTCCACTTGCTTGGACGAACGGATGGATATGGAATTTAAGTAGATTTTTTTTGCAATAATGCAATTAAATAACCTTTAGAGTTCCTAGTACTACTAGTTAAAGATAACTAACACTAAATAGATATTAATTATACTACTAATTAAAAATTCATTAAATTGAACGCTTGCATTTTGCAGTTTTTCACCGTATTCTAATAAATTATTTGTCGAATAGTTTTCTTCCGGTGAGGTTTGGTATATGTTTGGTATATTTTAATAGTATCAGTAATCAGTAAATAAATATCACAACAACACAATGACACTCACATAATTCACCGCCCTTCAAGTACACAACAAACCGCAGTCGATTCACAGAATTTCGCCTGCTTTATAACCATTCCATCACACACCGTAAAAACTTCCGACTTATCCACACAAATACCGAATCGCCCCTGATTTTCAAAGGGTACGCATACACCGCGCTGTTTGACCACACTCGAAGGTATCGTATCCGTACCGTCGCTGTTTAGAATTGTGGCGTCCGCTGCATTCGTCGTTACCTTCGTCGTCTCTTCGAGCTGGACACTGGGTGTGGTTGTTTTTAACGGCCTTAACGCACTGTGATCGATGTTCGGTAATGGCACCGGGTCAATAGAAATACCCAGAAGGTTCCATAGATCTTGCTTGTCTAACGCTTGGGACGGTTTGACGAACATTGTGGACGCTGCTGGCACGGGGACGGCGTTCGCTGCAGGTGGCGTACTTGTCGCATCCGGATTTGCGGTGTTCAAGAATCGTTTCCGCGATGGGCGGGTAATGGTCTGGGGCGTGGTTGTACTGGGTAAATCGGTGAACTGACGAATTCCTCGAGTTAGACCTGTTGGCATGCTGAGAAAGGTCAACTGCGATCTCAATGGTGGCAACGCCATTTTCAGAGATGTTGGAGAGTTAGATTGGAAGATATTCGCACTTTTGCTAGTGGTGACAATAAAAGGCGTTGTGGAGATTATTGTATCTGTCGTGATCAACGGTGACGAAGTCTGCGAAGTGCAAAATGTAACAAATTATGTATTGTACAATACTTGATAATTAGTTTGAACGGCTAAATTGACTGCAATAATTAACATTAACATGTAAAAAATTAACACGGTTACTGTAAAAAATAATGTCTGTTGTCATTTGGGCAAGTCGTTATTATGTAATTGTTACCATTCGAAGTTAAGACATACTGGTAAGTCACTGCTTTTAGATGAGTTCGGTGCACTCAAGAAAATTGAATCATATAACTTTCAAATTCCATAAGAGATCTATTTTGGCAGACAAAAATGAATGCGAAGAATTCGCGATAATATTTTGTCAATTAATTTACGCACAGATGCAAGCTAGAAATATCCTTATAATGTTGTTTAGCACTTACGCTTGCCAACGTGGTAGCTTCTGGTTCCGGTGTGGTTATAGGTACCGGCATTGTTGTAGTGCGCATTCTACTCGTCGAGGATGTTACCGACAATTTTCGAGAGGTGTTCACTCTGCCAGCGGTAGTGATCGGACTGGTTATCTCGGAATTTTCCGTGGTACTCGTATTTGCACTAGGGAAGGTCACCGTCAAAACTGGTGATTGGATAGGAATATTTTTAGTAATGGTTTTATTCGGTTTGGATGTTTCCGGCTGCAGCACTTCGTGCAAGAGGTTTTCCATAAGGACACGCAAGTTGGATAGCTTGAGATTCCGGCCTTCTCTGCTTCCAGTTTGATCAGTCTCGTTTACCGGCAGCGATGGGAGTTCTGTCACAGAAACCGGCATGGCAGTGGCAAGTTGCGTTGTTCTCATAGTTGTGGTTAGGGCGTTTGTCGCTGGATGCGACGTTGTGCTGTGCCGGCTGTTCCTCGTGTGTGTTGTGGATGGGGTGGAAATTAACTTGGCTTGCAGTTGTGGAAGGAGTGGCTGTGAGGCATTGGTAACCTTCAGTCGTTTTGGCGGGATAATTTGAACAGCGGGAATATTTTCGGTTTGAAGCACATCTTTTAACAAATTCAGCATCATCGTTCGGAGATCAGCAGGAAATTCACGTGCTGTGCGATTTTCGGCTGTTCCATTCGCGGCGATAATTTGCTGCGCGGTTGCATTCGCAGCTTTTACGATTTCCTGTAGAACAGCCATCATGTATTTTGGTGTGAAAAATTCTGATTAGAATTTAGTAGAAATTGGAGGAATTTCACAGGGCGCTTAGTACTTTTGGTCTGATGCTACTGCAAATATTTACAAGGCGAACAAGCAGATTAATTAAAATTTACTAAAGTAAATCCACAGTTCAGAAGTTGCTAATAATCTGAGTAACTATCGATTTACGTAAATAATTTAAGAGGCCCAAAATTTAGTCAATGAACAAGAATAAACCTCTAATTCGAAGCACTTCAAACTTTAAGTTACTCTGCCCGTACATTCAGATAATTCAGCAACGTCAACGCACCTTTACTACCTCTCCCGTTTTTGGGGTGCCCCCTTCAAGCGCTGGTGGCTGCAGTATGAAAGGTGACTGATTCTGAGGAGCCAGCAGCGGATTCGTCATAGACTGTGGCAACGCATTGGCAACAGCCGTTTGGACAGCCGCCTCCACTTTCTGTTTGACTTCGGGGCTCACCGTGGTGGTAGCCGGCATAGCGGTAGTCTCCGGAGCCGGAGCCGGCACCGGTGCCACAGCCGGTACCGATGCGGCTGCCGTCGCAGTTTCCGCAACCGCCGGCGCGGGAGAGGCCTCCGGCTCTCCGCTTGGCACACCATTCGGTGGCGCCGTGATGACTTCCCCGGCACTGACTTGCGCGGCCGCCGCTGCGGCAATATCATCACTGGATGGGAAGGATATCGTCGTATCAGCGGTGGTGGGCGGGGCTGTGTGCACGGCGACAGTGGTGACACCGGGAGCCAAGGTGGTGGGCGTTGTTGGTTTCGTGGTCACCGTATGGATGAGCAGGTCACCCAGTTTGGTGAGGGCGGAAGCCAGTACTGTGGCGTTGATGGTCTTGGGGACATCGACCGCCGCGGTAGCGTTGCCTTTCAGTAAATTCGGTATACCCAGGGCGGACGCTGCGACCGCGGCCGATGATAAGCCGGTTGTATTGATTGCCAATGCAGTGGCATTGGCGGCGGCGGCGGCTGCCGCTCCCGGGGCACGGGTTACCGTGGCCTTTGTTGTCGTGAGTACGGGGACCGTGACCGGTGGCGGTGTCCACCGGCCAGCCACAAAATCTTCATAACGCTCGTAGAAGGTGTCATTTGGCGGTTCGGTTACCAAAGTCTAAAAATGAGAAAACTGGTTAATTTTTGTGTACTTACCAGTACTCAGTTTATTTATTGATTATGCTAACAATTTCTAATATTCCGGCCAATCAATTTTTTTATATTCATGGGATCCTCTAGTATCGATATCATCGCAGCAATCTGACACAAACGTTTCTCAACTCTATCTATATTCTACGTATCCACCGACAACACGAGCAAAACAAAGAGAAACCGATTCGATTAATAAAGAACAGCCAAAGGGTTGACTTGTGATCTTGCAAAAACGTTTCAGAAACGTGCTGAATTATGCATCCTAAATTATTCATCCTATGTAATTTTCACCATCTAATTCACTGAATATTTTGGCTGGTAAACTAAGAATAACAATTAAGTTCCTAACCTCGTGCCAAGATAGGTTTATGCCATAGCGAATTTCGTAAAGGAATTTACCGCACATGCCTGGTTTTCCTTACCGGAATATAAAAATTATTCCATTTGTAATCACCCCAGGACTGTACCGGGTTACTGCTTCCAAAAGCGGCATAAATCACTTGCTGCGGCAAATCTGTTAACAACCAACACCATAAGAAACATTGAGTAGATAGAGCCATATATTCTACTCGATCGTACGAGTACTTTCTGATGTTTAAATTAATTATAAATTCTAACTGATTTTCCAGTTGTCGGTATTGTTTACTTAAGTGAACAGAATGCATGAATACTAAACAAGAGTTTGTATAATCAGTAGCGAAGACTGTCTGCAAAACACCGTTCCGGTAATTTTGCACGTCCACTCGAAGAAATTTTTTGCATGACACGTTCTCTTAAATTACTGTACAGACATTTATCATACAAGCGTAAATTGTTTGTGTGAACGGTGATTATCCAAAAACATTTTTTTTCAGTAATAATGCATACATATTAGATTATTTAAAAGAAATGTTCAATCGTTTGTAAAGCAAGTACTTACGTGCCTACAATATGGATCTGTAGGCGAATTTATGCATAATTCATATAAATTTTGGTACAGCAACGCAAAAACCACGTACATATTGGCCAGCCGGCAAGTGACTGCGGTACCGTCATCCAGGATGGCACATTAACCGGCGGGGTATTACCATCGATGGAACGTCCCAAATCATATCCATCGCGATACTGCGCCGTATCGTAATTATTGCCATCATTTAAGCCGTATACGTCAAATGCTCCTTGGCTGGAAACAAAATTTGCAAACAACTGTAATTCAAAGATAACTGTGTATAACGCAACCGATAGGCGATCCCGCTTAAGTTTTATATTCATAGTCCAAACAAATGATTTTAAACTGACGATGATCTTAATAATTTATCAAAGCATTAAGTCACCCGCTAATAAAAAAAACTTTTAATTGCAACACGATAAACGCTGTTATAATGGTTAGTGATTCTTACGTTGGTATGAAATGAAAGTGAACGGCTGGCGATCAGTAGCAATGGACACAGTGACCGCATTACTATCACTCTCACTACCGCCGTAATAGCGGCAATCAAGTAATTAGTCCATCTTGCTTAAAAGATTTTCGACCGCATTATTGTGCGTGGATCTTTTCGGCAACATACGTTGCGATCGACTTGAGAAAAGTGAAAACACGTAGATACCGGATCACTGTTTAGAGACTACGGAGATCGCTATGGGTCACTTTGTTTAAGGTGGCGGAATGGATTATTGGCTACCGGCGCGCACTGATTCAGACATAAATAAACGGACGAATGAGCCGTGTTCTCTTTGTTATTGACCTTCTTCCGTCTGCATATATGGGTCAAGTTAAAATTGATCATAAATTCATGCCAATACGGAGTAATTATTCTAATGGTGTAAACTGTTTTAGTTAATCAAGTGAAGCGATAAAGACGTGTTCGAACTTTCATCAATTTTCAGCCAAGAGAAATGTGACTTTAATTGCTTATCTTAATTTGTGTTCTAAGGAGTGTATTGTTGTACTGTCAAATTGTTAGTGCGTTACTAATGAGCTTGAGAATAGCAAACTGGTAACGCTCGGCGTTTAAATATCACATTAAAAGGATAAAATATTAGATGCGCCTTTTATCGCTTAAATTATTTTATTTACTGCAATAGTTTTTATACTCACTGTGGTAGTATATGACGACGCATATTATATGACATATTCAAATTAGTTTAGAAACTTACTGTATGCCCCATGTGGACTACAATACATTCGGACTCAACACTGCAAAATCGACATAAATCAAACCATTAACCAACCACGCATATAGCAGATTTATTAATAATACCGCAATACAATTTTGATTTAGTTAATTTGTTGATCGCTTCGTGAAAGGGTTATTCCCACCTTGCAGTAAAATAATAGGACATTGTCTTACGAAGGATAAAAGAATTTCATTTTATGAAAAGGATCCGCACGTCAACATGCAAGCTGTGAGATGTGCCAGTTTTCGAGAACTTTAAATAAATTATTACCGAACAAAACAGTTATGGTAACATGAATAGCCAGCGCGCCACTTGTTCACCGGTAAACACTCATTGAGCGCGCAATGTTTTGACGATGGGCTGGCCGAAATTAAAATTCACCACGTGCTCTACGGCGAACGGGGCCATCCATCAAAAAGCGTGCGAGAAAGCACCTTCGCAGCCGGCGGCCCATTCTAACCAAATTATGCTGCTCCGCGTTAGATAAAATATAAATTTAATAATCTTCGTCGTAACTATGCATAAATAAACCGTTACAATGCCGCACGCTGCCATCAAGTGATCAACATGCCTGTCTCTCTACAGGTGACGGGCATTATGTGTCCGTACGTGAGAGTACCCCATGTTGTCCGCTTCCGATGACAAAAACCCAGCCCGCCCATACAAACGCCGACCCTGGTAAACAATTAGTCATGTTCGTTAAATCAGTGGATTAACCGTGTACTAGTTGGCAAATATAGTCATGGAAGGGATTTTCCTATCACTTACGCATGCCGGACACCGACCACATATCAACCGGTAGAACTCTCGTCATCTTGTTATTTCGCACCTTCGCAAATGATTAGCAGCTTATTATAAAAGGTCAGCTCATAAATCTTTGAGAAAAGTAATTGACTGACTGTTTGTTGGGTCTTGAATCTTTGAGAATAATTTATTGACTAGTTGTTGGGTCTTTCAAAAGGTCATTGAATAATCGTATTTATGTATATTCTAACCATGCTCCGCTTACTGATTGTTGTACTGGTTGTCAGCGCGATAATTGGATCCACGGTGACGGTGAATGCCTCCACAACCAGCCAATTTAACATTGCGGCATTGACGAATTTAACCCAGGTGTTGGTTAAAGCGCTGGACACTCTCAATGCACTGAACGATATTGCCAAACCGAGCAACGAGAAGCCGGAAACCACTAATGCCACCACAGAAGCCACCACGCCGACTACCACCCCGACTACCACGACTACCACTACCACCACCACTACCACCACCACCACTCCCTCGACGACAACCACCCCGAATACGACGACTACCACCAAAGCCCCGCTGGCTTTTCTTTTTAACCAGAATAACGGCAGCTACGGCACCGCAAATGAAACACTCAACAAGGCCGAGGTCAATGCAGTGGTAGCGTTATTGGGACAACTGGGTCTAGGGTCGTTATTGGGCTTAAATACTACGCCGGAACCGCCTATAGCTACCGTTGCAACTGCCACCAAGGAAACGAATGTCACAAACTGTAAGTGGAGGCATGCTAACTTGATTACGTTTCAGTATTGAAACACAATTAAAATTTACCGGCACGATTAAATTCAAATAAGCAAAACAATACGTCAAATTTATCCACTGGGATATTATATTCGTTACAAGCATTTTTAAGCGGCCAATGTAACCACTGGTTGCAACAAAATAAAAAATAAATGTTTCACCAAATAAAAAAGGATTTGACAAAACCAAAACATATTTTTACAATTGACACCACAATAACTCACTTTATGACAGCTGTGCACTGTGGTTTAGTCTGGCCAAGCTATGCGTTTCCGCTTTCAGAAAGTGAAATTTAATAATTTGATTAAATTTTTGAAAATTCTGAAATTGTTATAGATTCGTTTAAAATGTTTACGATGCAAAACTGCTATGCTGTTGACGCCGAAACAATTTGCGTATAATCCTCATCGCACATAAAAACATTTAAAATACTTCACCTTTTAGAGAGTTTTCGAAAATTCTACCTTAGCCACGTTTTATGGCACGCAAATATGTATTTTGACAAACAGCATGAGTCACTTACGCCCCATTTTTTACAGCAACTGCAAGCAATCATACCGCCTCGGGAGCCAGTCTCGCGCCCACCCTGGCCACGGCCCTTAATGTCACCACCACCGCAGCACCGGTTTGCGACATGGGCGCCGTCTGCAATATGTACAAACCCTGTCCCCTGCCGTGTACATGCAGTAATGTGATGAATCCGAAAATGACCGGTCGATGCGTCAAAGGCGTCATACAAAACCCCTACGCTATGTTAGTTGGCTAACGACATCGGTATAAAAAGCAAGTAGCAATCCGCGCGACTGTGATACTTCTGATGTTTTGTGTGTTTATATACTCTGCAATTATTTTTCTTGCTGTCTTTTTTGAATAAAGGCATGCTCGGTGTATAATTTATCAAGATAGTGAGTGCCCTTAACTGTTGCAGAGATTCTGTGTGAATCGCGATCTTTCATAGCTTGTGGGTGCGAAATGCATCTATTGTAAATACATTTCGGGCAAAAGGTTATCGATAAGAGATATAGCAGTTATCGGATAGCAGCCAATTTGATGAATCACTTTGGTCTTTGTAAATATTCCGCTTGTGTCAGTATTTATAATAAACATTACGATTTCTGATTGCGACCGAAAAAGCACATTAATAAATAAAGTTTTTTAAATCAAATCATCACATTGTATAATGATTATGTATGACGTCTGACGGCCTTGAGTCTTTGGTTATCGGCATATATTACAGCTGAGACAAACGTTGAATTATTATTTTAATTGCAATCAGCTCGAGAAAAATTCACTGATTTATCTAGGATCCAATGTTATCGAGAATTTCGAAGTACTTTTGGTCACAAAGGATACTTAGTACATGTAAGTGTCGATGACAGATACCGTATCCATAATATAATAATGATACTAAAAGAAAAAAAATGCCACCGGGCAACAGTAATAATACAGTGAAAATGAGTATGTGTCAGTCAAATGTAATCGTCTTTTGCCGATCATTTAATTTCATTGAAAGGCATGCTAGATAAAACTTGATGTCTATAACTATAATTTATACATACGGTATAAAAAGGTTCATGAGCGTTACTAATTCAACATGAACCAAGACCATGTAATTATGTACCTATGTCGTTATGAAAATAACGAAAACACAAGGATACACCATATGGGTGTGCGCATTATGCGTGCTACGATTCAGCTATAGTAGCAGTAGCATCTCTGCCATCCTAGACCTCCACATTCCCCTCTTTTGTAGAATCCACTTGGCCCTTTGCATTTCTTGCAACGATCGTTGCAGAGGTCACCGCCTCCCACACCCTTGCAGCTGCCTTCAGCTCCGCATTTGGCTTCTGCTTGGTCCTGGAAAACAGCAAAAACCACAAGTGCAATTATCAGGCACAATCCAAAAGACGCCTTCATTCTTGTTTAATACGAAATGCAAACACAATAAACTTAAAGGAGAACAAATCTTTAAACTTTACCAAAGAATGCGGTTGTAAGTTTAACATTTTGCATGCCTTGCTGAGGGCTTTATATATTTTTTCAGCCATGTAGTTAACCTACATTTGGCACTCGGGTTATATTTCCAGTTCCGGTTTGGTTTACCGGCATAAACATCGCTGTTCCTGTGAAAAAAATTCAACAACCGGTAGTACTATTATTTTTTTAAGTGCGTTAATGTCACGCTCGTGGCGTCGACAACCGCTTTTCTGGTACGTGGTCACATATTAACAAGTAAATACGATATTACGCGTAAAATTTACCTTCAAAGTTCAAACGATATTACGTCAATTTTATCCGCATTGCGAGTATAGCAGTTCGCTGCCTTGTGACTTGTCACCATATCGATCTGTCCCTAATAACACAAGTAGTAGTACCGGGCGTTTATCTGATTTAATTTACATGCCTTCTCCGATTTCTCTGTTAAAAGTAAAGGGCTCAGTTCGTAGTAGCTTATTACAGAATTACAGTTATTGGAAGCGGATTTCAGTGCATGATTGCAGTAGAAAACAGGCAGTACTGTTGTTGTCTGCGTTTTCTGAAGCGTCCTACGTACATTTAAGTCACCGGTACAACAGCTTGCAAATTTGGAAGTGTTTCTTAACATTTTGCGGCTGCATGCTGTCTGTGTCCATTCAAGCGTACTTTCCCACTCACACTTCCGGTATCGACTTTACATATACCGTACTAATATATAGATATAATGCTTAATATACGTAATAGCAGGAACTTTCTATATTCTATATTCTATATTCAATACTATAGAAAGTACTTGGTAATAGGTATACCAGCTAATAATTTAAGTTATAAAATTAAATACTGTACATGTGCTATTTCAAAAATTCATGTTCCCACTGAAAAACGTTTTTTATTATATTATACATAAACAAGTACAGCAGTAATTTCATACGAAATGCGTTGCAGTGGCGTCTCGTTATCTGCTGGTTTTGGAAAATTCGTACGTGATGTTGTGTTAACGCATTTGGCTAGAGGCAGACATTGGTTTCCAAACGAAATTTTTTTGGCTTATTCCTTTAAACTTGGGAAGGGTTATGAAAATAACTCGGCCGTTGTATTAGGTACTGCGCTATCGATACTTCTGCACTAAAAAAATGAATTTTTCACAAATTTTCAAACTACCATCGCTTTTACTGCGTATTTTACAATATATAATCACCGAATCACGTATCATGTACAAGGCGCTGTTTCCAGACGGCGAACATGTTCGCTGAATCCTACCGCAAGCTTCCTTAATCGAAAAGAACAATTATGTGGCACCATAGAAAGCGCTCTAGGATCCCATGAGTAGGTAGTATTTCTCATCAAAAGTACCGGGTGGCCCAACAAAATGGCGGTCTCCGTTTTTGGTTTGTTTCTCGAGAACCGCTTGTCGCACTCTGAACTAATTCCACTCGTTTAATAGACATTTTCAATACCTACCAAAAACATTGAAACGTTTCATTTTATATAGCAGGGATCTCGTTATCAATCATGCCAACTGACACGGTGTCGAAATTTATCGTGGCCCAGCTCGCAAACCTAAAAATTTCACCTCGCTTCTTTCCCGTTCGACATTTTCAAATATTTTCAAATGTTTTGTAAAGAGAATGAGACCTTCTTTTAATAAAAAAATTATTTGTTGGCATGGTGCATGTGCTGGATAAACTATGCGACAAGCAAACTTTTGATTTTCTTGATTTTTTTTACTTTTTTTATTTGGTTTTTGAGGCATTTTCAGTTACAATTTCTGTGTGCATCACAGGGCGGAACAAAGAAAGCCTGGTCCACTAATAATTGTAGCCAGGTAAATGCCCTTTGGGATACGGGTTAGAATCAGGTCAGCTGTCGAAGCGCTGGTATAAAAATTGGTTTCGAAAAGCTGGCTTTCGAATTTCACAAGATAGACCTAAGTGGAGTTTCTGGTCTTTTCGTTTGTTTAGGCCTTAGGTTCAGCAGAATGGCAAAGTTTATACACTAGAAAAACAGGAAACAATCCCTCTATCGAAATCAGTAAAGCGAGACAAAGTAACCCACTTTGCTGGATTACTGCAATTTTTAGTTTGGAAATGGAGAAACAGAAATTTTCGTTTCTGGGACATCCTCAAAATCTGATCATTTTCAAAAACTATTTCTTGAAAATCTCATACCTTCAATAAACTTTGATCTAGCTAAACTTTTATATGTGGGAATGTTTGCTCTTTCGAATGAAACCAATGAAGTGACAATAGAACACGGGACGGACCCAGCGCACCCCATTAACATAGACCGCCATTTTGTTGGGCCACCCGGTATTTTTGACGGTACCTCGTGCGCACTTTTGCGTCCGCTGTCAGGCACAGGAATACGTCGCATTGTCTCTGCAAACTTTTATAAGACAGAATTTCCCGATAATAAAATGTATTGCCTGCATCGACTCCATTTTTGATCTCTGCTGTTTTCTTTTGCGTAACAAGTCCAATCACGATTGCACGAGTATTACGCACTGAGCGCAATGCGAACTAATAAAAGGAAGCTCCGATCCCACACCTCACGTGCAACAGATTTACAGAAAAGCGCAATACATCGGCCAGAAGCCGATGCGCGCGTAGGTGTCTCATTCTTAAACGTAAGTATCTCAGTTTATCTAAGGAGAACAATAAGGGTGACAGGAAAGCACCGAACATCATTTTAACCTCTGAATTTGCATGGTAGCTACCAATAGTATCTCACTTTGAGCTAACCGCCAGGATCCTGTCACTTCAGTATCCGAGCATACTGAAATAAAGTCGATTGTAAAATGAATAGTACCAACACTACATTCTCAAAGTTACCGTTCGCAACCAAAGGACTACTTCTTACATGGACATCAATTTTGCTGTCGGTTAGCTATGCCGGTGGATTAAGCAGCATCGTGACGGTGTGCATGATCTTCTCCAAGAGAAACCTACGGACACCTTGTGGATACTTAATTGCACATGGCCTTATCGCCTGCACCATTCCTTGCTTAATAGGATTTCCGTTGGCTGGGGTTTTCGTGTACTTGAAATATATTCATGGTATAACGGTTTCCCGTCAGTATTGCGTGTTCATTCTCTGGACACAGCAGACCAGCCGGTTTGCGGCTCAGTGGTTTGAAGTGTGCGTGGTGATTAATCGTTTTGTTGCCATCGGAAAGCCGCATCTATACCAGAGTATTTCGTCGCGGTTTGTCGTCAACGGTATGATCGTGTTTGTATGGGTTTATTGCGCTGCACTGGTCACTCCGGGATGTTTTGGTTATACATCTCAGTACACAGTCAGTGCTGTTGGGAATTGTGCAGCAGTACCAGCGTTTGGAGTTGTTGGAGCGTTAATAACAACCCTATCGATATACCTCCCCGTTGGTATTTGTGCCATTCTGTACTTTTTGATTTATTCGCGGATGTTACGAGGGAGACGGGCAGCCGTAGCCAGCAGTGAAACTGGCCCAAATACACCGGCACCCAATGTTGCACGCCGGTTAGTGGTGGCCAATATGATGTTTGCGGCGTTTGTCTGGAATGCGGTGTGTATATTGTTCATCCCACTGGCTAGTGTCATCGTGCCGAATATTTATTCGGTGTATCCCACGCTGATATTATGGTTTGCTGTCGTTTACACTATGGCTCATGGTCTTAACCCGGTAAGCTACGCCCGTCACCAAGAGCATGAACCATACGAGTATTTTCATATGGTCGCGGTGTACCACGTCATTTCGTGGGCGGAAACTGCGGTAGTTTTAGGCTAAGCGCGTTGTCTTTAATTTAGACCATTTTCGCTACCATGAATCGAGAGTACCGGCATGGATATTTGGATATGTGTAAAAGGCTTTGCGGAATCAAGAAGCCGACTAAAGAGATATCAACGTTTTCGGGAAGAGTTTTCAGACCAAAGCGAGACCGAGTGACTAGTGGCCACGCCATGCATAGCTTAGCGATGCGTTCACGGTGAATGTTCTGGGTTTGCCATGCTTGGAAATTCCTCTTGTATTAGTACGAGTACTGATACCAAATGCTACGAATCACCGCGTTGTGTTTTACATCAAAGCTGATAAACTGGACGAGCGTGGGCTGTATTTTCAGTTGTTAGCCATGCTAACAAGAAGCAGCTGTTAAAAAGCTGGATTAGCGTTACATACTTAATCTAGTCTTACATGCAATATCATTTTCCTACAATCAGCACATTTGAAGTCCAGAAAATTTGTACGAAAGGGTAGATTCAATGCATAATGTACAAGCTGCACAGATTAGCCTGCACGATTTCGCAGAAATCAGCTAATCGAATTGGTGCCTTTTGTCCTTCTAAATCAACTATAATAACAGTAGCACCTCTGCCATCCTAGTCCTCCACATTCTCCTCGTTTATAGTATCCGCTGGTGCCCTTGCATCGCTTGCAGCGGTCATTACACAGGCTCCCGCCGCCAACGCCGCGGCAACTGTCGGCTGCTCCACACTGCGCTTCGGCTTGCTCTTGCAGCATGGCCAGTAATACGATCACCAGAAGAGCGGACGCTACGAAAGCGGATCTCATTTTTCAGATAATTCAATGTAAACAGGGTCGACACCTTACACTTCACAATAAATGCGCAAATCAACCTTTCAGTTTGCTCAAAAGTCACAAGCATGGGTTGTGCACCGCCTCAAGGCTTTTTATACAGGTGTTGGATTTTTCGTGGGCAAGGTTGCAGATCCGGTGGGATTTCTCCGGACAAACATGTTTGGCGCGAAAGTAAAAACAGCTCATGCGAAATGCTTCCAAATCCCTTGCACATACGTGTCATTTGGCTTGTCTATAGCACTGCAGAAAAGCTGTCCAATCAGGGCAAAGCCAGGCATAGCCGTCCGTTGCTTACAGCTTCCTTTCTCGGCAGTCGTTTACGTCGTTCTTGCATACCAGTACATATACGGAAGTCCAATGCAAACAGTCCTTTGTTATTACAGTGCAGTATTGCTTGAGCCAGCAGGCAAATAAAGAATAACGAATGTCAACACAACGAGTTTCTGTTTTCTACAACGCTTTGATTTATAAAATCCACCGCGTATACAAAACTATTATACTCTTTGTCCATAACCAGCCCTATTTGTAAACAAAGTCAAAACTTTCCATGAAATTTCCAGATTGATCATTAACATGTTGCCGTTTTCGGTTGCTCCACCATTTTGCAATTTTAAATGCTAAAAGTAGTATAATGCTGCAGTGGATACCACGCAACGGCTAATTACTGGCATTTTTTCGTTTAAGAACAGTGAGGAAATTTAAATCGACCGTAATAGGAGAACCTTGTAGAACGTGATCATAGTACGTTTTTTATACAAACGGAAATCTACCCTCACCCAGGCCGTCACACACGGTGAGCGACTTGATACTGATGCCACTCGTCCTGATTTTGGCGAAAGCTACTGAGTACTACGATAACTATGTACACAACAACCATACTTTACAGAAAGTTCACTAGGACACCTGTTTACCTTTGCTTTCATTGGTAGGGTAGTACTGCAACAAAAGAATCAGCTGGTAGTCCAGTAATTAAATCCGATTTCGAACACATACGATTACTAACCGTAAGTTCAAGTCCAGACGAAGCTATACAAAGCTATACAGGTGATTGTCGTGTAGCTTACAGACAGTTGCCACTTACCAGATAACACCTTCAACGTACATAAGCTCACGAACAAGCCTGGTCAAAAAATACCACCATGGATTTAAATGCAAGACTTCATGTGCGATGCAAAGCGCTATCCTTGCTTGTTTGCACGAATATGTCGCATCCTGGCAACAACAGCAGCACTAATTGGTCAACTGATGCCCAGTGGAATGGCTTCATTACTGCCAGTGTTTCCTATAATCCGCCATGGAACTTTGAAAGTCCTCCTGGATCTGGATGCTTTTGTGGACTATCCGTTGCCTTACTGGCTGTGGTCGGTCACAAGCTTGGAATTAGGTAATAACATGATGGTACAGTATAATATCGTTTCTAACAATAAAATTCTAGATTTGCCTTATTTCCACTAACGCCTCCCTTGACAAAATTTACGACACAAGACAATATCTCATACGATGGCGCGCCAGCTGAGCTGCTGGCTGGAAAGGTCAACATGAGCATTTGCCCTTTAGCAATCACATGGGCACGAGCTCGGGATTTCCAGCTAATTACGGGATTTCTGACAAGGGATTACAATATCGCTGTCCATGAGAGATGGCTCCTCGATTCTGCAGTTACCGACAGATCGCTTATCACAACGCTATTCCGCACTGCTTTGATCGATACTTGGCCGGGGCTAATTTTGTCCGCTACGGGAGTTTTTGTTGCATTTTTCTCCTTGCGTATGTCAAGAGAAGTGGGCAATAGCGATGCCACAAGAAGCCGATTCATGGGTTTAAGGAAGTTGGTTGCTCACCTCAAGACAGCGAACGCGATCACGAGTATTTTGTCCATTACGGAAATTTTGACCTTTACTTTTTTCAGTCAAGGTATGCATTCAATTCACCTTGAAGTTCAAACTTTTCAACCTACAGTAGAGCCGTTTAATTTCAGTCGATGTTAAGCGCCCGCGATTTGCCGGGGCGCAGTTGGCAGTCCTGCAGTGGTTCCTCTATTCCTACTTTGTGATTTGCTTGATGAATGCCCATGTTAGTTCGAGTTTGATGGGCTTGACATTAACTCCACCGTTTCATACGCTTAATGGGTTTGCAAAGTCTGATTTTGATCCGCTTGTGATGGGCACCACAGCTTCTGTGGATTTCATGGTATGGTTCATGCTAATTCATATCCGTTCCGTTCCAAATGGAATTAGGTAATTTAACATCAAGTTAGGTAAGGCGTTAACAACAGCCGCAGAAGCCAGAAAGACAGAAACCGAATCAGAGAAATTATGTACAGTATATGTGCACTCTGCTAGCAAGATTCTCTTTTTAGAATACCAGCACTTTGAGACCGCTAATTCCACGAACACGCCAGTACGATGCAAAAACTTCTCAAGACGTTTTTATTGCGTACGCTGCAAACTTGTCAGCGCATGAGCGAATTGCAATAATCAGCAACAGTGTTCTGGAAACACCGCAGTTTCAAAAAGCAGGATTCGTTTCAGCAGTGGAATCTTTTTCTCGTAGTTTTGTGGCCCTTTATCAGTTTCCGCGTGGCGCGGAGGTTGGTGTCAAGGTCACCAGTGTGTAAGTTCCCAAAGACAAATACGGTAGCCGCATACTGAATAAAATTAAGTAAGAACTTTTTAACGGTTTGTAATAGGCTTTACATTAATTTTATTATCTGCAGAGTGACACACATGGCAGAAAACGGTAATCTTCATCACATTGTTAATACGCATTTGAGACTGCTATATTCTGCGCACGGAATGTCGTTCCTAACAAAATCCCAACCCAGTCGGAAAGGGAACGCTTCAATACGGATGGAAGCGCTATTATCGACCGTGTATACGGTCGGAGTTTTGCTCTTTATCGCAGCATTGCTGTTGATAATTGAGATAAAGCTGTCGAAAAGATTGCTTAGGTGTAATGCAGTCAGTTGTCTTATGGTACCTCCTGCGTGATCGTTATCAAATCTCACCCTGGTTAGTTCTCCTACATCCCACACGATGTTGTCTGTCAGAGTCATATTTCGTAATTTGACTTTGTCATACTCGTAGTATGACTTACGGAGCAAATGGAATGCTGTAGATGGACACAACAGCTTACCGTTAGTAAATCGTTTGAAAACAAAAACCGTTTGCAAAAAACACCGTTTGCAAAATATCTGCAGAAAAGCGCCTTTTTGCGACACATTTTCAAGATGCTTTGTTTATATCTGTAGGTGTAACTTTAGCAAAATCGATTTGGGCGGTTTTACAAAATCCGTTGCATACGTAAGTTGCATACATCCAGGCATTTAAGAATCAGGATTCTATGAAGATCTTCTTAATCTCCATATGGATGAAATCCTTATGAATTCCTGATGAATTCTCCTTATGGAAAATGTATAATAAATCTCCGTATGGACGTAATTTAACCAATTAGTAGATACTAGATAACTGCTAGAATTGGAAAATACTATCAACCTGATTTTTAAAAATTGCTCTAAACGGCTGTTGTCAGCATAATACCGTATGGACACGTCGGCCTAATTGTTCGGAAATCAAACTGCTGACTATCTCCAATAGGATATTTGACCATTGTGCTGGTAAATCGACGTTATGATGCTACCCCTCGGTAATTAACTAAGGCAGTACCCAGTGTTAGGGTTATTCATTCTGCATCCCTCGTTTACGAAACGTTTGCTGATTGTGTCAACAGAAAGCTACGATGTCAGCTTATCATCACAAACATCGCGCGCAAGTAACTTCAACCATCAAATTGCAGAGTAGAGGGGCTATACTACATCCCCATAGCGCTCACCGTCAATTTTCGAAACAAAGTCGAATACCTGCTTGACCTTACCCGACGGCGGCATAATTTTTGCGTGAATTCGGTTTTCTGTGTTAGCTGGTGATTCGTACAAATAAGATCTCGGTTAGGCATTAGCGGGAACGATACTTCAAATTGATACTTCACATTAGTGGTACTTCACATTGTACTAATGTGAACAAATAACATTAACTACAGATATATTCACCGATGCCACAGGAGAAAAGCTTGTTATGTATAAAACTTCGCAGTGCGCATGGATTTTAACGAAAGACTGTACGCGCAATGCAAATCACTATCGTTACTCGTCTGCACAATTCTGCCGCAGCAATTTGATTTCGCTGACAGCAACAGCACTCGGTCAACCGACGTACGTAAGGATAATGTCATCGATGTGAGCGTCGCCGATAGCCCGCCATGGAACTTTGAAAGTCCACCTGGTTCAGGATGCTTCTGTGGAATATCAGTGACTCTGTTGACCTTAGTTGGAAAAACGCTTGGATGTAAGTAAAGCCGTTATTATGAAGTTAATCTTATAACGGCGAATGTGAATTATCGGTTTTTCTTGCAGATTTCGATTGCTGCCAACGTCTTCTTTAATTACTGTTACAACATCACGTAATACGACGTATGATGGAGCTCCGGCTGATCTGCTTATGGGAAAGGTCAACATGAGTTTGTGTCCGTTAGCAATTACACTATCACGCGCAAAGGATTTTTATCTTGTCAATGGATACCTAACGAGGGATTACAATATAGCCGTTCACGAAAGATGGCTCGTGGACTCCGCGTTTGCCGACAAGTCTCTGATCGCAGCGCTCTTTCGGATGGCATTGACCGATACATGGCCGGGATTGCTGGTCTCCGCAATAAGTGTAATCTTTGCATATTTTGTCGTATGCTTGTCCAGGAAAAAGCATGTTTATAGCGTAAAACCGACAAATCAAAGCTTACGGCTAGTTGAACTTGTGCAGTCGATATTGTTTGCCACGGAAGCTTTGGTCTCTAGCTTTTTCAGCCAAGGTGAGCACAGGCTAGAAAATTGCACGACACAAGTTTTCTAGACTGCAAGTTTACCTACAAGAAATCTTTTTGTAGTGGATATCAAGCGCCCACGGTTTGCTGGTGCTCAATTGGCGGTTCTGCAGTGGGTTGCTTACTCTTACTTTGTAATATGCCTAATGAATGCCTACGTCAGTTCCAGTTTGCTTGGGTCAACACTGACGCTGCCATTTGATACTCTTGTTGGGTTCGCACGATCCGGCTTCGATCTACTTGTCGTAGACACAACGGCAGTTGTTGGTTTAATGGTAGGGATTAATTGGTGTATCGCGTCGACTGTACTTTTAACTTTTAATTACTGCCACTGGCTGAGTATGTTAAAAAATCGCCTTTTCCACAGTTGAGCAGATAAAAAGTAAATTGACAACGTAGTGTAACGTTTCCATGTTTTACATTCATTTAACAACTTGTTTGAATCACCAGTTTTTTAGCACATTTCCACTCTGGAGCCGCTGATCCCAAGAACGCACCACTACAATGCAAAAACTTCTTACGATGTGTTTCTTTCCTATGCCGCAAATGTATCGAAAAGCGAGCGCATCGCAATATTTAGTAACGATGTTCGAGAGGAGTCACCACGATTTCAGAAAGACAGATTTGTTACGGCAGTGAACTCTGTCTCTCGCTCTTTTATAGCTATTTATCAACTTCCACATGGAACCGATCTTGCAAGGAAAATTGATCGTGTGTAAGTTTAAGAACTCTACACCAGAGCTGTAGATAAAACGCATACGTTGTGTACTGTAGTCTGTTCGAGTCTGCAATTTTTTAATTCAGAGTTAAACAACTGGCAGAAAAGGGCAACCTTCGGCACATTACTGACATGTATTTTGGCTTGCTGCATTTGGCCCATGGAATGCCTTTCGTTACAAGCCCCGATTCAAACCGGAAAGGTACCACCTCCATACGAATGGAAGTGCTACTGTCAAGCGTGTATGTATCTGTGTGTCTGTTCTTGACAGCGGCATTGCTTTTGCTAGTTGAGGTGAAGTGGCGTAAAAACTGACTGATTGCTGTGCGACTAACTACTTTACGTTCTTTCACTATAAATTACTTTTTTAAGGAATGTTGTTCTTTTGCTTAGTTGCCATTCTGGGTTTTCGTTTTTCTGCACGATGTAGGCAGTCCTAAAAGCGGGAACATTGAAACTTACTCATACTTAATTTTCTTTTTGTTAGTCATGCAGTGAAGCCAGTGATACCGGACACATGCGAATTTGTAGCATAATACGAAAACTAGGACCCTTTTTGAGCGTTTTGAGAGGCCGGTTTAGGGATCAGCCGGAAGCGGTGTTGCAGGCACATTTTATGCACTGAACATTTCTGTACTGCAGCCGCGACGATTGGGGAGCATGCGACCAGGACGGACCCTTGCAAGCCGAACCTCTTCTTTATTGGTAGAAATGCAAATTGGACAAAGCCAAGCGCCGGGATGTATAGTCCGACGAGCGCCGGAACTATACATAGAGACAACTTTTACTTTTACGAAGGTTCAAAATAGGTAATTAGCAGTGTGAAATTGCTTTGGACACAAATATATTCAGTGCATTCTTGGTGGAGACTAGAACAGTACGTTATCAGTAAGTAGGAATATCAGCTACACACTGTGCACCGTACAGCTTGATGCAAGAGGGTACAAAGTCAAAGAAATCCATCGCTGAAACGCATTATAACAGGTGCGCTGCTTCTGTTGCACTGCAATTGCAGGAATCACCGAGATGTTCATACCTAAGTTTTCTATAAACAGGATTAACGGAGCAATATTAATATTACATTTAATCCGGTTGTCTGGGGAATTGTTCCATAATCAATGCAACTTCCTGATAATTATTGATAAATGGCATAATAAGCAAACACTCCTGCCTCTGGCATACCGAACTCGTTTAATCGGCAGCAGCAAGGAAGTAGAGCTGCATTTGTTATTGCCAGTAATTTACACAACCACGGAAATCCGAGAAAGCTACTGTATTTACAGTTAAAATTTGAGGAAATCAGTGCAAAACAGTGTTACGTACTTACGTGCTACTCTTAAAGCTAGACGGATCGCATTGCGCTCTAACAAATAAGACCATTGTGCAAGGCAAGGCATTTCGCAATTTAAATGTTGTCGGGCTTTTACTGTACCGCCTCGTTTTGATCCCCACCAAACGAGAAGTGCTGCAATTTTCAAAGTTGCCTGGAAATGGGATACTTTGCTGTCGGTCTACTAACATGTTCAGTGCTAATCGGTTGCAATGGTCAGTACTTAGCGCCTGTATGAGTTAGTAATTGCTTAAGAATTACCCTGATCAGTTTCGTAGTTAATTTGATCACAGTGAATATTCACAGGCCAATTCACTCTTTCGCACTTTGATAACACTCCGGTCAGCAGTCAAGAATGCAATCGGCGTCCGAAGAACAGCTGCTGGATGAGCATTGATCACTGCCTGGATGCCAGTTATTTGCAAGTGTTGAAAGCAAAATCATTGAGTACAATAACAGTTTTGGAATGCCATCCAGAGGCAAGCGATCAGGTAAGGATCAGTCATATTTCTAATGGCTTACTGTATATCTCCCTTCAAATGCTACTGATAAACGTTATAGGATTTTTTGGATACCGCCATGAGCATCTCAACAACCAATCCGAATCGAGCTGTAAAAGCATTTGTCAGTGACAAAGACAAATACCAACTCACGCAAGAGATCGTCAGCCCAATCAAAACGCAGATCATAGAATTATATTTCTATCGCTGTGCTGACCGGTCAGGCACTTTTAAAGTTGGACAACTGGAGCTGCCGAATTTATTACTCCTGCAGTTTTACAACTGCGACGAGATGGCCATTGGCAAACGTGACTTTACTCATTTTGGACAGATTCGACGTATTAGTTTTCTGTATTCAACTATAGAATCCATTGAACCGGGAACATTCACCAATCTTCCGCAAATAAAGTCCTTGCAACTAGACGCCGGATACAACGGTTTCAACGGGAACGTTGGCGCTCGCAAGATTCATTGTGATTGCGATTACACATGGTTGCGAAAATGGTTTGATGTCAATCCGCATCTGCTGGATGATCGCGAGGAAGGCGAGCTGTACATCGTCGGCAACAGGCTAAGTACACCGGTTCACAACGACTTTATCGCTGTGGATTGTGGCTATCAGAATCTGACCTACACAAAAAAAGACAAGAAAAGTCCCAGCAGCTTTAAATTTTCGTTCGATACTTCGTGTTAAATTTCATTGAAGTACGCCATTTGATAATCGTTTTAGGAGATATCGATCAAGAGGTTTTGCTACACTGTTTTTGCATCTGTTGGAAGTTTTCTATATATGGGCACTTTGTTGTTTTAATGACAGTTTGTGTAACTCTTGCTTCTTGAATGTGCATTATGAATTAATGAACAAAAAAAATTCACAAACTCGCACAACTTGCAACAAAACATTTTTCTCCTTCTTTTCGGAATACACATGGCACTGAAAATTATGTACGTATAGTACCTAACAGTACGTAGTACGTACGTACAGATGCTTGAACTCGTATAATGTCAACCAGACAAACACGTGGCGATGTCAATCTTAGCTTTGCTCACGCACAGTGCTAAGAATTAGCACTGAATTCGGCTTTTATGTTTCGAATTTGCGCGAAATCATATAAGCAATCTGGTGATAAGCCAGGCGATTTGTTGTCCTTCAAGGCATACAACGAATGATTCACCATCTTGTCTCTCTTAGCCGCCTCGTAGAGATTGTAATCATTATATCATTGTAATAAAGTGGAGAAGTGTGATTCTAGTTAATTTTATCACTGCGATGCGATATATGATTAACCAAAAACGGTAAGCGCTTCGCAGTTTAAAATAAAAGCCCAGAATGCGATTAATATTTCTTTACGATTAGTTCTGCTGTGTTCCTGGTTACTGCTTTCCATGCCATTTACTAACTTTATTGTGGTTCTTTTCCACTCACGCTAATATCGGCGGCTTTTAGATTACATACTTCTAATCACATAATTAGCTGTTTGTTTCACCGGCTTGACCGGAATCAGGACGCTTTGGCTTAATATTGGATCATTTATTGCTCACCATTTTCTACTAATTTTTTTACCATGTTTTCATTCCGCTTCACAAACCAGCTACTGGCAGGCTGCTTTGGCATTCAGTCGATTATCGGTTTGAATTTACTAATTTTGACAATAACAGGTATTAAGCCACCGTAATGCACAACGCCATACGCGTGTCCCAGCAATCCAGTACAGTACTTATCGGAATTATCGTTTGTTTTTCTAGCTTTATACGATTACTCCCTACTGCATTACGCAATCTTCCGATACACTTTTCCAATGGATTTCGCCGTTATTTCATTGGCCTTTCTTACTGCCGCCAAAGGATTTTATGTGCTGCGTTCAAAATCGGGAAATGAATGCCTTTTGGAAGCACTGTCTTTGTCTAATACTATTCTGGCGAGTATACTTGCCCTACTCCTCGAAAACAAACTGATGGAACTAATATCCCATGTCCGGCATGTGGACGCTTTCGGCCCTGACCATACATGGAAGTTCTGGGCATGGTGGTGCTTCATCCTGGGATCCGTGGTGATCCTGCAAGCAGCCACGGTTATAGCGATTAGTGGGATAAAATTTTACAGGGAACAACAGGAGCTGGTACGGAAAAGCAATATAATCGTTGCGTTTGGCGTAGAATAAATCGCTGCTGCAGTTCGATTAAAACGCTATATTAAAACGCTATAAGAAAGTATATATCATCTTGATAGCGTTTATCGCTTTGGTTTAATATCGAATAACAAACTTAATTAATTCAGTTTTGGTGGTCAGGTGATCGACAGGTGGAATACTGAAAAAACCTCTGCCAAAGAACTGACGTTATTGGAATTGTATGCCGCAATACAAATCGCCCTTGGAATCGTTATGATACTGGTTGATGTTACCGGTAGGTTGACAATAATTCTCAATGCCTCGTGTTCTTGTGTGTCGAACACTTAAGCTTTGAATACATAAGCGCATTATGCGATTTATTAGGCGCTGCTTTGGGTCCTGCTGGTGGAACCCTGAAAACGAACCAGATTTACTGGTATGCTTCCATTACCGTGTTTATCATCGGCGGACTGGTTATGGCTTCTGGGGTACTGGGTGTGGTTGTATCGCGTCAAAGTGTTGCCGTGAAGCGTCAATTTGATGCAATAACTACCATCAACTACGCGGTGATCGCTTTGAGCAGCTTGGTCTTTGCTCTTTTCGTCATTACCACGGCCATTCTGGTTATGTTCTTTCTCAAGGAAATATACAATAAAGAGTTGTGGCATTTCCTTACCGAAGTTGGAAGCGCAAAACTGGTGACCCTTTTCGCCATCTTTATACTATCCATTAAAACCAGCCGGTTAACTTCGATGCGTGTGCAGCTATTTATTACCTCACTGGATGACATTGAACAAGGAATGCAGAAGCAAAATAATATAATATGATGCCTTGACGGATCTGTTTGTCCAGTCCATAGGTACACGTTATTATACCAAAGTCTTTATATGCTTTAATTGCGACTTTTTAAATATAGATACGTTTCATTCTAAGTGTTATTTGACGGGGTGATTTGACTGGTCAACGCCACATAATCGCTGTTTAAAGTAGATTTCTAACAAATGTGACCCTTTATGGGATTATCACCATCGCTGCTTAAATAACTGCTTTATGTTTTGGTTTACCTTGGAAAATAAAAAACGAATTTGTACGGCCTATGGAAATGGTAGCGTTCTGTCTAACCTGCATGGCTTCTTCCATGACTGTTGGTAACGTATTGTATTTGCTCCATTTTAGGACTATAGAGTGTTCCCCTCAGATGGTCTGACCATAAGACGAACGGAAAAACGTTTTAGTCATAAAATACATATAAAAACATACACAAATATAATTGTAAGTTGCTGATACAGAAGAACCCACTCAGCTGATAAAAGAGATGTTTCGCTTATTGAGACGCGAAACGCTTTTCTCTCGCTGCATCTCGATGAGACACATGTAAAAACTTTATAAAGTCGGAACCACAAAATCCGTTTCACGCCTCCTGTAGTTCTACGTCTGTTTAGATGCTCTCCAGCACTCACAACTTCTGTTTCCTAAATTTGGAGTGACAGGGCATTGAGGCATATACCGGTACCAGTTGCTGTAAGATGTACTCGTACTCAACGTGCTCGAATATAGAACCCGTCGAGTCGAAATCATACACCAATCTTCTGCAACTAAAAAGCGCTGCAACTGGATGCTCGGCTACAGCGGTTCCAACGTGAACGTCGGTGCTCGCAAGTTCCACTGGGATTGCGACTAGAAATAAATGACTTGCTCCAATTGATGTACAGTACTATGTACAATTGTACATATATAGAGTTATATACTGCGTCTATCCAAACCTGGACTGTACTGTAGCCGTCTGTACAAGTGGCACCACAGGGTGTGTTAACGGGGTTTATTAACAGGTAAAAGCACCACGGGGTGTATTAACAGGTAAAAGAAGCACGGGCAGCGGGTATATGTGCGAGATGCTTTAATTAGTCAGTGAAACACCCTTTGTGGTGCAACCTAAAGGGATGACTACAGTACAAGGAAGATAAAGGTTCCCAGGAAATTATCTGTAATTGATCATAATTATCCCGATAACGTCGAGTTCTGGATTCCTCACTTAAAAGTCTTAGAAGTATCGCTAAATTCGACGGATACATTTTAAATTTGCGTGAAATCGTGAATTCCAAATGTAGTAGTAAAGGCGATAAACATTTCGGTTTATCGTACTACTTACAGTAACAAAAAGTAAATGATTCACCATCACGTTACTCACTGCCAGCTTGCTGATCGCTATCGATAACTCGAACAGCGGTTATCTCTACGATGTGGTCTCTGATTATTTAGAAGTATATGTAAAAGTTTTACCATTAAATGCCGATTATGCTCATGGTCAGGTCTTTACTTTTGAATTGGTATCTTGCAGAGTTACCGAGCTTTCAGTATTGCCCATGAATTTTGATAGCGCTTGAATACCGCAGTATTTTCTAATTCGTTTACACAATTCGTTAGCTGGTGTGCCGCATATATGTAAAACTACAGAAGCGTCATTATAAGGGTGACACAAAAGAATTTACTGTACTTACAGTTAGTGTTCGTTTTATATTAATTCGAACAATGCTTGCGCGGCCGTCCCTTTCTTACAGCCAGCTGCTGGCGTGTTGTTTCGGCATTCAGCTGTTTGTTGGATTGGATTTATCAACCTTGATCAGTATAGGTAGCTGACTTGGTTTGGGGTTGAAATAACAACTTGAAGTCATCGAGTGTTTTTATCTTTCCAGCTTTGCACGATTATTCCCTGCTGCATTACACAATTTTCCCGTACAGCATTCCAATGGATCTCGCTGTTATTTTATTGGCTTTTGCAACGGCCACACTAGGATTTTACACACTCCGCTCAAAATCGCGGCACGAAATCATACTGGAATCCCTGTCGTTGTGTAATGCCGTCCTGGCAAGCATAGTAGTCCTGCTCCTCGTCCATAAGCTGGTTGAAATGATATCTTACTCCCTGAACATGGATGCTTTTGGCCCTGACCATTCATGGAAGTTTTGGGCCTGGTGGACGTTTATCCTGTTGTCTGTACTGGTGCTACAAGCCGCCACCGTTGCTGGTATCCGTGGGATAAGGTCATATAGAGAAGAGCACGAACTGGTACGGAAAAGCTTTGCAATCAGTACTTGGTTCACCGTACTTCTATAGGCAGTTATTACGAGTGATATTCTAACGCAATTTTGTGCAACAAAAGAAAGCGAATGCTGGATAGTCCTGGTTAATTTTGATTATGATACTACGAGTATAATACTGTACCTTAGAATTCACAAAGAATATTGCTCACAAATGCGGTTTTGATGTCAAGGTCAGCAGCTGGAATACTGGAGAAACGTTTGCCAGAGAAATGACAGTGCTGAAGCTTTATTCCGCAATAGAAATCATTCTTGGAATAGTTCTTCTTTTGGTTGATTTTGCAGGTAAATTAACATTTTGTTAATTTTAAACTCATGACAGAAGTCATGGGAAATTTTACCGGGTGACGGCGGGTGTATTATTCTATTTCGGTTGTTAGGCGGTGTTATGGGCCCCATCGGCGGTGCTCAAATTTACTGGTATGCTTCAATTATTGTGTTTGTTATCGGTGGACTTGTTACATTCTCCGGTGTCTGGGGTGTGGTTTTATCGCGTCGAAGCGTTGTTGTGAAGCGTCAATTTGACGCAATAACTACCATCAGCTACGCAGTGATTGCATTGACTACCCTGGTCTTTGCTCTTTTCGCTATTACCACGGCCGTTCTGACTGCGTTATTTGCCAATCAAGTACACTTCAAAGAATTTTGGCATTTCTTTACCGTAACGGGATGCGCAAAACTACTCACCCTGGTTGTTATCTTTGTAATGTCCATCCGAACCAGCCAGCTGACTTCCGAGCGTGCGCAGTCTTTCTTGGCGGAACTGGATTATACCCTAGCGGACACCGTTAACACCACGTCGGAGAAGCAAAGAAATATTATGTGGGCATAAATACTACACGGGCATCGTTCTGTGCTTAATTATAACTATTTTTGAAGTCCATACGTATACTTATTCACTCGAAACCTCTTCTCTCTTTTTTTATTGATAGCGGTTCACTATGCGTATGGGCAAATAACGTGTGAAGAAAAGCCTTGACTACACCAACTCTTAATTCAAATTTCAAGGCATCTATGGCTTCCTTTAAAGATTTCATAATAACACAAATAAAGATATCGAATAGCATTCTTGCATTTATGTTCATCACAGCATATAAGTAAACCAGTTCCAAGATGCCGGTCGACTATGAGCGTTATCATTCTACTCATGAGGAATCGCGGATTCTTGCACATCTCCAACTCCTACTCCAGGAATGCATATCTCCAACTTTTGTGCTATCCTTGATTTTCTCCGGTTGTGTGAAAAGGGCGGAGTTTTAAAAAACGCACTTTAATGAAAGCGTCATGTCACGTATTGAAGCACCGGTTTTATTGGGCTTCTGTGTACTGGCCGAATAGATACTAAATATAATAATCAAGAACACTACAGAATATTCCATCCAGTACAGGTCACAAATATGTAAATGTTGCTACGCGCAAGGGCGCGTAGCCACTGCACTACATTACACGTCACTTGCTGTTGCGCCATCGGTCAGGCAAACACAAACGCACAGAGCGCGAGCGCTGTCCAGCATAAAAGAATAAAATTGTGACCTTTTCCATGGAAAATTACATAAATAACGAACTGGCTTATAAGTAACAGCGGTGGGTTTTCTTGGCTGCTTATAGTCGTTTAAATCAGAAATGGTTTGCCTAATTAGGATAACAAAGTGAGCACGCGGTACATTCCATCTACACGAGAGGAATTTTTTGAGAATGGAATGGCGATCCATCGTTACTCTGGTGGCGGTGTATCCAGGTAGCCTGATACAGAATTGCAGCTGCTGATCGAACATGTGACACCATCCAAACCGAATGTGCAATCAGCTGTCGAAATGCTGTGAACGGTATACAAACCAGCTGGATTGGACATTTTAGGGTTGGCTCAAAGACCTGCAGTTATACGAGTAGTAAGGAAACCTAATCGCTTTTGATAGCTTTTTGTCCATATTGAGTTGTGTCGAAGATAAAACGCGACATCAACTCGGAAGTTCCGCAGGGCAAAACCATGTCCTTAGAATTCTCCTATCGAGCGTGCGCTTTGTTAAACTTACGAATTTGTAGCGGTTATCCATTGCCCAGCGATAACGCTACCAGTAACTTTACTGGTAGTTTTAAAGGTAATTTTACTAGTAACCAGTCAGTTCTGACAGCGAGCGTGTCGGAAAATACCCCCTACACTTTTGAGAGTCCACCTGGTTCTGGATGCTTCTGTGGTATATCTATTACGCTTTTGTCCATCCTTGCTCAAAACTATCATTTTCGGTAAGGATATTGGAATTACCTCTTCTGTTTTTAACTAGTTCAATTAAAATTTGTGATTTTCAGTCTGAAGCTTGTTCCGGATTCTGTAAATGTGGTTTTCGAAACGCAGGACAGATACAAATACTACGGTGCTCTTGCCGACGTTTTACTGGGAGGAGTGAATATCAGCACCGTACCGCTCTCGATTAACGCACCCCGGAGCCATCATTTTGGTTTAGTACGAAGCTTTATCGTGCGCGATTACCAGATTGCCATTCACCAAAGATGGCTAGTGGAATCCGGGATGATTGGAGGTTCCGTGATGCGAGCGCTTTTTCAACAGTCTGCCCGCGAAGCGTGGCTGGGGTTATTAGTTGCGGGCATCTGCTTATTGGTCGCTTTTCTTGTCACCCATGCAGCCCAAAGAGATAACGCGATGCGCCGTTCCACAGCGCCAAAACCGCTTATGCATCATCATGGGATCTGGGCGGTCAAAGCGTTTTTCCGTGCAGTGTTGAATATTACTGGAATTTTCCTCAATCAGCGTATGTTTACAGTTTACTTTTGAATCAGACTATTCTAGTAAGCACAATGTATTTCTCGCTGATCTCGCTTCACATTTGGAACCTTTAGACCGCTCCTGAAAACTAAGAAGGCGTTTTACATTTGGCTAACCGATTACCTCTAGTTTTGTACAGTCTGCAGTCTGCACTACATACTCTGTGTAATGTGTTCGATGTTTTACAGAGGACTTTAATCATCCGAAAATGTTTATCGGGAGCTACGTAGCTATATTGCTATGGTTGTTTTATTGTTTCTTCGCAAACGAGGCGATGAAGGCTGGTCTGAGTTCGGGATTGGCCGGTTCCTTGCTAAAGCCGCCTTTTGATACAGTATCTGGTTGTAAGGAAAATGGTTTCCAAATACTGATCCAAGAAGGGACTACACAACTTGGCTTGATGGTTAGCACGCTTGACATGCATATAAAGTTTAAATAGCATGCAGTGGTTCAGTTTTTTGTCGCTTTTCATTGGTGGAAAAATATTCCATTCTTGTAGAATACAATCATACAGACGTACAAAATGCATACGTACCTACATAGGTACATTCATTCTTGCACCCCAACTTATTGTTAGCATGCACTTGCACGCCTTGAAATTTCAGCAGGAATTTGTTCTAGAATCGAAGCGAACTGATAGACCTGATGCCGACAGTCCTAAAGTACAATGCCAGTCCGTCCCACGATGTCTTCCTGGAATATGCAGCTAATGTTTCACAGATTAAGCGAATTGGCATCCTATGCAGTATGAAAGAAATGCCCAACTGCCAAAAAGCCGGTTTTGTTGCGGCATTACAACTGGGACTGTTCAACTTTGTTGGTTTGTTTCAAATGCATCCTCAGTCACATCTGGTTTCGAAGTTTTCGGATATGTATGACTCATGCGCAACAGAAATCAAGAATTCCACTACTCTAGACAACATTACTTGCATACAGTATTTTTTGCTGGTTAGGCTGGAACGGATGGATAAAACAGGAGCACTGAAACGCATTATCAATATTCACACCGGTATTGATTTTATGGCTAACAACGTCCCAAGGACCCCGCAAAAGACCCCATCAAGAAAGGACAGAAACAAGCGCGGTCTGCCGTTGTCAGCATACCGTATCAGCGTACATTACCATCTTGGAATTTGCGGAGCGGCTGCAATTATATTTTTTGTTGAAATAGTTTTTGACAGACTGAAACTTTTCGCTTCCAGATTAAGTGGTTTTTCGTTTTCGCCGATGCCCTGCTAGTAACCCAGCGCGAAAAACCTGTTTTTTTAAAACTTTTTCCTAAGTCAACTATTTTTTATTTTGAAAGTTAGAGTAGATTTGGTGCTAGTTACAACTGAAATCCACTGGTTAAAAAGTAATCTGCAAAAAAAGGAAAGAAAGTACTTCGCTGTTTCTCAACCTGACTTAAATTTTGGTACGTATTTTCTACGTACAAGATTTCTGATAATTACGCCTGTGATTGGCCGGGGATTGGCAGTGATCTGGTGTTTTTCGCTTCTGATAATCGTAATCCTAGTTGATTTTGTGACCGTGCATCCTTATCCAGCCTATACTGTCGGTAGCTCCCTCGAAGCGGTGAATCGGTAATTCGAGTTGAGATGCTTTAATACCGTCAGGAACAGAACAGATAGTAACTAAAAATTTCCCTGAAAATTTAAGTTTTACGAACTGTGCCATATTAAAGTGAACGGCTGACTTGCGAGTTAAAATTACTAACCTATCTCGTGCACCAAGATGTCAGTACAACTCTGTATAAGTGCACAGTGCGCATTCCGAATGACCTTGCAGCAAGTATTGTAACCACTAAGTACAAAAAATATTGTTTTTGCAAGTGCGCGTTTGAGGATATTGTAAGTATACCCGACGGATATGTCAATAAGTGCAATAGTAAGTTCAGAAGGTCAGACATATATTATATTTGTGCTTAATTAACATACGTAGCAAACCGAGCAACAGTACACGTACGATAACTTGAAAGGGGTCAAACGGGTGAGGTAATGGCAGTTTTGTTGCAGTGTGCAAAATGCTGTTGTTTCACAAGAAAATTACTTATAACGCGGTAGCCAATTGGCGGTCTAGCAAATATTCGATTAGTCAATAATTTTCTGATTATCGTAAACGGTAATTGAACTGGTTTTACTTCAAGTCCATATTAGATCCTTTCCAGTTTGCTACCAGTTACCAACATAAAATATTTTGTAACCCATTGTGCTGTTTATCAAAAGTGTTAACTGGACCTCTTCCGATGGCTTGTTTGGTCTTTTTATTTCTGTACATCTCACGACCAAAGAGATAAGATTGCTTCTAGTAATACACACTTCATCATTTATCCAAAACGATTCCTGACATGAGTCGGAACGGTTTATTATCCAGCAGGGGACGGAGATCGTCGAGTAAGGTGATGTTATAAAATCCTTGATAGGCCGCTTTTATTTCAACTAAATCAATCTGCGAAAGCGAAGTTGACAAAATTATTATCTTGGATACTGCTTTGTACTGTATATTAGACCTAGGTGCAAAGCTGAATTAAAGCTTACCTCAGATCGAGATACGATCAAGCGTATTAAATTCCGCACATCATTATTCTGTATGTATTCATTGAGGCAGTATGCAAAGAAGCTGACTCGATCCTCCACGCACAATACTAATAAACATAAAATAGACATAAGAGTATACAGTTGGCTTAATTTTATATACGCTTCCACTGTTGTGTTTTTAAATTCCAACCTAACAAACGCAAGGCTTCGGCAAATTCTGTGGAAAAGAGTGGTTCTAGCGCGGTAAGAACATCAATTCCGGCGAACTGTATAAAGAAAAAATCCTTGATAAAAACTTAAATTGGAGAAAAAACTAATGTTCAAAAAGTCTGATTTACTAACCTTGCGAAATGTTCGAAACGTCTCTCTTAGCTGTTCTCGGCTGCGTGCCGTTAATGTTTGTACAAAGTAGTCAATATCCGGCGAATCGCGGTAAAACTGCTGGTACATTTCCCGGGCATCGGTTTCCGCTGCCATTCGATCCACATTCCATCCGACCACACGTTTGGCCTACAATACGGCTTTTATCAAACAGTGGAACTCAATAGGCCCCGTGTTTGGCCGACGCTGGTTGCAATTTCCTTTACCTCTGCCAATTCACACAGTAAGAGCACAACATCGATGTTTCTCGTCAGCTGTTTGGCCAGATCAGCCGACAGGCGGACTCCATATTCTGTAAAGCGCATAAATCAAGGAACCGCTCTTGAAAAAGCAAAGCGATCTAAAAGCACTAACTTTTTTTATATTGCTGATCAATAGCTTTGAGCTCCTGTAAGCATAACATCAAAGATTATAAGCGTTATGTAAGGTGCGGTTATGCAACATATCCATCTACCGTAGATATTTTACCTACCTTGACGGTCTTACTGCAGAGGATCTCCAGTAAGGCAAAGCTGGTCTCGTTTCCGGTTTCGATTAGCTCGTGCAGAAAGGTGGCATCGAATTCATCCGGCCGCAGAAGGAGAGCGGCCATGAAGTAATCCAGTTCATCCCCGACCGTCTCCATTACATCATCGATCAGGACCTAACCGTTGTGTAAATAGAGCGTGTACGTGACCTTAACGAGGAGGGCTGATTTGAGGAAGTAAGTGGTACTTACCGCATCAAAGACTTCGGTATACACCGATTTCAGTACTTGACGCTGATGATTGGTCTTGGAAGAAATTAGATAAATTAATGGAAGATCATTGGTAGCTACGAAAATATTGAACATAAACAGTACGACAATCAGGTTGCTGGCAATGCTGAATCTGGATATTTGAAGCATGCTAAAACCATCATTACAAAATACAGACGAACTCAAAATTGTCACGTTCAGTTCAGCTATTTAGGCCTTAGCGAACACAGTTACGTGACGGTCAAGCTCTATAATTTTAGCGCTGTCAAGCTGAACTGCCTTATATGTATAATCTTTGCCTGTTTTCTGTTTAGCTTGATTACGATTTTAATAAAACTCAACCATTCAGAATGTTTACGAGGGCATAATTTTCAACAGTCTGTCGCTAGCAGGAATATTTGTGCAGGAAATAAATAAAGCAAACTCCAAAAAGCATTTAGATGTGAAAACACATTTACGTACCGTAATGCTGCATTGCAATCCGAAAATCATGGATATCCCGGTACGGGTCAAAGGTTTTTAAAGGAGAAACGGTGCCGTGTGTCTGCAAATGATGGCTATATATATATTAATATTGGGCTCTTAGCATACTCGAATAAATTTTGTAAAACCAAGTTATTTCTACAAGGTCATGCGTTTGAAGATTTCGAATTAATTTGTTTGGCCTTGTTTAGCCAAATGATCACTTACAAAAAATTTGTATTTATTAGGATGGCCAGAACCCTCTCGATCGGATCCATGGTCGTTGCCGTTACTGCTGTTCTGCGAAGAGGAGCCGCTGGGTCGTGAAAACGGTGCAGTTAAGGTGCCGTTCTGTGTGAGTTTTCCTGGCTTGAGCGTGGCACCGTTCTCCGTCGGCGTCTTCTTCGGGACATCCTTCTGACGGCCCGCTACCACCCGCTTCATAACGTCAAACAGCGGTAATTCCACTACGGATCCAAGGTCATCAAAAAAGTCCCGCTCATATTTGTCGTTATAATACGAAACAATTTCGGCAACATTGGCTTGCTATAAAATATTCGAAATTAAATAGTTTATCTTACAGTAAACGTTTGCTGAAACGCAAATCCACTTGCTTCGATCACATTGACGAAAATCCTAACCAACTCTTCCACATTGCCATCGAGAAAGCATTGCATCAACTTTTTCGCGAAGACATGTTGCGTGCTACTGATCACGAAGTCTGTAAAAGTTGGAAATATTGCATCTGAGGCTCTGAGCATACATCCATTTTCCCGACGCGATTCAATAACCATCCATTCTTACCGAACGTTTCCATACAGCCGAGAAAGGCGTGGCTGCACTCCGCTTCAATGGCATCGAGAAAGTTCTCCCCGGTCACCTGCATCATATAGGTGTATACAGAGTACATGCATGCAAATTCCGTCAATTATATTGTATTATGGCTATTATGCGATTGTTATTTGTTGCTCGGCGTAAGCGAGGCAGGTTGTCAATGCAGATTTGCTACTCGTACTGCTGCCACCAAGGGGCAGGCTGGCCCTAGCAAAAACGCATCGAGGATTTATTGGTACAGCAGCTGTATTGATTTGAGCGTCCATATCCAGTGCACTCAGCCGCCGGAAACGTTCAAGTAAAAATGCGTATTAGGCGGATAATTTCCTGTTTGCGTAGGAGGCATTCTCATGTCGTCTAACAAGAACTGATTACGAATTCCGCTAGCTATCGTGCCGTCTGCGGACTGTTGACTGGCTAAGATTGTCACAAAGTGGATGGAAATTGCTTAAGTAAACTGCATTTTCTCGAAAACGATTTCAGAGCTTTTAAGGAAACTTTTGAAAAGATATCATTGGTTTCCGCTATTATACAACGAGTCATGCTTAGTCTGCACCAGTACAGAACGGCTCTGCTTTATGACTTATACACAGCCAATTAACGTTGTCCTTCAAAAGAGTTTTTCGGAGTTCAACTGGGGAAGGTTTTTTCAACCAGAAAGATAATAAAATTCATATTATCTTTCCGGTACATTGTGAATTCTACATTGCAGAATTCATAATTCAAAAATCAATAAACTTTATAATGTTGGATTAAACAATAGTATCACTGAAAAATAATCCAGCATTTTTCACATTTCAGGCAGAAAACATTCAACATTTTCTTCGTGTGCTGTAAGTATTATTCATTATTGTTTACTTGACCATAGCCTAATTACCGCCTGCAGACCGAATCCGAAAGGGATTTTCGAACCACGATATAAAACGGGCCAACTTCCTACCGGCTTTTGGAAGCGTTCAAAAGTAAGTCAATTAATCAAGATCCTTACCTCTTCAAAATCATAAATGACATCGCGAATATATGCATGAGAACGTGACTGCAGTAATTGATGCAGCTTTCCATCACGTGACGTCCAGCGTGTTGTCTTGGGGGCCTGTATATGCGTGAGCTCATTACTAGAGGGATGCATCTGCCTGCCCGCAGCGATTATCATTCATCTGCTAATTTACGTACTTTGGCTAACAGCAAAGCGTCTTTCCTAATGTTGGTCTCATTGGGGGCGTATCCGTTTTCATTAAATTCGCCCTAAAAATGTGGGATTCTTCCATAACGATCGTTTTACATGACTTCCAGTCACAACAAACCCACTTTGCATATTCCCAAGAGAAGCGTCTTGACTGCTTCGTCATCAACTTCTCCTAGCTCTTCCGCAATGGAAATATCTTGACCTTGTGGAAAAAACCAAAATAACCAGTGAAATTACCGGTTTTTTGTGCATATTATCGATGAGCTTACTTTTGTTGTATTCAGTGGAAACGATCGCCAATGCCTGATATGAAAAAAATTCCAGTGGATAATTGTTTTGATAATTTATATTGTGTATGCAACAGTCTAAGTAGCGCACAGCACTTACGATGTTTGTTCGCAGGCAGAAAAACTCCACTAACTCTCGGTAGTAAGAATTCACATTCTATCGGCAAAAGATATAAATCAAAAATCAATACGTCGCTGGGCTTTCGTTTGAAAACCGTAAGTTAAATTTTCTCACCTGAAAATACAAGCTTAACTCTTGCACATCGGCGAGAATTCTGTCCGTTAATAATTCCTTAATGAACACATGGAGCGACGGTTCTGATGAAGCTTGTAATTCTTGCAAAAGATCTCTCCCTGCCAATTCCCGATATTCCCGGCAGGTTTCCAACCGTTGTGGCCATTTCATATTGCTCAGCCTTTCCAGTACACCTTCCATTGTCTCTTCTGCAAAATGAAAGATTCGTCGCAAGAAGGCATGGATATATAATATTCCACATACTGTCAGCATAATTCTGAATATTTTCTCGGATTTGTGCTGCTTCCTGCTTCGCGACGAACGGTTCCAGTTTTCGCTTAGATTTGGACATTTCAAAGTTTTGGCATGCGTTATATTCCGCAGTAAAAAAATGGTCGGTCGGAAAATGGTCAGAATGAACGTTACTCAAGAGGATTATGATTGTAAAGCAATAGATTTTTTCGATCGGCCCAAAGAATAATTGGGGAAAAGACTGTTCGTTCACCTACAACTACAAGAACAGATATCGAAGATTGAACTATTAGAATTAGGTATGGATGTACTACGTGCTACAACGCTCGATCTCACCTGGCTGCTGGCTCCGTGGTGTGCATGTTGATGTTGATTATCGATTGGAATAGGCTGCACGCGCCTAATTCCACCTGTGCATGCACCATCGTTTTGTGCTGCAGCGGAAGGTTGCATTAGGGAAAAATCAATAGATTGTCGTGTTTACGACTCCGTTTGGCCACCGTAGACAGAAGAGCGCACTGGATCTAAAGGTTTTTTTAGTGCCGGCGACGCCCCGAGCTGGCTCATTTATTACGCAACTTTCACATAACATACTTTCAGAATCTGAGCTACACAAGACTATACACAAGACTAAGTCCACATCTGTTTACTCATCATTTTGGAATCGGCTGTTTTATTCACAGAAAACGCAGCTGTGCATCAAAATGGGACTATGTCTACTCTAAGCCTTTATATTCTGTAGACCAGTGCTCATACCTCTGACATGTTGCACGTTGACTGCAAAGAACAATAATTTTACTTTTTATTATACGAGTACTGGTTTGCAATCTTGTTTCACTATACTGTACTATACATTTGCGACAGCATTAATACGCTGTCGCAGATGTATAGTCGCTGTCGCATTTGTTTAGTACATTACATAGTACATTATAAACGTATGGTACATTTTAGAGTACATTATAAGCAATTTTTTTCGTGGGTTAATACCAAAGTCTTGATTTATGGAAGCTAGATAGTTAAATACTGAAGAATCCGCTGAAATCTAACTTCGATAGTCTGCGCCCTTGTAGGTTCGACAAGTAAAACTTTCATGCTTCCGACTGCGCGGCGCTACCCTGATCATCAGAGCACGACAGCTTTTCTAAAATTTGAGCAACAAATTCATAAAGCCTTTGTAAACTAATGTACTGTAGGTGCTAGCGCACGCATTTACTCTTTATTCACCTGTGGTACAAAGTATTATACAATAACTGTAAACCTCACAATTTTTGCAAAATCAAAATTTCTTTAAACTTTTCTGCTCCTTCCCTCGTTCCCAAAACTGTACTAAACAGTATGTACGCATTTAAAAACGTAGTAGTTTAAAAAAAAACATGTGTTTCAGATAAACCATTAATGATTTTATCAAACTTCAGCACTGTGATAGTGTGACATACCGTCACATACGTACAAGTTGACGGTCAACCAGATTTCTAAATCTGTTACAGTTACAATAAAGATAAAAGGTGGTGCACTAGCTGCAAATTAATTTGTTGTCTGCATTCATGTTGCTTTTCCGCAAGAGCAGCAGTTAGATAAATACTGGTATGTAAATAAACAGCCATCAAGTCACGAAATTTTGCTAGTGCAGTGTCATTTTTATCGATTTGCCACGTATAATACCAAGTTGCCCCACAATTCTAAGCGAAAGTGACCTTGCAAATGTATTTATTAAGTCCCGCAAGCACCTTTCAATGGAATATTTAAGCACGACTAGCGCGCCCGCGCACTCCAGTTTCGCACTTTTACCTGCGTGTTTACTGTAGTCACATTTCTCAAAGACCAGATACCCGAGTACGTACAACCATTCAGACCAGATTGTAATCTGTTGACGTTTTGCAATTGTCCTGTATGTATGTATGCATTATGAAACCGTTTAAAATTGCATGCATTCGGCCCATATTCTGCAACGCGACAGGTATTATTTCATTAAAAGAATTACAAATACGGGTATCGCGGTGTAAGAAGATACGCTTTTCTGGATTTATAAGAAATCCGAATTTGTTCTTTAAGAAGTTTTGCGGACGTTTGGTCATTGTTGGCTTCATGCTAATTTTACATCGGTTCGAATTCGAAAAGCGATACAACCGCCTCATATTTGCACGTAATATTATCTGAACGCTACTCAGCCGAATGGCTGACGACGTAATAACTGAGCAGAATTTTTAGTGCATCAAAAATCCGGTCTTTTGAAATTCGAAAATTGTCCAAGTGGATTGTGGATTCTGCTGTGCTACTGCTGTCTACAGTAGCGCCTGGACAAGTAGATACCGTGTAGAAGAGAGTGCAGTCGTCGTGGTTTTGTTTGCGGTGATCTTTATTTTTGCCGGTTTTACGGGATAAAAGCAAAGAGAATAAACAATTCTATCCCGATGCCTTGCAACTCTACAAACGTCTCTAGCGACCAGAGTGGATCCTCACCAGATGGTCCACAATGGAACGGGTCGACTATATTTGAAACCATCGTTGTCGTACTGGCGTTTATTCTAAACACTGCGGTTTTCATGGTCTTTGTGCGATACAGTCATCTGCGGACTTCATTCACCCTGAACATCATGGCTCTACTGGCATCCAACGTTATTCTCGCTGTCTTCATGTATCCACTGGACATTATCGGAAGCATTTACAGTAGCTGGCCGCTGAGTGTTACAGCATGCACTTTTTACCTGTACGGAGACTGGGTAGTGTCCGGCGGGATGATGCATATGCATGTCCTGATCACAGTTAATCGGATTTGGGCGATGAGGTTTCCTGTATCGTACAAGAATCATCACGGCACCAAACGCGTCAGTTGCCTACTTTTGATGATCACCTGGATTTACGTGCACGCCGTCTGTATGCCGGGTGTCATGCTGGACGCTTTATATTTCCGCAAGCCGTTTTCCACCGGCTGCAATTTGAATAGCGACGCTCTGGTTGCTTGGATTAACACCGTCCAGATTCTAATTTATGATTTGCCGGAATTATTCGTTGTTGGCGCGTATCCTTTCCTGCTTCATCAGCAGCTACAACGGCTGCGCAGATCATTAGCACGAAAAAGCATAAGGTTGTCCCACGTGTCGCCACAGCCGACAGCCAATTCGCTACCCGTACCAGCCTCACCGACTCATGGCAAAAAGCTGTTACGATCCAAAGAAGTTTCGAGAGGATTTATGGTTTTGACCGTAATGACAGCCGGTGTGTTTGTTTGTTGGACGCCGTCGCAGATCTATTGGACCATCCATCTAGCTAATCCGAACATTGCCATGCCAGATTTGTTTTACACTATTGAGTCGGCACTTTTTCTACTGCAGGCGGTCTTGGATCCTGTTATTTTTGTGCTGACCTTTAAAGACTTAAGAGATACTGTGCTAAGATTGACCTCGATACTCGCTAACAAGTGAGCCTACCAGCATGGCTTCACGAGGCTGCTTGTAAACTTGCGCATCAGCTCCGAAAGCTCGAAAGGCGGTAACAATTGAAAAATTCTTTGGAACAAGCCGTTTTGAAACGCGTGCGAAACACAAACTTATACGGCACCTATAACTGTATGAACCTAACGTGTATACAATACGGAACCAAATGTTTTGTCGCAGCTTACCCCACGTTTTATTTTGGAATGATGCCACCGGCCAAGCAGGATACGAATTTCCACTGTATGTTCGCTTTCCCATTATTTAGCAGTGCGTGTCTGCATAACTTATTAGTAGCTTATGGCATCGGTAGGACAGCCTTCAGATTTTTAATGATTTTAATGACCTTTGTTACAAGTCAAGCAAAATTTACTGTTGTGTAAGAAATGTATGGAAACCGGGGTTACTGTACAGACCAATATACCCAGAGCAATAAGGCACTGCGGCAGGAAACGGGTATGACGAAACTTTTACTTTATAACAGCGTACGGTTCTGGTTGGTTGGACAGTCCGTAGTACAACAGCGCTTGAAGTTGTCACCTCCCGTTTCAGCTTTGTAATAACTTACAGTTTATACTCCAACACCGCTCGCAGAAAGCTAACGGAGGCCAGTGCTCTGCGAACCGTAATTCGAAATGCCACTGTTGAAACTGTCACTGGCAGCAGTTTTGTTATTTTTTTGTTAGCAGCTACTGGAGGCAAGAGGATGACCAGAAAGGAATAATATCAAAACCATAACTTCATTCTGCAGGTCACTGCCATTATTCGAGCTTATTCTATAACTGGTGGGGGCAGGGTGTAAAAGGTGGCAGTGGCACCTGCCACTGGCATTTGCCACCGGCAGTGGCATGTGCCATTTTGCGACTGGCAAGAGGTAAAACATGGCAATTTTCAGAAATGTAGAAATAATCAGAAATCAGTCAGCCATCCAGATAAGTGAATTGTAAAACGAAATTGGCGTGTAAAAACTCCTTTGACGGTTTAGCGTACGAGGTTAACCACTTCCTGCCACGACTCAATTGGTAGAGCAAACCTTTATCTCAGCTGTTGCAGTAAACAACCGACAGAGTCTAATCAGGAACACGAACCAGGAATCCTAATTCGAAGTCCTGCAGGACCAGTACAAGAACGTTCTTACTTCCAACTTCCGGTCGCAGTTAGTGCGCGGGTCAATAAGATTTAAGGACACTCAGCTGCCAGCCTATGACCTGTACCGCCTCTACCAACGCAATGAGCGCTCTAACGCCGCAAAATAGACTTATGTAGCACAACAATTTCATAAATTCTTTGTATTGTAATTAGTTTTCATATTTTTTTGTGGTTTTGGATTTTCTGGACTTTGTGACACTTTTTCGGTATGGCTTCTTAGAGCTTCTTAATTTTTTACCTGGTTTTCTAAGACCGACAAGCAAGCTGAATTTCAACAAAACTGTTTCTGCAAAACGTCGCGCGACAAAATCGAAGAAAAGTGAATTGCCGGTCAGTATTCTGTCGTACTGCAGATTGTTTTCATCAGTAGTACCTAGTACGTCGTTGAAAAAATATTGCGAGGCAAATCAGAGGCCGGAAAAGCGCAATATCCTCGAAAACCGCAACTTCCCATGTACAGTATTTCCGGCCCCGGCGAAAGACATGCTGTATAGTCCGCTAGGATGCATACTCAGTGTTGCGAGTTGCATAAAGTACAGAAAACCGAATAACACAAAAAACTTAAGAAAACATAAGAAAATATATTGAAAAATATGAAACCATAAAAAATTAGGAAAATTTATCTATTTTTGAATTTTGGAATTTTAAAAAATTTCGAACATTTAAGAAATAAAGTAATTTAGAGAAACTTTCCTGGTACACGAATTTACTTTGCAGCGTTCATAGCGGTGGCAAGCGCGGTACAGGTCGTAGATTAGCCGCAGACTAGTTGGTGTAGAAAGATCTTTATTGAAATCGATTCCGTTTTATAGATTACTTTTGTCGAAGGCAGACTAATTTCTAGTTGTTTCTGCACTTTTGAAAATTGCCATGTTTTACCCCCTGCCAGTGGCGAAATGCCACATGCCACTGCCGGTGGCAACTGCCAGTGGCAGGTGCCACTGCCACCTTTTACACCCTGCCACTGGTGGGATTATATCAATCAGGATTTTTTTTAAACGTCGGAAGATGGAAAGGCCGATTGAGAATGCAGCAAGTTGTCTAGAGTGCAAAGACATTGCCCAAGGTTTCAGAATTCAAACAAACATCGAATCATCAGACTTTTATCAACGCCATTGCGTAAAAGATTGCATCCATTACAGGCTTTATGAAGGTGAAATGTTACTGTAGTCTGTGTTTATTTTTTATTGTATCAGTAGCGTTACTAGCGTCACAGTAGCGTGCACACTCTAAGTACAGAAAGAGGGGCAAATTGTGTTGATAATTACTATGCACGAGGTAGCATACAATCGCGTCGGCAGCGCATTCATTTTCATTTGTCAACTGTCACTCCTGAATAACTGCCCAAACGACAGTGCGTCTAGGGCAGATGAATGCGTTGTCGATAAGGGACCAAAATTATGTCTCCCTGCGCTGTTTAGTACGGACTACCAGGAGTACCGCAGTATTCGAAGAATACTCGACTACCATCGTTCAGAACGATGCTTGAGACCGTCCTCATGTATCCATGGCTACCCTTTACGTGTCTATACCTGAAATTGCACTTTGTTGTGTTATAAGACGTTTACGCTTATTTGAAGAATTGAGAAATCAGTTCCTGCAAAGTGCCCTTTAGATTGTCGGCAGTCGGCAGGTTATGTAATGCAATGTGTGCTGATTTCCACCCACAAATTGCACTTATGAAAACCTGTTTTTTCTGTTGCATAACCGTTTTGGACCCTTCAGAATTCTTTAGCCAGTAAGCAGGCCTGCGCAGCTGCAAAAAGTTATGAATATGTGGATTAACAGTGCACATTTTCAGTTAAGACTTAATGAGCACCTCTGCATCTGTATTCCACCGAGCCGCTATGTGGCATTGCGCTATGACAGGTATTTGGGACCTTGGGTGTGCAGGAGCGTGTGGCTGATATTTTTCAATCTGACCGTAAAGTTGTACATGGTTGGCGGATGTCAAGTGTCGCGCGGGCTATCTCCAAGTAAGGTATCAAGAGGTCATTAATAACGAATCAACGTTATACAAAATCTTACTTGCTGTAGATTGTATTCTATGTGCTTATTACATTTTGTGTTATCATTCTGTATTTAAACACAGTCAAGTAAAGGATAGGCAGGCCCAATTCTCTGTTGGCTGCAGTTGAAAAAATTGCGGCAGCGGTTGCGGAAGCGGAAAGTAAAATGAAAGACGGTATAATTGTTCTGCCCAGTGATCCCTCACCGCAGAATGAGACGGAAATTCCTAAGGAAAACATCATCAAAGCAGCTGTTGGTGCCACGGCAAGGTTTTCATGTGGACCAAATAATCCAGCCGACACTGGAGTATATTCTGAACTTGACCGAATGTTATGGAGGCATAAGAGCGTCATGATTTACCCGAATATGTCATCTGACCCTAATGGTGGCTCATTCTCTTACAGCCAGACAAAAACAGGGCGTTTTTTCTTTATTCATAACGTTAGCATCAGCAGTGCTGGGAAAGTGGAATGTGGGGTAATTTGTAGAAGTGGTGCAACTGAGCGGTTCTGTGTGCTTGAAGAATATCAGTTCGTACCAAAGCTACGCGCCCACGACGTATTTCGCAATACAATGCGGAATATATCTACCGCCTTTCTGTCATTTGCCATGCCGTGTTCCACACGATTTAGTTGCAGCGAAAGTGGCATAGAATTGTATTTTATTTGGAAAATGAATAATTATTTTTTATTGGCTCCCAAACAGCATTATCTGCAGTTGATAATAAAACGTCAAGATGGAGTGCCCGGAATGAGTCAAGGCGAGGTGAACATACACTACTCCGATCCGGCAGAAAAAGATGGTTTCTGTCAAACAACTTTGCAGATGCAGATGAGGGGACTGACTGGCCATCCTCCTGCACACATACAATGTTGGGTACGAGCAGACGAGCGCAGTCAAGAATGGTTTGTTCAGCATGCTTACGTGAATTTCATTTGATGTGAATGCAGGGATGGCTTGTTAGCACATGTGCCGATCATCTTGTCGATTATACTGCAGAAGTATTGATAATTCGAAGTATAGCTGTTCAGCCGCTTTGACAGTATGTGCTCAGTGCACAATACCGCATAACGTTCTACGCTGCCACGACATCCGTAGCTGTTCTTATTCTTACTGAATTAGCGAGGTCTTTGTGGCAGTTTCTATCTTATTGTCTAAACTTTAAGGAATTACAGTGCTCGTACCGAAAACTTTGCAAGAGGCAAATGATAATTGGTCTGGTAATGCTGTGACAGTCGGAGAAATGCGTTAGTGCGTTTCTCAAATGGCGTTTTACAACAGAAATTGTAAAAGAAAGGCCACACGATCGTTCAGCACTTCACCTTTGCATTCCACAGCAGTGTAAACTGCAAACAGTGTAACTCTGGCTGTGCTTGTCCACCATTGAGCTATTCGCAACTCCTATTAAGAATGAATTCCAACACCACCTTTTGACTACACCCATCCCCTTCGCACACCTCTTGTGGCTATTCTCACCTCTTTATTGCATTTGTTACACAGTGAGTTATTTACACATAAATGTTTGAATTTTAATTGTGATTTGAAAACTTATAAGGTACGCCTGAATCAGCCTATGTATGCCGGTATAAAAAAAGGCGAAACAGTCAATCCCTTGCACAAATTAAATGTTCGCGTAAATCGGGAAGATTTCTGGCTCTGACTGTCGGAGTATTATTGCCAGTTTATTGCTACTCACCTTGACGTGACGTAATTCTCGTCTAACTACCAAATAAATTCCAAAAATTTCACCCACTGAAACTGTTGAAGACAAATGAATGCGCAAAGGTAACGATGAGCTGTCTATCCCGGAAGCCGTACTGGCTGTAAATCAGTAATGATGTTGGCGGCGAAATAAATAATGATATGGGTCAAATTGGCGGTTGGCGATTGCGTACAGTATCAGTATCAGCAAAAAGGAACAGCGAGAAATGTCCAGGCCGCTGCATCAATGCATTGTACAACTCCTCATTCGTCCAGCCACATCGAATTCAGCGTTTTTTAGTCTAGAGATGATCCCTCTCCACTGCCGGACAGTGACGAAATCAGCTTAAAGCAAAATCATAAATACGAACGAATTAAAGCAGCTTAAAGATTAAAACTGCATACGAACAAACGTGACTTACGCAGCACTTTTGATTGTGTCGAAACTCGAAAGGAATTTCCTTAATATCCGATTTTGCCTTACAAGATATCGTACAGATATGTCATGTTTTTTGGCCGGCTTTGTTAGTTGTTTAATGTATTTCGCAATACGTATCACTCCACAATAAATGGAGTTATTCGACAGCCGGGTCGATCTGTTTCTGACCAGCATCAGAGCCAGAATTCAAGAAACTGTGAAATGAGTCAAACTTTCGAATACAAGATAAACAGCAAAAGTTGTGAATTCTTCCGTTCATTAGAAATAATGTCCCGAACTGCAGGGCCAACTGAGCCCAACCCATTGGGGCTCAGCTGATCCTACAAGTCGGGTCTGTTGGGGGCTGCAAAATACACCAAACAATACATAATTGAATGTATCCTTGTTACAGATTCAAGTATCTGTACAATAGCTAGGAACATCCGGTCTCTCGCTTGCTTTGCAATGTTGGACGTGATGCAACTTCAGTGATAACTATGCCCGTGTAGGTTGGTTGAAATCTATGCTGGGAACTGGGTCCTGGGATAAACAAGCTTAATTTGAGCCTATGCGTACATTTGACGGTGCACTTTGTCGGACTGGGTCCTTTAATCTGCTGGTACAAAATGAAAAGTACTGGATGTAGTTTTTCAAAAAGCCGGTGCCATTTTATTATTGTTAGGCATAGACGTTAACATTCTGTTAGCCAAAAGGACAGCAATTGACGAGACAGCGAAGCCTTCGAGCTATTAATTTGCTTTGCAATTAGCGGTACCTAACAGTAGGTTTGAATTACCTACCTTGCGTACAGTTTCTGTGTGTGGGCTTGTTAAATAATTCGAAGGTTGAATCCGTAACTGTTCAAACTGATCGCTGAGAACAGCAGTTAACCGTTACCAGATAAACGCAGTAATATAAAGAGATGTTCCCTGTTCAGATTTTATAACGCGGCTCTTTTATATCTACAAATCTTGCCTTTCTTTCATTTGGCGGACGTGAGTACATTGTGGAAATAGACCTTTCAAGACTTCTGTCTGATTAAAGAACACCAGCACAAACCGATGCTACACTACGTGTTCCGTAATGTTATGCAAAATGTAGCCACTGAGGTGGTGAGTCCTCCCGTTTCAGTACTTTAACAGTGATGCTAAGACGTCGTTACTTCTGCAGAACATGGAACTGCTTTAAATTAATTTATTGCAGACGCACTCTAAGCGGCTCGCAACAATTAGGCCAGTTACTTAGTTTGACCAGCTGACAGATAGATAAAATAAAAAAAGACAACATAATCTGGAGATAAAGCTATATTCTCATTTTACTTGACCTATATCTAGTAAAGAAAATAGCTGCTCGTCCTCTGTAGCGTCGTAATCAGGAAGCACTCCACTGAACTCATCACTGCTTATTAACCAGTAAGTCAGCATGGCGCCCTTTCCCTGTAAAACCAATGGCAAATGGCGATATTATTGTTAATTATTTAGATACCTGCGAGCACGCGCAGTACGCGGCGTTATCTGTTTTCAGTGCTATGTATACCTTGACGTCACGTAATCCTCGTTCAACTACCCGATAAATATTGAATTCTTCTAGTAAAACTTTCGTGGCTTCGGATAACTGAATTCGTAAAGGTAAAGATGAACTTTCCATCCTGGAAGCGGTATTGACTGCAAATCAATAAACAAACGATGTTAACAATAACACAAATGATCTGGACTGAATTTCTAACCACATACCAGTATCACCAAAAAGGCAGTAGCGAGGCATTTTCAGACCCACTATGCCCGCTATCACAGGTCCGCTGTTGATTCCAATCCGAACTTTGAGCGGCTCCGAAAGTACATCGGAAATCTTGACAGTTACCACTGTGCTAAGAATGCTTAATGCCAGATTGGCAATTTCCGCTGAATGTTTATTCCCGTTACGGTTTGGAATTCCGGAGACGCACATATAAGCGTCGCCAATTGTTTCCACTTTGTACACGTCGGAACTTTGTATTATGACGGCATCGAAAGCTGCAAAACACTATTATAGTATTATACGGAGTAAATTTTTATTGACGTTAAATACTCTTACCGGAGTAAAGGTCATTCAAAAGTTTGACAACTTCAAAAGGTGTGTGAGCAGAGGCAAAGGTTGTAAAGCCAACAATATCTGAGAAGAAAACCGTGGCACTCTCGAAGTATTCAGGCTCCACTAATTCGCCACTGGCTAGCTTCGCAGCCAAAGCAGCCGGAAGCATATTGTTCAGCAATGATTCTAGACTCTTGGTCGTCTTCTCCAGATCTCGGGTTCGCTCCATGACTTTTTCCTCTAAATTAAATGCATACCGTTCTACCGCCACCATCATCGTGTCCAAGATGCTTTTCTGCTTCGGATTGGCCATTTTCAGCTGCTTTAAAATCTCGGAAAACGTCGGTCGATTGTGGGGAGTGGTATCCCACGTGGACCAAATCAGCGCTCCGATTTCATCGAACTTCATGGCCAGTTCGTTATAGTACGCCGGGCGCAGTTGCTCCGATTTGATTTGCTTCAGTAGCATTTGCGGGGATTTGTAGAGATCCTCACTGAGCGCTTTCAGTACGGATTCATACGGTTCACAACCGGCGAACGTCTCATACACGACGACACCGTAGCTGTAGACATCGGCGGATTTCTGCATGCCACCGGCGGCGTAAACTCCGGCAATCCACACCAGGGCTTCCGGAGCGGTCCAGAAGAGCAGTTTGTAGTAGTCATACTGGCTGATCTCTTGATTCTGCTCGTCTTGAAGCGCGCTGTGCACCCGCTCAAATGCGTAGAATTCAATTTTTTGGGCTTTATGCAGAGATAGTTGTTCCCAGTCGCCAATGACGACGTTCCACCGGGCATCAATATAGCAGCAGCTTGTTGTTAGCTGACCGTGGATAATGTTTTTCTGATGCAGGTGAGCCATGCCTTTCGCGATGTCGTTAATGATCGAGTTGCGAAAGATGTTGTCCAGGTTGAACTTTGTTGTGCGCAGAATGTCGGTGAGTCTACCTGTAAAGAATCCAACATTTGCTAGTATTTTACAATTGCAGTTTACTTACGTATGTTTTTGTTTCTGGGAGCTAGGTTTTCAATCGCTATTAATAGTGGCATGTCTAAAATAAAATTTCTAACATTTTGAGGCAAGATATAAGGTAGTACAAGGTAGATACAGTTAAGTGCACCATTTGCATAATTACTGAAAAGTAATTAGCAGTTTGTCAAGTGGTTTCACTGCTATGAAAAAAATTGTACAAACTCTGTATACTGTAATTAGTCCGCAGTTTCCGAAATTGGTAACAATGAATTGACCTTTGTGACTGCGATCACTTATTTTAAAAATTTGACATATCTATATACATAGTACATATTTCAATACCTTTTGTAGGACATATACTGACCACGTTCCACCGTTCCTTTCTTTCACAAATTCCAATAAATTTCACGAGATTCCCCTGTGCGATCTCGTCGCGAAAGCGGACCAACGCAATTTTGGCCTGCCAGGTCAGTTCCTCAGGATTCAAATGCGCGCATAATGGCGTCAAAAGGAGATTATCTCCGATAATCTGCTGAATAATTTCTCCTTCAAATCCGGTGGCCATCCAATCGATCATCGTCGAACTGGGGCCAGACTGTTTGGTCTTGGTGCTGGTGACAGAACCTACCGGCTTCATTTGTGCCTCGATCTGATTATTGGACAAGATGAATGAATTCGTTAGGGCGCTCTTATGTTTTTGATACTTGGAATAACCCAACATTGACAGGACGATTAAGACAACCACCATAACAAGAACGATGACAATAGCGGTGGGCAATTTCCACGCGTCACGGGAACCGTTTTCTACGGATATAGCGTACTCCGTCATCTCTTTAACGCTCTGACCCTGACAAATCATCTGGTTGAGCGCTTGCTGCTTGACCTGGTTAAAGGCGTTGTCGTTGAGCGGCACTTTCAAGAGATCACGGGCCACAGTTTGCGCTAAAGGGTCACTCAGTAAATAATCCAGCATACGGTACAGTTCCATGGCGACGGTGCAGTTACGCATGGTTGTTTTACGGATGACAAAGTATGTGAAGCCGGCAATGGGATAGGTCAAGTCCCCTGGAAGATTGTTCAGATCAGATGTTAATCGCGCACTAAAACTGGGTGACGCATCCAGAGCGGATTGAACGTTTCTCAGGTTCGGATAAATCAGGTAGCCGTCTTTATTTTGTAGGCGGGCTTCCATTAGGTTAGAATCTCTTGCATCAGATGTTCCCAAATACCCGATAGAGTACTTGTTCTCCATGATAATAGCGGCTACGCCTCGGCCGGCGTTGCCGCATCGGATTGTTAAACTGGCGTTCCATTTTACCGGTTGTCCGTTTTTACACCCTGCAATGTTCCAGTTAAGCGCTATAAAATATTACTGTAGGCCAGCATTACAAGGCTTCCATATATTTCTATTGGTTATAAACTTATTAATATAATTAATGACACGAATCTATACTTTGCATATTGTGAAACCTTTTGCAGTTCGCTTTAACACCGTACAATAACAAAAATGCATTTACGCACGTAGTAATTATATTAACTGCATGATCGAGAAATGGTGATACGGACCATCGCTAAACCTTGAATAAGTGGTTTTCCACATAGGGCTGAAGCGTCCCAGCGCTCCTGAGAATATCTGCGTTGTTCCTGAGCCATCGGCACGTACGACCACGGTGATTGTGCGGTTAACATCACGCAACGCTTCATTGTACATCACAATCAAAGGATCGTTCCAATAGATTATCGTCCCGTTGAATATACCCACGAGTGCCTCTTGGGAAAGGTTTAAGCATCCAGATAATTCTTGAGAAGCGTTGCTGCAGTTAGGAGAAAGCTCAGGTAGATTGTACGCCAGCGAGACCGATCTAGAACAAAAATGCCGAATCAAGATTATTTAAAGCAGTACAAAGCTTCGATTCCCCAGCAGGTCACAGTTTAGCGGAAATTGTGGACTTCCACCTGATAATAATAATTTTAAACAATAAATGATAATTATAACTTTTAATGTTTTCATTATACCGAATACCTACGTTTGGATTTCGTAAAATGTTTCTGTAAAGGCTATTTCTCTGTAAGGGATCGAATACCGAACGATAAAAATTGGTATATTTAAATACCCGGGACATTTCAATATGGATTCCCGCTAAGCTATATATAGGTTCAATTTCAGAAATCGTCTTTTGACGTGCGTTATGATAAAAGCATCTTACGCGGCCATTGTAGGAAACATTTGGAAGTCAGGAAATGCATCATAGGTTGCATTATTCAGCTCCGCATCCGATCCTGCCACGTCGAATTCACCGGTTTTCAGTTTGGCGATCCCTTCTCCGCTGCCGACGCCCTGATAGCTAAACTCTACTCGCACAAACTTTGAACGGTAGGCTTGATAAACAGGTTTCCAAACCTGCTAACGAAGCAGACCACTTATTTATGTACGGCGCGCAAAGGAGTCAGTGATGATTCATTTTAGCGTAAATTGCGTAAAATGCGTTTTAGCGTAAAAAACAAGTGTATAATGAGGTCACACTTGTATTGTTGCCGCGTGGTACAGAAACTATGCCAAACCATAACTAGAACATCACAAAGCTCCAAGCCGATCAAAAAACCTGTATGTTCTGACCGTTAAATTCAGCACCGATGAAATCATCGCAAACTCTTCTAACCACTCAACTGTAAATTATAGACGCCATACGGTTAATAAGCGTCTTGCTGAGGAAAACTTTTTTTTGTATTTCTGGTAACAAACACTGTTGTGACAAACACTGTAACCGACCTTATAAACATCAAGGGGCAACGTCGAACCTCCAGCATGAATTAATGTCGATGGCAGTTCGGCATTCAGAAAATGCTTGGGCACAAATACAAACACAATCAGCAAAACAGCACACTTCCGTTTTTCCGATGCAATCTTCATGATCACCCAGAAAACGCAATTTTAAAGTCCCTTAACTACGTATGTTCAAGTTAACGAATTAAAGAACGCAGGCAGGTGGAAGAGTTGGGATTATACGCAGTTGCGTGCGGGAAAGTGATAACCATTTTATTGTCACGTTCGGAATAAGCTTCCAACAGATCCGGGATAATTAGGATTGTCTAAGCCGGGCAGCCTAATAGTGCCGGTAGGGACCCAAAGAAAAGAAACGCATCGCATCGCGGCCGTTCAATCGATTTCGACAAGCCGCACGTATGCATGGGCACTCTGCCTATAGAACCCTGCCTTGCCATCTTCCTTTAATCAAGTGCAACAGTATTGTGACCTCGATCGAAGGCGGGTTTTGAATCTGCCATAGAATTCTCAGCCTGAGCATTACCTCAAAAGGAAAATCTGATCCACCCCTTAATGCTGAGTTGCTAGCTGCACACAAATCTGCACAAACGATAATTACGAGTACTAGTACTGTACTTGCAGCAGGCTTGCGTGAATTACGTGACAACTGGCCTGTACCGCAGCATCTTATCTCATATTGTTATACGTATATTATTAAAAAGAGCTGTCAAGCTTTTTAAGCTTTTTTCAGTGAATCTATTATTGCATAATGCACCGGTGTATTTTGGTAAGTACTGGCTTGGTAAAAATAGATATATATATCGGAATGTATTTAGTGATAACTAAAACCGATGAGAGTTAAATTATGATTTCCTTTCTTATTCGAATTTATTTTCCTAAAAGATTTTCTGGAAAGTGGAAGCAGATTTTGAAATCATGTCTTTCTGTGCTGTTCTTCTTCTTTACATTAAACATCACAGTTGTGAAGTTCAGTTTATATCCACTGGTGTCCTCACTATTCATATTTATACAAATACTTTTCATACTTCGGTTACTGCCTTATATGGGCTCCCCTTATATTACTCTTCCTTATCTGGGCTCCCGGGCAATATGAGCAACCCTCTACATGGGCGGTTACGTTATTACTCACACTTTCGCAGCTGTTATCAGTGTTATGACTGACTGAAAATTTTGATTTATTTAAAATACTTATCTGATAATCAAAAAAATTAATTTGATATGAAATTTCGGCATTTTTCAGTTTGTTCATTGGCAAATCCGGTTGAACTTGATGAAAAATATATATAAATAATATTTATAAATAAAATTCATGGATGTGAAATTTTGGAATTCTTTGGTGCGCTCACTGGTAAATCCGGTTGAAAGAAGTAGAAAAGGCCCGTCAAATTATGTTTATCGGATTTATAGCAGGTTCTGATATAAATCCGATAAACATAATTTGACGGGCATTGCTAACTAGCCGGGAGCCCAGATAAGGGAGAGTAATATAAGGGGAGCCCATATAAGGCAGTATTCGAAGTATACGTACAGTATCAGGTAAAGGTAAACGCGTTGCAGTTACAGCAAATTATATGTACGGTTACACCAAACCATGCGAATAGATACGAGATAACGCGAATCAGTGTACCGACTGTGTCCCATACCTTGTAGATCTCAATTGGCAAAGTTGCTCCTCCACTGTGTATATAATGCACCGGAATGCACCACCGTATCGGAAATATCAGACTCGTTGTCGCTATTAATACGGCGAACATCTCTTGAAAAATAGCAACCGCACGTAATTTAAAGGCATTGATCCTTCGTTAACAACTGGCGCCGAGCAATGTCTTTAACAGCTTACGACGCAAGAAAATCCAGGCACATTCTGGATCGTCACCATTTCACCGGCATGATTCAAAATGCGTACACATTTCCTGAAAGGGTATCAAGGACAGAAGCATCTTAATTAAACTTGTGCTCAGGTGCAAAAACCTACTTCCGCCACGCAAGGTATTTGAGCAGGCTACTGCATATTTGTATCGTAGGAAAAAGCACCGTATTCCCATTACTGCAGTTGTGGATACAGTGCGAATATTGAATCTGCTCTGCCAATCCACGATTCAGCGTGCCGGTTTAGTTTCATCCAAAACCAGATTCAGTCAGCTCAATGTCATACAGCTGGGATCCGGTTCGGGATAAAATTCCCATCATAAGGCATAAGTAGCGGTAGGGCTGATGGCCTCATAATTACGATTATCGCTTGCACTGCTTTTGAAAACTGAGATTGACGATGGAAGGACAATAAAATTAGCAAATCAAACATTTTTCATGAACTCGTACAATTTCCGGCAGGTGAATAATGCATGCTCTAACGTGCGTGATACATGTTCGCTTTACAAGAGGCGCTGCTGGTATAGCAAAATAATGGAGCAAAGTGAGTGCGTCTGAAATATTAACCATGACCTTCAAGACTGAAATTTCGATTCTGGTGATCTTTAGTGTGCAACATAACTTACAGATACATAACACGATTATTGCCTCGAAGGCTGTTTTACCGGCTTTCGGCAACTCGATTATCAAATAAGTAACTGTACTATACAGCTTTTCCGAGTTTTCTAATTGTGGCATCCTTATTTTCGATAAATTATGCTTAATCAATTTCCAGAATGCAATAGTAAAAATTTGTTCATACATCGAGCAAAAGAAACATTTCAGAACAATAAAATGGCGGTCGATGTCGGTTCATTTTCCGCTGCCTCAAGGACGAATGCCGCATTGTGTAGCACCGTAGAGCTTACACTAGCAAATCATACAGCGTATAAATCACGGTAATTTCTGATTTCTTAAAGTGTTATTCGGGCCCAGACTCCAACTCTGACTCTGACTACTCAAAGTCTGACTCTGACCGCTCAAAGTCTGACTCTGATTCTGAAGGTTTCTTAATAGGTTTCTTAGTTTTCTTAGGTTTCTTAGATTTCTTAAGTTATTCTTAGGTTATTCAGTCAGAGTCAGAGTTTGGACAGTCAGAGTCAGACTTTGAGTAGTCCGAGTTTGAGCGGTCAGAGTCTGAGTCAGAGCTTGAGCGCGGGCCTGTTATTCGTCACTGAGACATAAAAAAGCGTTAGCAGAATATCGTAAGCTGTATCAGTGTTATGCTTGGAAAAGCATCAGCTTTAGTAAAACCTTCACGCTAAGATTGTTATTAACATAAATAAACAGAGGCATCGTCAGATGGAAACGGAAATAGGATTCTAATTATTAAAAAAAAGTAATATACTAGAAACCATGTTCACTGCGAGGAAAAGGCCAAACATGGATGCCGCAAAGGTTTTTACAACGTAGTGTACTTTGTCGATGATTTCCCAATTATCATCGACAAACTCCATGAAGTCTAGGCTTTCCTCGTATAAAATACATGGTATCAGTAATACTACAACAGCACATATCAGTACGCCCATGACTGATATGTGCTGTTCCATGTATAGGATTAACGATCCCCAGAAGCTTGTACCAGAGGCTATCAGGATTCGGTTTCCAGGATAACGCACAAGTATTGGAGGTCTTTGCGGGCATATCGGGTTTAGGCGAGACTGGATTATCCTTCAACGCTACGTCTGGAACCGGGCAGGTATCGGGACCATGTGGAGCGATTCGGTCAGTAAGTAACTGAATGTTAGAACTATAAATACGAACAAACACGTTAAGCTCTTCGACGCTACAAAACTGAATACTAACCAAACTGGCTATTCGTTATTGACATCGTTAAAAAAAACTGCGGTTTTTAAAAATAAAACACACCATGCCATCTTTGAATCCGTTAGAATTTGCTGATTTACTGACTGATCTTCGTTACCTCATGACTTTGACGTAGTGACTGAGGATTTGCAGATGGGTGTGTGTTGTTAGCGTTGCCGGAGTCACATTCAGTGAACTGTGAAGCTGTTGATCATCAAAATCCGGGAATGCGGTGGTGCCACAGTAGCCGCTAAACGTCATGAAAATGGTAACGCTGCACAGCAACGGCAGTAGCTTTGCAAAGTGATCATGTCGGGTACTACAGCTAAACCGAAGACAGACCTATGTTGTTCCGCAGCACGAGAAACTTTTCTAAAACAGCTGGCAAAAATTTTAAAGGGCTTAAATTTAATAAGATGTAATCATGCAGGCCCGCGAAGTGCTCCTGAAATGACAACTAGTCATTAAACTCCACACGCGTCAGTTTGGCTTCGTCTTCTAATGATGTCTTTTATGGTGAAGCAGTTGCGACAGCATACTGGCGTGTGCAACAAGTTCAAAACTGCGGGAATTACTCGCATCATTTCAAACACATTCACAACCCAGCTCTCTAGAGGCCTTTGAAGAATTGGTCGACATTCAAGTAGAATGCGAAACTTGCTTCGTAACCGCATATCGTTGAGACATTTCGTCTAAATCAATTATGTGTAGTCTATAGATGAAGTATTTTCTACGTCAATCTAGTGTCCTGTACATTTGATTTTCTGCCGGATGGATACATACAATGCTGCGTGAGCATAGAATACACTTTTAATAATTATGTTTTCCGTGATCAACACATATCATTGGATGTGATTTGATTTTTACTTATTTCACTTGAGTGGAATCTAACAACAAAAATAACTGGGTATCATCTGCAGAGTTATATTCAGGAAGCACTTCTTTGAACTGATCACTGCTTATTAGCCAATAAGTCATCATCGTTCCCTTTCCCTGAAAAGCAGAAAACAGCTACAAATAAATGTTCATCAGTGGTTTACTTTTCTAGTTGTACCTTTACACTCTGCATTCCTCGTTCTACCATGTGATAGATATGGAATTCATCAAGCAGTAATTTTGTCGCTTGCGACACCTGGATTCTTAAAGGCAGAGACGAGCTCTCCATGCGGGAAGCAGTATTTACTAGCGAAAACCCGAATGAAAAAGCGTTCTGTCTGCGTAGGAACGTGTTCTGTAATATCGTGCAGTGTGACAACGACAGTTGCATACCGGTATCACCGAAGAGACAGTAGCGGGGCATTTTCAGACCCACTATGCCGGCTATCACAGGTCCGCTGTTAATTCCGATCCGAACTTTCAGGGGTTCCGAGAGTACCTCGGATATTCTGACCGACACTACAGTGTTCAGAATACTCAGAGCCATGTTGGCAATTTCCGCTGAGTGCTTATTGCCATTGCGCTGAGGAGTACCCGAAACACACATGTAGGCATCACCAATTGTTTCCACTTTGTACACCTCTGCACTTTTTATTATCACTCCATCAAAAGCTGCAAATAAAAACCTGGATTTAGAAACATCGTATATTGGAAATAAATAGCCTATACACGCTGCTCATCAGCACAAGTGTAGCAAAACTGCTGGTACCCAAAAACTCTGATCGATAAAAGCATTGCCTCTTTACCTGAATAAAGGTCATTCAGAAGTTTCACAACTTCAAAAGGCGTATGTGTAGAAGCAAACGTCGTAAAGCCGACGACATCGGAGAAAAATACCGTGGCACTCTCAGAGTACTCAGGCTCAACCAGTTCTCCATTGGCCAGTTTGGCAGCCAATGCCGCCGGTAACATATTATTCAGTAGTGATTCCAGGCTCTTGGTTGTCTTTTCTAAATCTCTGGTGCGTTCCATCACTTTCTCTTCCAAAGTAGCAGCATAGCGCTCCACGGCTACCATCATGGTGTCCAGGATACTTTTCTGCTTCGGATTAGCTTTCTTTAGCTGTTTTAAGATTTCCGAGAATGTTGGACGGTTTTCTGGATTGGCATCCCATGTCGACCAAATTAACGCACCGATCTGGTCGAACTTCATGGCTAATTCGTTGTAATACGCCGGTCGCAGATGATCGGATTTGATTTGTTTCAGCAGCAACTGGGGAGATTTGAAAAGGTCATCGCTCAAGGCTTTCAGTATATGTTCGTATAATTCACAACCGGAAAATATCTCGTATATAACGACTCCGTAGCTGTAAACATCAGCGGGTTTCTGCATACCACTAGCGGCATACACGCCGGCTATCCAAATTAGCGCTTCGGGAGCCGTCCAGAAGAGCAGTCGGCAGTAGTCATATTGGTTAATCTCTTGGTTCTGTTCGTCGTGCAAAACATTGTGTATTCGTTCGTAGGCGTAAAACTCAACTTTGTTGGCTTTGTGCAGAGATAGCTGCTCCCAGTCTCCAACGACGACATTCCAACGGGCATCGAGATAGCAGCAGCTTGTTGTCAACTGGCCATGGATAACGTTCTTTTGGTGAAGATAAGCCATGGCTTGAGCAATGTCTGTGATAATGGAACTTCGGAAGATGTTGTCCAAATGGAATATTGTGCTGCGTAAGATGTCCGTTAACCTACCTTCAAAAATCGTAATAACTAAATCACTCTACAGGCGTTCAGCTGTTCATGCGAATGTCGCAGTTTAAACATTTACTGGCCGTCGCAAAATTAAGAATTCGAATTCTCCAAACACTTTGGTCGTTCTAATAAATAAAGTTGATTACTCACAACGGTTCCAAATAAAATTACTCGTACTCGTCTTTACTTATATTTGTATGCATACTCGTATAGTGTTACAACAGAGTATCTGTATGTATCCGAAGGCAAAAGCACAGGCTTTGTTACCACGCATTAGCTTTACCTTTAGCGGGACAGATGCTAATAACGTTCCACCGCTGCTTTCGCTCACAAATTCCAATAAACTTTAATACATTTCCATGAGCAATGTCATCGCGAAAATGTACCAGCATGATCTTCGTCTGCCATCGAAGCGTCTAGATGGTAGCATAATGTCGTCAGCAGCAGATTATCCCCTATCATTTGATGCACAATCTCCCCTTCAAATCCCGTTATCCAGTCCACCATTTCTCCCGAACTGGGACCCGAATGCCTGGATTTCGTGCTAACGGCCGATCCAACCGGTTTGGCGTGCGCTTCGATGACCTCTGCGGGAACGATAAAAGAGTTGGTCAGCGCACTTTTATGCTTTTGATACTGCGCAAAACCCCACACGGAAAAAATGATTAAGCCAATAGCCATGACCAGAACGATGACGATGGCGGTAGGCAGTTTCCAGGCGTCATGAGAACCGTCTTCTAGCGACACAGCGTAATCCGTCATTTCTTTGACATTACGGCCTTGGCATGTCATTTGAAACAACGCTTGCTGCCTGACTTGATTGAAGACGTTAGCGCTCAGTGGGACTTTCATCAGATCCCGTGCTATAGTCTGCGCTAAAGGATCACTCAGCAGATAGTCAAACATTCTGTACAGTTCCATCGCAGTGGTGCAGTTGCGCATAGACGTTTTCCGTATTACGAAATACGTAAAACCGGCGATTGGATACGTTACATTTCCCGGCAGATTGTTAAGGTCGGATGTTAAACGCGCGCCGAAATCGGGCGCTGTATCGATAGCCGCTTCGACGCTGTGGAGAGTTGGGAAAATGAAGTGACCTTCTTGATTCTCCAGTCGAGCTTCCATCAGATTGGAATCACGTGCGTCAGATGTGCCTAAGTAGCCGATGGAGTATTTGTTTTCCAGAAGAATAGCGGCTAAGCCACGTCCCGTGTTGCCGCATCGAATATTCAGCGTAGAGTTCCATTTAATTGGTTTTTCGTTGGATTTGCATCCTGAAAATGTTAAACCAGACAATAAATCAGCGGAGAAAACTTTAAAAGCCGTAAATTACTGTAATACTTTGATTCTGGCTTGCGTACCATCGCTGAATTTGGAATATACTGTTCTCCAAGTATTGCTGAATAGCGCCAACGCTCCTGTGAATATCTGGGTCGTGCCTGAACCGTCAGCGCGAACCACAACGATGGTTTTGTTATTGACATTGCGTAAAGCTTCGTTATGCAGGATAATTAATGGATCATTCCAGTACTGGATGGTTCCGTTAAATATCCCAACAAGGGCTTCTTGGGTTAAGTTTAAACAGCTGGACAGATCATGTGATGCCGTGCTGCAGTTGGTCAAAAGCTCCGGGACGTTGTATGGTACCGACACCGACCTGCCATCATATTATTCTATCACCAACTTAATATTATTCTGGTATACTTGTCTGTGCAATCAGCAGCATTACTGCAGGACCATTTGGTTCTTTTAATGCTATTATTAATTTTGCCCTCAAAATTCCCTTAACTACCGGCAGTCTCACTGTCGCAGCAGTGCACTGCTGCAAGCGGAACGCTCCTAAATAATTTTCAGTACTGGATAACCACCTGTAGAACAAACTGATGTCTCTCCGAATCAAATTATTACTTCGAGCGGTTTAACATTAAAATAATTTGACCTTACGGGTGATTAATTTGATGTAAGCCTTTTCACATCTGATATCGCTGATGCACCTAGTAGGCGGTATGTGCCTTACTCTGCCATTGTGGGAAACATTTGGAAATCCGGAAATGCATCGTATGTTGCATTATTCAGTTCCGCATCCGATCCTGCCACGTCGAATTCACCGCTTTTTAATCTGGCAAGGCCTTCCCCGCTACCTATGCCTTGGTAGCTGAATTCTACCCGCACGAATTTAGAACGATGTGCTTGGTAGACGGGCTTCCAGACCTGCTAATCATACCAACATTCGGTGCATGAATGCGTTTTGCAGAATACATGTATATCAGCCTGCAAAACGGAAAGTGAAAATTCAACCTGGTTTCTGGAAAAGCTTAAACTAAACAGGTAACAAAATCGTACCGTCGTTATCAAAATTATATTACAGATAGTCAATACTGCGAAGGAAAGAGCTTTGATATCCATATTTCGAGCAGATCCAAGAATGTACTAGTATTTTTATTTATACTTTGCGTGCATTCGTGACGACATTAAATTTTATTAGTTACTGAAATTACCCTTACGACTTAATTATAAACATGCTCTTAGCAAAGGTGAAAAGGTTGATGCACTTCCGATTCCTCGGATGCCTTTTAACACCGGCTAAACTATACTTATCTAACCGCAGTACTGTATACTGTAGAGCTGATGTTAAGAGTTTACGGTACAGTATGCAGGATATCATATCATAAATAATTCTATATTGCTGTTACTACTCTACCTTACCGGTTAGAACACGGCATTTAATTCGCATACCTGCTGTACCGGTTGGATAAATCTGCCAGCATACTCTTACAACTGTAAATAGAAGTGTACGCAATGTACATGTATGTACGAGTACAAATAAATTCAGCTACTGCTGATAGTGATAGTTACGGTATGGAGTTCACTAAACTTCGTTTACAGCATAGCTATTAGTAGGTTTTTATATTTTGTATAATGTAAAAACACTAAAATTAAACTATTATTGAGAATGATTGAAAACTGATACTGCAGTTCACTTATAGGCTGTTCCGCCAGAAACAGACCTGGTAGACATCAAAGGGCATTGTAGAGCCTCCGGCACGCACAACTATCAATTGTTGTGTGGTAGCGTCTAAGACCCCGGCGAATATGAGCAAAAGTACAATCGTAACACAAAAGTCTGCCAAGAAGGCCATCGTTGGAAGTGTGCTATGAATGTCATTGTCGTCCAGCAAACATGTTTCTGGAAGCGAGGTTTAAACCAAATCTCCAACGCGGATTAATGGGATGGGTATTTTTTACTTCACAACTCCAGCTGCAATTTAAAATTTCCAAAGTTGTTCGTACATAGGCTACGGCCTACGTACATACTACAAAATAATAAAAGTTACAAAACTCTGCCCGTTTTCAGCTAATATTTTTCGGGAATAATTTTCGGCACAGTACTTACTTATTGTCATTGTGGCTACCAACCGGAAGTGTGTTTCGGCGATGAAGCCCCTTAGCTACACGTATAAGAGGCTTCAGCTCGATCCGCTAGTGACGCCTCAAACCAAAAACTGAAAAACGTTTGACTTCCTACAATCCACAAATGCAAATAACCGAAATAAACGCAGAACATGAAATGCTGTTTTTCCTGTACATTTTTCCCACTTGCGATTCCTTTATTTTATGCCATCCAGTAACATGAAAAGCAGGCTTAAGCAGCTGCAGAATTTGGTTTTCCCTTAGCGATTTACAGTGCTCGTCATTCGTATTCGTCTCTGATCTGAGAATCTTTACAGCGCTACTTAACCTACATAGTTGACCCCGCGCAAACTGCGCGGAAAAAATAGGCTAAATAATTAAGGTTAACAGTTTTTCCCGCGCTTATTTTATTAATAATGGCTAAATCAACCCCAAAACTATTCTATTGTAACCCGGTTTTAAAATCGTTTATTATTAAATCTGCTCCTGTGCAAAATATGCGTTTGATTACCGGCGTTATTTAATTTTTAACCTTTAAACTGTTTTTCACTTCACGTCTATGTGATTTACAGAATAAGAACCCCAGAATAACAAAAGCAGAGCTGATTTACGACTTTCGGTGATTTTCGACTTGTTGTTTTTATTTTAGACTTTTAAAATGGTTGCTTACCTACTTACACTTCAGTTTCACCTATTACCAAGGAAATTCAAACTTTTCAGAACCCTTATGCAGCGACTCGCTTGCTGCTCCGCGAGCTCCGCTCGCGCCGCAGCTTGGCGTCGCTTTCGGCTCTGCCTTCGACTGATAAAGATCATAGAAGTAATTTGTGAAGTAATTCTAGCCGCTACTAAAAATTAGGCATGTACAATCAATCGGTTTTGAATAAAAATTAAGTAAACGATGGGAGAGCACTTACAATAGTAATATAACCAGTGACGTGATTATTATTAACCGCACAGTACGCACATTATACATAGAACAAAAAAAGGGTTTTCGGTTTGCAAAATATTGTGAAAAATTGCCAATATAAAGTAAGTGGTGCCTGACTGTCTGTGTGCAGTGTGCACTGTGACAGTGCACACTTCGTAGAATAATAACTGTATTGCGGTGACTCTCAGATCGCTATATCTCAGCTTACCGCTACATCTCAGCTCTCTGCCGGCTGATCCGAAAAGGCTGCGTTTTGAAAGAAGCTTGCGAATATACAAAGTACATAGCAGGCGTTTAGCACATCAGCACCAACAGATTTGATGTACAATAACCGCTAAAAGCGCGTGTAGAACAAAGGGTAGCTGGCCTGCCCTTCTCTGTGACTTTTTTGAAAGGGAGAAGGGAGCTGCAGGACACCTGCCCTTCCCTGTGTCTTTTTTGAAAGGGAGCAGGGAGCTGCAGGACACAAATACCTACCGGTTGAAAAAGGCGATTTGGACCGTGCTGCAGGATCGTCGCAGAAAACGGTTTGCAGGGAAGAACGGGTCTGATTCAGACCGCTCGCCATTTTTATGGCTTTTGGACCGTTCTGCGAGGCTGCGATGTAGCGATCTGAGAGTCACCGCAATACAGTTAATAATATTAATGACTTCCCATTCCCATGACAGTAGGTACTGCGCCAGCCCATGGCTGGGTTGTTACGTTCACATTGAGCATCCCGGCTCGGGAGCCAGCTACGTAACCCGCAGCTAGTTGTGAAATGATGTCTCTTTTCTCTGATTGGTTGCCGCAGTGTTCCGTAGACTTTGCATAGTAAGGTTTTCCAATTTTCTTCGGAAACTTATTTGTTTTTCCAAATTAAATGCATATTGTACACTTCTACCAAATAAGCGCTATTAAACGATATATAGAGAATAGGGATTGACCCAGTATATCGTTCGTAGTAGGAGCGCAAACACGCTGGCCACACCCCCTCTTAATCTTTTATTAATAAGGATTCTGCGTTTGTGTAGGTGGATCTGAAAATGTGACTTGGATATTTTGCTGTTTCATCTTTACCAGAATTTTATCCTCAGTCTACTGTATCCCCTTATTTTTATCCTGATACACTTGCCAATATTCTTGCCTTTGGCTGGCAGCAGCAGTACGTAGACGACACTGGGCAGGGAAAGATCCGCCATGAATACTCCACAGCAGCAGTCGCCATGGCGCAGTCCCGCAGTGGGTGGCATCGCCACCACCACCACCATTATCAATCAGATCTGCGCTGATTGTGGCGCTGCAGGTACGTTATATTCCCTACTCTTCCAGTGTACCATGACCTGCAGCTTCGGTTTCCACAGACGCCACGTGGGCCTCAGTGAACCGTGGTGTGCTCATCTGCGAGGAATGCTGCAGCATCCACCGTGTACTGGGCCGTCATGTGACCCAGGTGAAACCCCTGCCCTTAGCCCGTGCCCGGCCGCAGCGTCGCAGCACGGCATCCAGTGCCAGCGGCAGTCCGTCCTCTAGCGCCGCCGCCGGATGCTGGCATTGGCCACCCACATTGCTCACCGTAAGATAAGGATCAAGCTGTATCGAAGCATTGAGTTTTTATTTAGAAAAACCGAACTCTTAATTTATAGAATAAAAATATTCAGGTACAGTATTTTCTGAATTACTTAACAGAAATGTTTAAAAAAAACATATTTTGGGAAATATTTCGGGCAGGATATTAATTTTTTCTAGATAACAAAATTTTATTGTTAAAAAAGTATAAAAATATTTATGTTTTTTTTAAAAATTAACCAGAAATATTTTCCAATATTTTGGGACGTGTGGGTCAAGATATCTCCGTTGACAAAGTTTGAATACTTCTACTGTAAGTCTGTAACTATATACTGCGGTACGATAATAGTATTAAATTATTTACAACCTGATCGACAGTTTGATAGTGAATGTTTTTTTGTAGATGGTAACCAGCCTGTACAGTAAGGGTGCCAATGGTCTGTGGGAATACTGCCTCCTCCATCCCGGTTCCTCGTCCGGCCACACCAGTTTGACGTCCAGTGGGAGCAGTCCATCGGCGCTGGCGGCAGCAGCCGCCACAGGGCATAAGCAGCACAGCCAGACGCAACGCCGCAAACCGTCCCCGAAAGATCCGATCCATCCCAATAAATCGGACTTCATCCGTGCCAAGTATCAACTGCAGTCATTTATTCACCGTCCCACTAGAGACGATTCGCAAAGCACATTGGAGGATGTCAGCCAGGCACCGCTTTTGTTTTTGAGCATTTTCACATCGTGTTCATATTTTTCGCATTGTTTTTGAGCCTCTACTATGTTTATTTCCTACTATGCAAGTGCCGCTGTGTTGTCCTCTCCTGTAAAGATTTATTCTAATAGTAAACGATATTCGATTTGTCTAAAAATTTACTTTGTTGGTGAAGGCTGATATGAACTCCTGACTTCTGAGTAAGATACACTTTTTTTAGCAACTGCTTTAAAGGGTAATGAAACATTTTTTTCACTTCTAAACAAAAGTCGCAAATAGAAAGAATTGCATTTGTTTTTGTAGCAACTGCATTCATCCGTCAGAACAGGCAACATTGAAATATCTTTACGCCTTTAATGCTTGGGAGCTGATCCGAACTATTGGCATCGGGAAAAGGGTAATCGGCCTCTGCACGTGGCTGCCAAAGCTGGACAAGCATCGCAGGCGGAACTGTTAATTGTATGCGGCGCTGATCCAGGTAAAACATCTCCAAACGGGTTTGTTATAATTTTGCTCGAAAGAACTGATCTGTCTCTATAGGTGCTCCTGATCGCTTGGCGTTCTTCTTATGCAATCGTCGACCGGATCATGCAGCCGGACAGCACTTCCCATACCAGAAATGGGGGATCAGTATGTACCGCTTTTTGGTAACAATCATCGTTGCAGGCTTTATGATATTCAGCGGGAGTTTGCTTTTTTAGCTCTTCTGATCTGTCAGAGCTTTCGAAAAGCGCTCGACGAGCATTGCATGCGCTCAGTAACAGCCTTTTGGAAACGTTAGCTATGGAAGTGGAAAGTACGTTGAAGTGGATCGGCGCGAAACGGAAGCTGGTGAGATAAAAATCATTTGGTTTCTGATGCCCATAATGCTTGTCACTATGACTTATTTTGCTTGTTGTTAGCTTGCCAAGGAGAGGATGCTCACACGCCCACACACCGCCGCCCATCCGGATTTTTGCCGGTTAATCCGAAATTATCTTCGACGCATAATCAAATGCGTCAGAAACTGGGCACGCTAAACTCCCGTGACTTAGCCGGCCTGATCATTGATTTGCTGACCGAAATACGGCGTCGTCAAGGCGGCGGTGACAGCGCGCGGGCCCTTCCTGCTCCCGTGCCAACACCCCAGCAGGCGACGATTCTTTCCGTTTCCAGAGCGGCTTCGCGCGGGCCTAGCACTGAACGGGAAGTCGATCGAGATGTCGCAACCCGGGAAAGTCCGGTGTACGACGTGACGCTGGACGATCGTGAGGATGAAGACTATTTGGATTTTGCGCCAGCTGCCGGCGCCACCCGTGGAAATGCGCAAGTGGTGCGCGCGGGAAAGGAGCCCATTTATGCTCAGGTGCGGAATGTGCGTTTGACACGGGAGACCAGCCAGCAGAGTGTGACGGCGGAGCAGTATATGGAGATGAAGAAGGCATTGGATGAGGCGATAGCACGGGGAAAGATCTGTCAAGAACGGTGGATGCTTGATGCGAAATGATCTCGAGCGCTTGAACAACCAAGTGAGTGAATATCAGTTAATTTTTTTAACGTACATGTATTCGTTGATTATTGCAACACCATCACCGTTCTGTTTAGTGACGCTGAACGCTGTGATGTTCATCCAGGTTTCCGTTTTGCTGAGCGATCAGTCGAGGAAGATCCAGGAGTGTGGCAATATGCCGGGAGGCTCAGATTCATCTGTGGCACGTCCCGTTCCATTTCCGCGAACGCTTCGGGATGACTCCCGACTTGCAGATACAAACGAAGAATCTAACGGAAACATTGACGGGTATGCTTTCCACATCGTTTTTTTAAATGATTTCTAAATGCCGCAGCAATTTTATCGGGTGAACTTTTTTTTCTCGTCTATGGTAAAATGAAAAAAATGGATTGTTCAGTAAATTGACTAATTCTTCTGTGTCAAACGGGGTTATCTGCAGATACTTACATGAAACATTTTGTTGTATGTATTAATTACAGATGTACGTAATTATTACTATTCTCAGGTCTCCGAAGAGGAGCATCCGGCCGGACCAGGAATCGGTCAGTGGGTACACGTCCCAAATCACACAATCCATCCATGAGCTCAAGCGCGCGGCGGAAAACGAAGATCATAACGTACTGAGTAAATGTTCGCAGAGAATCCACACCTTGACCCATAATCTCTGCAACCACTGTTTACCCTTTATGGTACGATTTTTGCGTCGTACGGTCAGAAGATTTAAGTCGTCTTGATTGGATTCTTTTGCAGGATGGAGAACGGCCAGCGGCGTTGTCCGACCTTTTGACCAGCTCCAACCGACTTTTGACAGATTGTCTGGAGTTTGTAAATGAAACTACATCGGGTTTTCCGGATGGAGATGCGGACAGATCGCCAGGCGATAACAGAGCTAGTAAAACTAAAGCGGCGCTGAAACAGATGCTCATCGACGATGCGTCGATGCCTATAATGTGGCTATGGGTTTGAAGAATATTCTTTTGCTTTACACGAGCTTGGGCAACAATGCGGATGCGGTTCACAGCACTCCATTCCCGAAATAGGAATTTTGTAGTCGTGCGATATTTAAGAAAAATTAATGAGAATATGACGGTTTTTACCTCTTTGTTGTCTGCGTATCTTTTTAGCTTTTTACGAGTGCTTTTTGTGGCTTATAAAGAGAAGCAGATGGTTAAAGAGTTCTAGTTCTGACAAATGTCGTAGAGGTGAACGCGACGGATCCGTAGAAAAAAGTTTAGACTGCAGAAGGCGCTATAATTCTGCATATTTCGATCGTCAGATGTCAAACACCACTTTTTGAGGTCAAATAATTTAGCAGTTCTAACGAAGTTGAGTTTCTGACTGTGAGCATTACGATTATAACTTGGCACAAGCATAGAGATGTCGTGTATAAGCGTTCACACCGGTTAAGGTTCCATGAACAATCTTTACTCTTCCACGCCTGTAATGCTCAATCGGTAGGCAACTCTATATCTCAAACTGTAACAGATAAACTACGGTGGAAATAAGAACGACTCAGGAACAAGAGAACTCAGGAATCCCTCCGGAACACTCCAACTACAACTTCCGGTCGCGAGTCCTGTGAGGATCGGCAAGAGCGAGGACGATTGTGTCACGAGCAAACCTGTATTGTATGCAATAATCCGGGAACGATCATGTACATCAGAAGGAACAAGTATTGCTGTCTCTTTATCCAATTCACATCACAGTTCACAACGCAAGGAAATCATAATTAGAAAGCAGTCTCCAAGTCGATTGATTAGCGACTGCTGCCGATATTAGCGACAACCAGAACTTATATAGACTCTGCGTTATGACATCATATACATCGCTAGTAAAAGAGAACAGCAAATCACAGCATTGATTGACTAGATTATCTGTTATGTTGCAGGTGGAAGGCGGACAGTCAGCATCCGTACGTACACTCCGGCGTGTGATCCTACTCCCACACGTCACCCCCACGAACGATGCTTGGCCGTTCCAATATAAACAATCCTTCCCGCAACATCCCAGTGCGATTGTGCACTTCCATCCATCCTGATCCCGCTCCACCGCACAATCCACGTGTCCATCCGATGCCCAATGTGACTGTACGCCGCGATTCCAAATGAGTTAGTGTGGAATCCTTGGCGAAATGGCATCCGGAAGTCCACGGGTTTGAGCAGGGCGGAGGTCCAAGGATCCAAGAGGGCGAACTATGAACTACTATTTACGTATGCCGTTTTAAGATGGTGTTTGTATGTACAGTATATGGCATAAAGCTTTATTGACTGTAAAATTAAAATCTTGAAGAGGGAGTGTGGTTGATACTGCTACTACTATGTATTAAACAAACGGAACCGCAAAGTCAACCAACTGGTATTCTTACGAATTCTCGAAAACCAGGCCACATCACATAGCAACAAGGTCAACAAGAACAAACAAGCTATAAGATCATAAAAAGAAATTACTGGTAAGCCGGACAAAATGTAAACCAGAAAAGGACAACAACCAGAAAGAATGAACAAGGTTCAGTGCATCAAGGTGATTCACAAAATAACATTACGACCAGTAACACACAACAGGTGAGATCAAAAGGAAAACAACAACGGATCATTGAAAGGTTATTGAAGGTTACTTACCAGCATTAGGAGCCAATGAGAACAGACCAGTGATGCCACCAGATCCAGATGCGGCTGCTGCGGCATCGAGACGGCGAGAAACATCAGCAGCCATCTGTCGGCGACGATCTGCATCCAATTCGCGCTGCTGCTGCTGGGCCAAATAACCAGGCACAAAATTATGCTCAGCTGAACCAACAGGGCCAGAAGGAGCAGAAGGCGCTCGTGGGCGATCAGCTGGAGAACGGTCGCGGGCATCGCGGACAATCGGAACTGCAGGTAGCGGCAAGACATTCGGCGGGAGGCCCGGAAATTCAGCGTTCTGCTGGGCCTGCTGCTGCACCTGCACGGGTGGAATTATAGCCGGAGGAACGACAACATCTACGGCTGGCGGGCCAGGTAAATGGACAGCAACGTTGACACCATTGGGCTGACCTGGAACCACATTTCCGTCGCCTTGGCCCGGATTTGGTGCATTCGGCGCTTGGTTTGCCGGGAGGTCAACCTCCATGTCTGCGGCGGGAGCTTCCACTGGAGCAGCTGGGTAAGGAGCTCGATCAGGTATTTCAATAACTTCCGGTGCAGCCAAATGTCGGCCCTGACGACGCCAATTATCGTTTCCGCGACGGAGGTTATTGTCTCCAAAATTGCGATGATTTCCTCGGCCGTACGGACGAAAGTTTCCACGGTAAGCACCACGGGCTCCACCCCTTCCTCGGTAATTATAACCGGCATTATTCTGCTGCTGATTGGAAGACGAATGAAAGATAGCGTCTACCAATTTATCGAAAGCACGGTTAGGATCAATAGGCGGCATGCCCACACACAGAAACAAATGACCTTTTAACGCAAACAGTGAAAAGAGAACAGCATCAAAATCGCACACGGAAAGTGCAGAAAATCTAACACGCTACTGCGCCGAAACGAAAAATCCACAATGCCGATTTCTGCACACCGCATGCAAGTGATTTTATACCAGTCTATCTGTGCGAAAGTTTAGAATACGGCAGATTTCACAGGTAAGGAGAAACGACCAATCAGCGCTTCGCGCTATATCCTTTTAAGGCAAACTAATCAGCGGATCAGATCAGATCTAGGCACAACGGAGGATTCAGTACTGACTACCAGTTCACTGACTCATAATACAGTATCAAGGATAAAGAGTACAAAAATAGGAACAAAAGTAAAGATAGCGCACAATTCCAAAATTGAAAATACACATTGTGAGCCTGGACGAATGAAAGCAGATCAATTGGCGTGAAATAAAAGTAAAAGGCGGCTGTGTTATGATACAAATAGCCGAACAGAAGAGCAGAATACCACGGCAAATGAAACAACACTACAGTTCATCAGAGTGAGGCTGCTGACCGTAAATTGCTGGTTCCCCAATTTCAGGCGAATCCTCGTGAGCAGCAGGTGGAGCTGGTTGCAGCGACGGCAACGGATCAACATCCATCTCTTCCAAGCCAGATTCGTCATTTTCAAGTTGGCTGTCCTCAGCTTCGTCATCAGCGTTTTCGGCATCAGAAACCGCAACCGTGCTATCATAGTCATCATCTGTATCCGAAGAAGAATTGTCGCTTTCCGATGAAGAGGACGAAGAAGACACGTCCGCGTACTTGCGCTTCTGGCCACGAGAACGGAGATGATACGGACCAGCAGCAGAAGTGGACGGCTGCGGTTCTTCATTTTCCACACTCGATGACGCAACCACCACTTGGCGGGCCACCGCATCCGCCTTTTGACGCTTCGCGAGTTCTTTGAATAAACCGAGAAAAACAGGATGCAGATAAAGATATTGGCGGCGCAGTTCTAATGCAATTAACGAGGGTAATTTCCGCATAGCCATGCACAGATCAAAACGATTAATAAGTACTCCGTCAACAAATAAAAAGCGAGACAGATACAACTGGGAATAGAAATGATGGAAGCGATTTAGGCCTGGAAAATAGGCTTCAGAGATAACCAAGTCATTCTCACCCAGCTTATCCGCTACGGTCATTCGTGGAAACACTCCGGAGTATGCTCGTTTGCGAGCCGTCTGCTTGGTCTTGAAAACCGGCCGCGGTGCTTTCGGATCATATGGCACGTACAAAATTCCGCCACGTTGCACATGCTCTTCATCTAACATCACATAGAAGCACCATTAGCATAAGCACTAGCTGACGATCGTCCACGATCAAATGTAGATAAACAGGCTACAATACGCTAAATAGTGATATCAGCTAATAGCGATAAGCCACACAGTACGAATTTCAGAAACAATAACACTACGGACGTAGACCAACAAATACAATACCACAAAAGTGACAAAAAGTTGATTGCCACTGTTATAACGTAGGTATAAACCGTGACAATCAACATTGACACAATACCTCGCTTTGCCCGAACTGATGCAGTCTCTGAGGACTGTGGCTCCTCATCCGTAAGATCTGGAGTGCCCAGCTGTCGTGAAGGGGTGCTCTGCTTCTTCTCTGGTTTTTCGGAGACGGTTGGCTAATCTCCACGTCTGGATCAGCAGGAAACTTGCCACGACGGTTTCCACGGCTTACCACAGTCGCATTGCGTCGAGCAATACCAGCAAGCTTAAGTCTTTCATAACGGCGACGTAATGCATCATTGACTGCTGCTGCACGACTGGTTGAAGGTTTAGGGCTTTTTGCTGCAGCGGAAACAGTTCCAGATGGTCCGGCGGACTGAGCAGCAAAAACAGGTTGTTCAGCAGTACGAGCAGAAACTCGAGCTCGAGTAACTCTGCTGGAAGATTGCGCCTCATCACTTTCAGGCGAATATCCGAACGGCAACCCTGCCAACTCTCTACGCGGGCGAACAACAGGGACGACAGTCTTTCGCGCATTAGGTTTTCGCGGAGTTGCAGACATTTTAGAACTAGTACTGGCAAATATGGAAAACTGGCAAACGCCCGACAAAAGAGAGAAACAAATCAAATTAAGACCGAAAAACCACAACAAAGTAAATGGCTGATTACAGTGCGGTTAATCCGGCACCGACACCGGAAGTCAGAAATTCACGAAGTCAACTACACGGCGGCTGACAGGCGACAAGTAAGATCTTCCGAATTTCACAGGATTTTGGTTGTTTCACACCAGGAGGAAACTGACGGAACTTTTCCTTGGAAGGTTTGTAAATTTAAAACCCAAAATCTAAAATTTTCATACGCCAACACCTTCATGGTAGAATAAGGGACAAACATCACACATCAAAGGCCAGAACACGCGGCTAGGATAAACTCAGAACACAGACCGGAAACCGCATAGTTTCCGACGAAATTGCCTTAACGGGGCGGCTGATAAGCGACAGAATGCCGCATCGCAAGTACAGAAAATATCAGCTGATCATAACCTGGAAGTGAAGAACCCAACGATATTTATTCTCTTACGGTGGAGG